ATGTAATTCGTCCCATAGCAGAGTTGAATCAGAGGGGGCGCTGCAGAGGTTTAACTGACCACGATAAAAATGATATTTTTACAGTTTGGAAAGATGTGTTCACATTTCAAGCAAGTCTGGTATATTTTATTATTACAGAACAGTGCATTTCAGCAGTTAATGAAAAAAATAGGTCTTAGGGTGTAGTTACTCTTTAAGCTTTGATCTTTAAAAGACGGCGGTGGGACGGGTGTCTAGCTTATGTGTCTCAGAACACGATGTCTTCCTCTCGCCGGTTTCTTAACCCACGTGAAGTATGTTTTTCTGCCATAGTTTTGAAGCAATTAAAAACACAAACGTGGCAGCTGAAAACTCGCTTCACTCTGACTGGACCTCACGTGATGCTTTCTGTCATGGTAACGTCTACATTAAGTGGTACTCCATGCATGCGCATCATTTTTGGATCTGATTACTTGTAGTGAGCATGTAAACGGAGATTATAAATATGAGAATATAAACACCTCAGTCTTAATCTGTATTCAGAATGTATTCAATCGGATTAGCAAATATTGAGAATTGGTAGCTAATATTCTTCAGTACAACGTGGACCAGAGTCACCCACATTTAAGGATGGAGACGACGTTGTGAGATGGTGGGCTTCTGTCTTTGGAAATGGAAAATACTCTAAGGTGGGGCGATGCCCATAAAGATTGTGCCCATGCTTTGTTTCTAGGTAATACAACTTTTTTTGCTTGACTGAACCACTTGTACCTGTCCAGGGTGTATCCTGCCTTCTGCCCAATGACAGCTGGGATAGGCTCCAGCACCCCACCGCGACCCAGAAGGATAAGCGGTTTAGATGATGTATTTATGTATGTATGAACCACTTGTTTCTCTTTTATTTTCTGTAGTTTAATCTAATGTGCAGCAGAATTTTTCATTTTCGTTTTAAAATCAGTAAAACTCTGAATGGTGGGGATGCCACTGAACTCGCCTACAGTCGATTGTGTTTTCTCAACTACCTTTTTCACTCGTCTCGAGTTTTCATGACTAATAGATCTGCTTCCATGGTGGATTCCCATCTTATCCAACTAAAGATTGTAATATTAATTTTACCAAAGTCCTGTTTCAGTGTCTTTTTGTCCTCACTTCTAGGCCCCTCCCACCCACCACATTGCAGCTACAGGAGCCTTCATGCCAGGAGTTAACAAGCCAGGAGTGAACAAACCAGGAGTGAACAAGTGATCTTGAGTAAAGGTAGAAATTATCTTTATAAAATATGATTTGAATTAAAGTAAAAGTACTCTATTTATGATTTTATCTACAAAAGTTCTTGGTTTTAAAGTCAGTTTTAATCAGATATCATAATGCCTTGAAACTGTTGTTGGTTATTTTTTATTTTATTGATATATTTTTAACAGTCATTGCAGTTGAAGATGGAAAATAATGGCAAATCAAGTATTTGGTGTTTTATGTATAATAATATATACTGACTTTTGTTTAATAGGACCATGGACATTCCTGACTGTTGCAGTTGTATTATTTTGACTAAGAATATTTCTGCTTTTATTCAAGTTTGTGACACTTGTCTTACAGAACAGTTAAGAAGTTGTGTACTTTGTCTACCCTGCTCCTCACTGACCATCTAAGCCCAGAAGAGGTCAGGAACAAAAAGGTATTTGCATTTTTCAGTTATAGAAGCAGCATCTTTACTGGCTTTGAGAGACTTGAATGCTTGTACAAGTTTAGTTATTCAACAGAAATCTGCCTGTATCTGTTTCAATTGTTGAATTTTAAACCTTTACCAAATGTTCTCTCTTCCTACAGATATCCATCTGGTTCTCGACTGATCGGGACTTGCAGCTTGGCCCAGGTGTTTTTACTTAATATTGTTCAAATACAGATTCACTCGAAAGAGGCCCCGGATATTTTGTAATAACTCTCGCTAGGACGAAGCAATCTGAACGAAACAACGTGCAATAAGATGCTCCTTCTAATTTCTATTGCATACGACTTTTCTTGTTGTGGATTTGTATATTTATTTTTCATGCTGTCTACTTTTTTTGGATTATTCTCATCCTTTTGTCTTGTCTGATGAGTGTTTATTACTGATTTTGCTTAATATTTCTTTATTTTTGATGCAGCCATGAAGAATCCACCTTCCAAAGCTGCAGGTGGCAAAGAAGTTGACCAGAGACCCCCGCATCTGTTAAGGATTGAGTATGTTTAGCACAGTGAGGTGGGCTTCAGATGACCATTCTCTTGCTGTCTCTCTCTCCCACTCATACGCAAACACTCACTGGCTATTTTTAAGGTACTCTTAACTTACAGATTGCAGTCTGTCCATTTCTCTACATACCTTTTAGCCCCCTTTCACCCTGTTCTTAAGTGGTCAGAACCCCCACAGGACCACCACAGAGCAGGTACTATTTGGGTGGTGTATTGGACACAGGAGTGCTGCTGGAGTTTTTAAACACTGTGTCCACTCACCGTCCACTCTATTAGACACTCCTACCTTGTCAGTCCACCTCGTGGATGTAAAGTCAGAGACGATAGCTCATCTGCTGCTGCACAGTTTGTGTTGGTCATCCTCTAGTCCTTCATCAGTGGTCACATGATGCTGCCCACAGGACGCTGTTGTTGTATTTTTATTTTTATTTTTGTTTTGTTTTAGTTCCCACTCCAGCAGTGACGCTGAGGTGTTTAAAGCATTGCTGTATCTTATACACTAGCACCAATACCACATACTACCATGCCGTTGTCATTGCAGTGCTGAGAACGATCATTGCAGATCATTGATGAACGAGGTGAAAGGATTAATGAATTATGCTACTACAGATACAATCTGAAATTGCACAACTACACAGTGCACTTATACATTAAATGGACATGACTAAATGGACAATTAGCGTAGATACATAGTAGCTCTACATAAGAATTGTTAAATGTAAAAGATATGATACAGTACATAGTGGCTTAATGTATGAAGTAATTTTCTTAGAACTGTGGCAGATTACTGATTGGTCATCACCGTGTAATACTACCTCTTCTATTTCTTTACACATTGCCAGATTTACTGTAGAGCTGGACACTCACTGTGTTCTTTAAGCTTAATGACACAACTGCTTAGTACTGATGTCCAATGAATATTTTTAGTTAAGGTCACAAAGCTTTGTAATGGTTACATAAATTAAATTTTTTTTTGTGTGAAACTAAAGGAGCTTTGCTCAAACTTAGTTGTACTTCTTAGCTCAACTAAATATTTCTTTTAGTGTTATCAAAAATGTCAATTAGTATAACTAAGAATTTACAAAAGTTCAGTGCACAAAAAAAAAAATTCGGGGAAATTCTGTACCAAGTTTTTTTTTTTGTTGCGCAAGCAAAAAAAAATTTTACAGTGTAAAAAAATCAAGCTTTCAACAATCATAGAATTTCAGAAACTACAGAAAATAGACATCAGAATATTGTTTTGCTTTGATTTTTAAAAATCTGGTTGTTTTTATTTATTATTTTCCTTCATCTTTTCTGCAGAACAGACAAATTCTGCTGATGGTCAGAGTCTGACTCCGTGTTCGTTTCGGAACACCCGCTTTTCACAATCCAATCAAATCCTGAAGAATAAAGTCACGTCCCACCCACAATTATTTTCCCTCCTGAGCAGCCTGTTTCACTCGGGAATACGTCACGTTAAAGAAGAAAAAGGCATCCTGATTTCTGATTCATGTTGACTTTAAGCTGTCAGAAATATTCTACTTGTAGTTTTGATGCTGGTAGTATCTTCTGTTAAGGTCATTCAGGCTGTGAAAATATCCCTATAGCGTTATATAAAACTCTCCCAATAAGAATATATAACACTGTCACGCATTCCTCCGGCTCTGAGAAGCTCACAAACTCCACCTCCCAGAACCCTCTGGGGTATCACAGGATCGATGACTCTTCTCAGCGCTCCAATCATCGATCTCATTCTCCTGAATACTAATCTTGTACACCTGTTCTGTCATGAGTCTAGTTAGACTGAGTATAAAGCCCAGGCTTTTAGACTAGTTACTTTGCGAGGCATTGCTTCTTCGAGTGAGAGCTACTGAGCGTTTTTCTGATTGTCTTCTTGTTACTGATTTGTTTGCCTGGAATTTTTCGACTCTGCTTGTCTCTGCCCCTTTGGATTTGGTTGCCTGGTTGTAATGATTTTTCTTTTCTGTATTTGGATTTTTTTGGATTTGACCTCTGCCTGTTTCACGAGCACGAGTTTCGCCCATGCCCTTGACAATAAAGCCTCTCTTTTTGATTAATACCGCAAGCGTCTGATTTATCTGGTTATGTCACAAACACATTTTCCTCCTGCCAGCTGGGAAATTCTGTGTGTGTTTGTTTTGTTTTGTTTAGTCAGTTGTGTATTTTGTTACTATTGTAAAGCCTCCTTGGGTTTGAGAAATGGTGGCGCAGTGGGTAGCACTGTTTCCTCACAACAAGAAGGGCCTGGGTTTAATTCCCTGGCCGGGCGAGTTTGCATGTTCTCCCTGTGTCTGTCTGGATTTCCTCCCACGGTCCAAATACAGGCGGTCAGGCCAACTGGAAATGCTACATTGCCCCTGGGCATGAATGTATATGTGTGTCTGCCCTGTGAGATGGACTGGTGACCTGTTCAGGTTTTTTTCTGCCTTCTGCCCAATGACTGCTAATATAGGCTCCAGCACCCCTTGTGACCTAGAAGGAGAAGTTTGTGTGTGTGTGTGTGTGTGTGTATGTAACTTAATTTTATGGTACATATTTTACTATTATGTAATTTTTTACAATACTAAATAAAATTCATTTATCACTGAGTTTAGACATGGTTCATGTGATCTGGTGAAAATACTTTTATATATTTAAGCCCCCACAGTGATTGTTTCATTTATGTTTGTTTTTAAGATAAGTATGATGCTCATGTGGGAAAATCCTCTCCAAGAGTAAAACATCAGAACCACTAAAGATCACACAGGAAACGTGCTTTGACGAGAAGAAAGAACCACAGTTCTCCACAGTTCTCTATGTAGGATCTGCGTTTAATCAGACGTTCTGAGAAACATTACAGTAACGCTTAAAGTTAAAGCAGTTACAGGTCGTTCCAGTCGCTCTGCAGTTTTGTGTGTTTCAGTAAAAGCTGTAGCAGAAAGACGTTCACACAGATCTCACTGTAAACACACGAAAAATCATTAATTACACACTTTATTACAATGACTTAGCACTATTATTAGCGGTGTATAACAGGTACAGGATAACTACACCGATACAGTTATTTCTCCTTCTGCCATATCAAAACTTACAAGGAGGAATCATTTGAAATGCTGAGATTATGTTTATACTTACCCAATCGCGATCACCACCTGAAAACAAAAGAAACAGTCATCAATTACAACACAAACGCAAGCTAAATAAAATCCCTCAGAAATGAAAAATGTTCGGTTTTCTTAAAAGCAGAGCAGAGAAACCTCAGAGCAGCTCTGCACAGACAGACCATTTTGCCCTCGGACTGTTCGCGTTCCCTCTTGGTTGGCGTGTGGAATAACTGTGTTTTATATGGTTATTCTTCAGTATCTGTTTCAGGCTCAGTTGTGCTTAGAAATAGAGCTGGTGGGTCGACTTGGGTTCCGCAAGATTCATATTGGGCGCCCCGTTCTGGTGCAGTACTGACTGCCTACTTAAGTTTTCTCTCAGTGACCCCAACCTCTTAGAATCTCTTTAGCAGAGAGCCACTTTGCATAATGTGGTTATTTTAACCACATTATGTTTATTTTAACAATAATAATGATAATAACTTGATAAACTACCTTTTAGTTATTGTGAAAACAGGGATTTTTGCCAGGCTATGTAGCTCTTAAATACGGTAGAAACTCATTACCCAGTATGCTCTCTATTTGTAATGTTGATAGCCTTGTATGCTGTAGAGCACGATTCAAGTCCCTGACTGGGTAATAAAGGTGGTATTGTGGGTGTCTTAGTTTCCTCTGAAAGATGGTTAGACTGTATCTCCCGATTAGAGTGTTTGCAATATGATATAAATTAAATTAAGGTTAATTCATGTGCAGGTTGCTCTTTTTTCCTTTCCCAAGATATCTGTGTGTTGGCAACCTCAGAGGTTTGTGGAACCAACAAGTTATTAACAAGTTCATAGTAAGTGATTGTATGTGTGTGAGTAACAGTAGAGTCAGTAACTCAGATAAGAACAAGGAGTATTTATGTGCAGGATGAACATGAAGGACACTCACATCCTCTGTAGAGCGCTCTTCCGTTATCACATTTGACCTGTACATAGGACGGAGAGGAAAGACAAAAAAACCAGTCCTGTTCTCCATGCTGCATGTACTCTCTTTGACGATACTGAAACTTAGACTGATCCAGTCTACATGGAGCTGAGGAAACAGAGAACAGTCATAAATCATCTGCAGATTAGCTGAATTAGTGAATTTACACTTTCAGCTTCTTTCATTTGGGTTAAGCAACAAGTGAAACTGACCTTTACAAACAGGCAGATCTGACCATTTCCTGTTAACACACCTTACTTCTTTTGGTCCTTCGAGTTTGTAAAGTGCAGCACACTGAACTTTTAATACCCTCCGATCTCGATCCTCCGTAACATCTCCATGTTCAATAGTGGGGTAATCTCCACAGAGAGCTGAAAATAACACACATTGGTGTTTAGTGAAGATGTGCCACGTGGTTACAATGTGGAAATTTAAAAGGAAAAGACCAACAATTTTTTCAATGTATCAGAAAAATAACATTAAAAGTCCTAATCAGGTTTTGCTTGAATAGCTTTTTTGACGCTGAGCCAGTTGCAGGAGTCCCCCATGTCAGGTTGCGTGTCCAACAGTGAGCGCTTTATATACAGCTATATTAGTGTGTCTGAATGGAAGTCAGCAGTGACGTGCAGTGTCACTTTCCTGTCTAACCAGTTATGAAGCACGCTTGTTTAATGTCCATGCCTTAAAAAGTTACTATGGAAACTATAGAAGTTCAGTCCTGCCAGACTGAAGAGAAAAATCTACTGTTTTTTTTTCATTGTTCTTTTTTTATGGCAGCAATACGTTAAAATATTGACTTAGGCCCAATCCCATTTCACCCCTCGCCCCTACCACTTCACCCTACCCCTCGTTTTGCGCATTCATGTCTAGGGCTAAGTTGTCCCGATCTTTGTTGAGATAGAGTAATAGGGCGAAGTGCCAGGGTTACATGTGTTACGATAATCATCATATTATCTTAGTTTAATGTCGTTAATGTATTATGGTCCTTTTCTTCATAACAAACATAAAAACACTAATTGTGCTGCTGTCTCGGTAGCTAACTAATTATTTTTGAGAGTAAATCAATATTTAAGAAAATAAGCCATTATTCCAACATATTGAGCTTATGTCTTATTCTGTATACATGCTGGTTTTAAAGAGTACAAAACACGTCCACTGAGATGTTTTACTGCCCACACTGGGTTTTCCATAAGTCTGCTGATGCCAGCTTACCTGTAGTTTGTCCCCATTACACTCGCGTTACAGGAGAACAAACATAATATACTACATAATATATATAATGGCAGTGTTAACAGTAATAACAGTGTGAGGGCTTTGGTGGTCATTACCGTGGGAAGGTCCTGGCCCACTGGGAACATCAGATTCTACTGTAAGAGAGAATGGAAAAAAATAATTTAGTATTTGATTATTGTAATGCTAAAATGTTTCTTAGTCTGATTTCTATCTGGTTCAAAAGAAAAAAAAAAGTTTATTTTATTTTTTTAATAGTGTGAGTGAGTTTTAATGCCTGTGACAGAAGCAGAGTTTAGGGACATTTTACAAATCACTCTGTAGGGTTTGCAATCTATGATTTCTTTTTAATTCTTTTGGTCCCTAAAGAGTTTAAACCTTAAATAAGTCACTAGATGCTGTGTTTAATTTAGAACAAACAGCTTTTAGTAGAAGACTTGAGAGTCATAATGAACATGTTTCTATATCTAAATGTAACTGGTGCTTGGGTATTCCTTTTGTTTGATTCTATATAGGCAGACATAGACAGGTACATTTTTATCATGAAAATGAAAAAAAAGAAATAACTGCCAGTGCACCTGTTGGATTTCCAGTTAGCGTTAAGCTAACTGTAGTAACTTGTAAAAAAGTGTAGTAACTTGTACATTAATTACATATAAACATAAATAAATAAAAAAGCTTCTGTGTATCGGTGTTACAGTCACTCTTTCAGTAAAGAGTTCTGACATAGAGCTGCAGCCGCTGTTTTCCACTCCTAACAACTAACCCAAACCTGCTTAGACTGTGACTCATATTCACAGTCAGTGACGTATCTAGAACTTCAAAAAACTTTTTTTCTTACAAAATTGGTCCCATTCTAAACCAAAGCGTGACTGGTTGATTCCTCTGTGGCTTCTTAATTATGTTGCCAGTTAATTTAACGTGTAAAGCCTTCTGTCCAGCTCCTGAAGTCCTAACCAATGGGAGAGCTCGCTCAGCTGTATCTACTTAGATACCACACAGAGAACAATCCTGATTGGATCATTTTCTCCTGGGTGTTTCAAGGTTGTAAGGCTTTTGTTTCCATGAAAAACAATGAGTTTAAATACAACAATAATAATGATTGTATGAAATAAAGATGAACTCAAAATTACAAACATGTATTTTTCTTTCACAGAAATAATTGAGCCTTCTCTGAAGGCCTAGAAGGCCCTGAGGCTTCACCACAGTCATTTTGTTTATATTAATATTTACATTTATAAGTTGTTTTGATGAAGTGGTAGTAAGCTGTACCTTTCAGATTAAATTACAAAACATTTTTTCCAAATTAAATCAAGAAATTGAATAAAAACTAATTCAGGTTACACACTGGGGGCAAAGAAGACATTAACAAATCATCTGCAAATCAGCGACTACTCTCATTTGTGTTAAGAACAAGTGACACTGACCTTCACAAACAGGCACCTCTGACCATTGTCCACTAAGACACATTACTTGTTTTGGTCCTCTGAGTTTGTAAGGTGGATAACACCGGAATGTTAATGAATATCGATCCACATCAAAATTTCCATTTTTAATAGGGGGGTAGTCTCCACATTCACCGACTGAAAACAAGAGACATTCAGACAACAGACTTTAGAGGTTCCACCTGTTTACTGTGTAGAGATTAAAAAGAGAGAAATCAACAAGGAACAAAGCCTCATATCATCTCTGTTCGTGTGGTTTTGTAGTATTTAAAGAATTTGAAAATGCCAGCTTCCCTTCACAACATGCTAAAATTTCATGATGAATACACCGACTGAAATGTTCCTAAAGTACATGAAAATAACATCTAGTTCCATCAAGTTCCATTCAGAATTAAGAGCTTCTTTTCTTCTCCTGTGAAGTTACTATTTTGAAGATATGAGGGTTTGTTCAGACAGCAATATTAACTTCATATTTTAATATTATTTTATATTAACTCCACAGTCTGTGCAAGTCACGTTGTGGTCAGCAGCAAGCAGTGTTACTCTCCTAATTAACCAGTTTTCAAGCCGTTTTATTTCAATTTTATTTTGTTGTTATAAAGAGCTTAATGTGGTAGAAAAGAATAGTCTAGGCTGTAAGAGGACAGGAACAAATGACATGAAAATGTGAAAGATCCAGCCGTGTTTTTTATATATATAATTCGTTCTTCAGTTTGCGACATAATTTGACAAAGCCTGTTACTCTTTACATTGTGTGTAAATTTCATGAATTTGTGTGTATATATTTATATTTATATATGTATACTTAGTAAGTAACGCCAGATAATAACAGACGTTAAGCAGCATCTGAAAGGCTAAGAACGATTACTTGGAAGGTGCAGAATTGAGTCAACACATCCTCTACAGAGAACACATTTCAATGCACAAATGCTTATTTACTGAATTTTTAGCATACTGGACAAAAAAACAAAAGCTATGGCACATTTTATACCATACTGTGGAGAGGGGGGTGTGGCCAAGTGGGAGGGAGAAGCCGGTCTGGCTGAACCAGCGGGCTAAGTGGCTGATAATGTTCACCTGTGCCTTGTTTCTGCCAGCCTACTTATAGCTATCGCTTCCTTCAGTAGGTGGCAGAGCCCAGAGAGAGAAGGAGACCTGTGAAGGCGTGAGAGCTGAACTGAGCTGAGCTGAGCTGAGCCGAGCTGAGCTGAGCCGAGCCGAGCTGAGCTGAGCTGAGCTGAACCAGAAAGAAAGAAAAGAAAGGACTGAAAAGTCTCAGCGACCGTCTTGTCTTACTTTGTGGGCTGAAAGGCCGAGTGTTTTGCATTGTGTATTAATAATAATAAAAGAAAGCTCTCCGTCTTCACATCTGCCCCGGCGTCTTTCCTCCACCCATCGTTAAAGTTGCTACACATACGTTTTCCCCATTATGTTAAAATAGAATACAATAGAAAGTGTACAAACATTGTAGAAAAATGTCAGATTTAAGTGTGTTCTCTGTAAAGAATGTGTTAACTTCACCTAGAAAATCAACAAAATGTAATTTGACAGGGTGCTCAAACGTCTGCATATGACTGTATATAAAGAAATAAGGGCAGTTTTACAACTCAACCACTCCAGAACTGTGTGAGTGTTTTTGTGGTCATTATTACCGTAGGAAATTACTGGACCCTCAGAACCTCCTGTAAGAGAAAATGAGAAAGAGCTTAGGAACATTTTACAAACCACTTTTGAAGGCTTTTTAAGCAATTTATGATCAATTCTTTAGGTCACTAAACAGTTACATCCTCTAGTGTAGTGACCCACACTGCAAACACTGAAATCTTAACAAGCCAGAAAAGCTTGAAATCTTATATATTTTATTAAAGGTTAACATAGTGGACCGGACTTACAACTGTGATTCTATTTTCACAGTATTTATAATGAGATGTTTTGCCACTAATGTGTTTGTATATATATATATATATATACACACCGATCAGGCATAACATTATGACCACCTCCTTGTTTCTATGCTCATTGTCCATTTTATCAGCTCCACTTACTATATAGGTGCACAGTTACAGACTGTAGTCCATCTGTTTCTCTGTGTACTTTGTTAGCCCCCTTTTTACCCTGTTCTTCAGTGGTCAGGACCCCCATGGACCCTCACAGAGCAGGTACTATTTTTAAACACCTCAGTGTCACTGCTGGACTGAGAATAGCCCACCAACCAAAAATATCCAGCCAACAGTGTCCTGTGGGCAGCTTCGTGTGACCACTGATGAAGGACTAGAGGATGACCAACACAAACTGTGCAGCAGCAGATGAGCTGTCGTCTCTGACTTTACATCTACAAGGTAGACCGACAAGGTAGGAGAGTCTAATAGAGTGGACAGTGAGTGGACACAGTGTTTAAAAACTCCAGCAGCACTGCTGTTTCTGATCCACCACCCAAATAGTACGTGCTCTGTGAGGGTCCATGGGGGTCCACCACACTGTTAACAGAGAACGCACTTAAATGTGACAGTTTCTATTGATTTTAGTGCAAAATTACTGTATAATTGCTGAGTTTGATATTGCAAAAACACTCTTCTGCATTTTATGTTGTACTTTTTTGGCCATTATGTTAAATTCAGCAAAATAAACAGCAATTGTGCATAAGGTGCAGAGGTGTGTTCTCTGTAGAGGATTTTCTCACTTGGAAAATCAACACAAACATGTAATTTGAGCAGGGGTGCAGAAACTTTTTCATACGACTATATTTGTCTGCAGAATGAAGAATACGTTCTGTACATGTACACTCACTGTTCACTTTATTAGAAATATCTACCTTAAAGGTCCAAAAAGTGGGAGAGCAGTATTGAAAATGCTTCTCTTGTGCATTATTGCTTTATTTTTTCATTTGATAGTTTTTTTTAATTACAAATTATATCATTAGTGTAACAATTGGTCTTAAAAGTAAACATTTAAAATTTAGAAATTCAGAATTGGGTGATGTGCCCCCTTTTTGCATTAATGACTGCAGGATTCCACAAGTTTGTGCAAAAGCCTCTGATGAGCAGATCAAATCTGAGTCCAACAGAAGAGATAAGACTCAATAACACAATCTGACCTTTTTGTGCAAAGGCCTTAATATGGGTCAGTGCAAAGGCCTCACCATGGTCAGCGAAAGGCCTTAATGTGGTCAGCGCAAAGGCTTTAACATACTCAACGGAAAGACCTTAACATGGTTAGTGGAAAGCCCCTAGCATGGTCAGTGGAAAGGCTTAGCATAGTCAGTGCAAAGGCCCTAACATGGTCAGATAAGAGGCTTTAACATGGTCAGTGAAAAGACCTTAACATGGTCAGTGGAAAGGCCTTAATGCGGTCAGTGGAAAGGCCTTCCCATGGTCAGTGGAAAGACCTTACTATGGTCAGTGGAAAGGCCTTACCATGGTCAGTGCAAAGGCCTTAATGCGGTCAGTGGAAAGACTTTATCATGGTCAGTGCAAAGACCTTAACATTGTCAGTAGAAAGGCTTTAACATGGTCTGTGGAAAGGCCTTAATATGGTCAGATAAGAGGCTTTAACATGGTCAGTGAAAAGACCTTAACATGGTCAGTGGAAAGGCCTTATCATGGTCAATGCAAAGGCCTTCCCATGGTCAGTGGAAAGACCTTAACATGGTCAGTGGAAAGGCCTTATCATGGACAGTGGAAAGGCCTTATCATGCTCAGTGGAAAGGCCTTAACATGGTCAGTGGAAAGACCTTAACATGGTCAGTGGAAAGACCTTAACATGGTCAGTGGAAAGGCCTTAACGTGGTCCGTGGAAAGACCTTAACATGGTCAGTACAAAGGCCTTACCATGGTCAGTAGAAAGGCTTTAACATGGTCAGTGGAAAGGCCTTAATATGGTCAGTGTCACAAACTTACTTCAGTTTGAATAGCAAGGTAGAACCATTGGAGAATCTCCAATATCTTTTCTTCATTTTACTTCTCATAACTTTATTTGTTTAAAATTTGTTAAAATTCTAAAACATTCTCTTGTTTATGTCCAGCTTTAGATGAAACAAATCATCAGTGTCACTGCTTGGTTGAAAGAGGACCATCACCCAAAAATATCCACATGAGAGGATCTCTGTGATCAGAAACTGACCATTGGTGGAGGACCAGATGATGGCTAACACAAACTGTGCCTCAACAGATGATCTACAGTCTCTAAGTGTACACCAGCAAGATGGAGCTACTGGAGAGGGGTTTCTGATAAAGTGGCCGGTGAGTTTATATACCCACAGAGTGAAGACAGAAGGAGTTAGACAGTCTTACCACACTTGGGTGTATGATCCCATTTAGATTTCTCACATGTGCTGGTACCCTTTCCCTCGAACTTGTACCCCTCCTTACAACGGTATTCAATTGTTTCACCTTCTTCAAACGTATCCCGGTATGGTTGTGTGATCAATGCATTAGGAACATGGCTGGGGGCATCACATGCATTCTTATTTCCTGCAAATTAATAAAAAGGTAACACTTTACGTGAGAGGCAGCGTTCATAAGGCTGTAAGACACCTGCCTTAATAATCCTAATATAATCCTATATAAACAGATAAACTGTATGGGCAAAAGTATTGGGACACCTACACATTACACCTACAGGAGCTTTAATGAATCCCATTCTAAATCCATAGGCATTAATATGGAGTTGTTCCCCCTTTGCTGCTATAACAGCTTCCACTCTTCTGGGAAGCTTCTACAAGATGTTGGAGAGAGTCTGTGGGAATTTTTGCCCATTCATTCAGAAGAGCATTTGTGAGGTCAGACACTGATGTTGGACGAGAGGGTCTGGCTCACAATCTTTGTTCTAGTTCATCCCAAAGGCTTTTGATGGGGTTGAGGTCAGGGCTCTGTGAGGGCCAGTCAAGTTCTTTCACCAAACTCACCCAGTCAGGCCTTTATGGAGCTGCTTTGTGCACTGGGGCTCAGTCATGCTGGAACAGGAAAGGTTCTTCCCCAAACTGTTCCCACATAGTTGGAAGTGTAGACTTGTCCAAAATGTCTTGGTGCTGAAGCGTTAAGATTCCGCTTCACTGGAACTGAGGGTTCTAGACCAACCCCTGAAAAACAGCCCCATATCATCATCCCTCCTCCTCCAAACTCTGCAGCTGGCACAGTGCAGTCAGGCAGGTAACGTTCTCCTGGCATTTGCCAAACCCAGACTCGTCCATCAGACTGACAGATAGAGAAGCTGATTCGTCACTCCACAGAATACGTTTCCACTGCTCCAGAGTCCAGTGGCGGCACTTTACCCCACTCCATCCGCTGCTTGGCATTGTGCTTAGTGATGTAAGGCTTGCTTGCAGCTGCTCAGCCATGGAAACCCTGCCATGAAACTCCTGGCGCTCAGTTTCTGTGCTGATGTTGATGCCAGAGGAGGTTTGAACTCTGCAGTTATTGATCAGCAGAGCATTAAAGACTTTTATGCTCTATGCTCCTCAGCACTCGACGACCCGCACTGTAGCTTTATGTGCTCTGACACTTCGTGGTTGAGCTGCTGTGGTTCCTAAACGCTTCCACTTTTCAATAATACCACTAACAGTTGATCGTGGAAAATCTAGGAGGGAAGAAATTTTGCAGACCAACTTGTTGCAATGGTAGCATCCTATTACAGCACCACACTCGAATTCAGAGAGCTCTTTAGAACAACCCATTCTTTCACAGATGTGTGTAAAGGCAGACTGCATGGCTGGGTGCTTGATTTTATACATGGCAATGAGACTGAATGAAACACCTGAATTCAATGATTAACAGGTGTCTCCCAATACTTTTGTCCATATAGTGCATATACAAAAGCCAACAAGGCTGCTTTTGTCAATTTTGATGCCATTTCGAGTGTTATGACAATTGACAATGGAATAATTATTAATATTTGTTCAGGTTTATGTCATTTGTCCAGAAAGGCTGTTGTAGGAGTTGTGAATGCTGCGTTCATAAGGTTACATAACACCTACAATAGCCTTTCATGACATTTAGAAGGGTTTATTCCAACAAACAACAGTTGTAGTAAAACTTAAGGAGCTGAAATGACATTGAAATTAAGAAAAGCAGCTTTGTGATATCATTGCATTAGGAATAGGGTTAGGGCATTACTCTCAAAAAAGTACTAATAATATAAAATGAGTAACACTGTACTGAAGGGCTGTGTTCATAAGAGGATACATAGCCTTTCATGACAACTGACAAACATGTATTGATCACTCTACCAAATTTGTTCAAGGTCAAGAGCTGAAAACACATTTCGGACTTTAACCTACTTGGACTTAAAACTAAAATCTTTGCTTTAAGTGACTCCACTGAACATTCCATTTTGTCACTAAACTTTAGGTAGTGACAAATTTAAGCTTATGTTGAGCAGAACTCAGAAATGCTAGCCAGTACAAGACTAGCAAACACGCCTTTGAACGGCTGTACACACAGAAAATCATCATATTTTCATTAAAGCAGAACATCTGTAGAAAATCTATGTTTCGGAAGTGACAATTCCTAACATTTCACACTGATTTTCAGCCTTTGGGACACAGTTATTTCAAAACAATGGGATCTAACTGCTCACCATGTGGCCATGAGGGGCAGGGATGCAGCCTCACTGCTCTAAAATGCAGGGGTGTGGCTAAAATAAGGCTCCGCCTACATACTAAAACTGCGTTTTTCGGTAGTGACGCGAAAATGTTTTTTTTTAAATAAAGTTTTTTTATTTAAAAATTAAACTCATGATAAAACTAAACCTTTCAACTTCACTTTGAAAGAAATCAAAAAGATATTTTAAAAAACAACAATGAAATTTTTTTTATCACAAATTTTTATTTTAAATTAAATTTTATTTTCACAAGTGTAAATTTAGGGGTTATGGTTTAGGACAGACTCCTCCCAATAGAAAGTACTCTATAAATATATTTTTTCATATATATATATATAGCTTACTATTATCTCTGTTACTGTCTTGGCTTTAAATAGATCAGAACAGAATCCTTTACATATCTAAGCTCGGAATACTTCATTGTTTTTAGTTTAAACTAATTTGGTCTATATAGTCATTTATAAACACATTTTCCAACATTACTGACTAAGGGTTTTATCAATTCCAGTGTCATTTCAGCTCAGTAACTTTTACGACAATTGACGTGCTGGAGTAATCCTTTATAAATGTCGGCACAGATTTATGTCAGTTGTCATGAAAGGTTTATGTAGATGTTATGTAGCCTTTAAACACTGCTGTTCAGTAAAGCGTTATCAAAAATCTGTTCTTTGCTTCATGATACCTCAGTGGCACTGAAGCACATTGCTGAAACATAATGCAAATTAAAGACCTTAATGGATTTGAAATGCTTCAGATACAGAAAAGGGCACTCACGGTTACACGTCGGCAGGGGGCCCCATTCTCCATTTTCACATACTACTTGTCTCAGTTCTTTTTTTTCAAACTCGTAGCCTTTATCACAAACAAAGGTAACTGTGCTGTTAACAGGATATGACACCTGTGATGGCTTTGGTGTGGCGTGTGGCACAACTGGTGCGATACAGTCACTCATAGCTAGAACAACAAAGAGAAGAACGTTTACACATTTGCAGTTTGGACAACATGCAAATACACTGTATGTCCAAACACTTTTAGACACCTGCTCAGTGAAGGGTATTAATAGTGAATTTGCCCCCTTTGCTGCAGAAACAGCCTCTACTCTTCTGGGAAGGCTTTACACTAGATGTTGGAACTTTGCTGTGAGGATGTGATTGAGCATTAGTGAGGCCAGATCTGATCAGTGAAGATATTGGATGGAGCTCCATCACTCCAGAGAATACAGTTCCACTGCACGACAGCCCAATATTGGGGTGCTTCATACCCCCCTAGCCCACGCTTGGCATTGGGCACAGTGACCTCATGCTCTTGTGTGTCTGCTCCTTTCTATTGGTCAGTGCTTTTTAATGGAGATTATACAAGCTGTGTCAGCAAAGAAGCCGAGTTCTCTCATTTGATGGGGTGTCTAGATACCTTTGGACATATAGTGTAGCAAATGGAAGAGGGGATGTTGTATCCTCTGAAAAAGTGATAAAATGACCAAAAACACATATTACACTGCTACAATAAAAGCATCAGTTAGGCTAGCAACTTGGGTGTTCTGATAAAAGGAACATTGGGCCTCATTCACCAACCGTTCTTAGGAAGAAATCTCTTATTTAAACCCACAGTTTTCACGAAGATTCTGACTCACCTCTGTTCTCTCATGTGGGGTTTGTTCTTAGGCAAGAACAGAATCTACACACACTCAGGAGCACAAAACAGTTCTGCGCTTTAAGAACACGTCATGAATCTGACGTAGACTTTTTCTTAGGACCTTTCTCAAGAGCACATTTAAGAACAAACTTAGGAGGATATTGGTGAACCAGGCACAGTGTGAAGTTAATAATGCCCGAAACCCGTTTGCTGCAGAGAAATAGAAAGATACTGTTAAGCTTGGATCATTATACGTCCTTCTACTTTCCAAAACTAAAGGACGTCCCTGCATACATGGCTAAAAACAGGTTTAATTTTTCATTTTTAGCAGTTTATTTTATTCATTTTATTCACTTCCATTTATTAAGGACTCACTCATGGGTGCCCTCTAGCACTTAGCTAGCACTATAATCAGAGAAATAGGAAGTGGCCAGGCTACACTTAAACTGGCTCTGACTGTATTTCAGCTCAGAGCACTATAATGAGCAAACCACAGAGCTCTGATGTGAAAGATGACATCAGCTTTTTGTTGTTTTCGTCAATATTTTGGTCTATTAAACTAAGATGTGGTTGGAACTAGCCTCTGCAGTAAGGTAGCTCTCCCGGACCAGAGTTGGAGTCCACTGCTTTACAGCATTATTGGCCCCTTTGGCACAAATGGAAACTGTCCTAAATATACTGAATGTTACTGTAACATAGTAATAAGTCTTAAATAATAATAACAATGGATAATTTTGTCTCCATGTAATTTCTGAATTCAGCTTCTCGTTCATGAGGTTCTTGTTCTCGTTCCACCTTAAATGGTGCATTCTGGCGTAGGAGCTGCCGAATGAGCAGCTGACTTTTTACAAGAGGCTATTCTACTTTTGCAAAACAAAACTCCTGCTGGAGATGCGATAAAAGCAGCTATAGCTGAGCTAAAGCTTAAAGCAGAGCAAAGTAAGTCTGTGTTTTTGTTTACATTATATTTATTTAGCCTTTACTGGTACATTAGCACACACTGAGACAGATTTACAGCCAAGATGGTAAAATTGCTCCCAAAGTGGTTCGATTTTTTGCTGAAAGGACAAAATGGCTCTCCTTAACGTTTGGGTTGCGATCCCTGATATAGATCATTAGACCAGTGAAAGCAGCCATTCATTTTCATAACAAGAGCATTACAGGCTGGCAACACACTGTATACTTACAAACACAGTGGGGGGTGTGGGACCATTCACCGTTTCCACACAGTAACTCTCCCCACCATGTTTCAACAACAGGTTTCAGACCAGAATTACAGCCGTAGGAAACTTTGGTGCCGTGATTGTAGGCGTCCTGCCGAGGGACTAGAAAGCCGTTGTGAAGCGATGGTCTCTGACAGTTTTTTAGCTCTTCTGCAGAAAAGACATTCAAGAAAATGAATATAGATTAAGTAAACGTCCGCACTCTGATGTGTTTATGAACACATCAAGAAGCGTCTAGCTGAGCATTTCTCTCCATGATTTGTGGGTGCGTGGGAGGGGATGTGGAGCATGATATTATCGGTTAATATTAAGTTTCCCTGCCTGCTGGTGCACAGTGACATCATCAAAATATCAAAAGATGTTGCAGAGGAAGAGGAGTCATTACATTTTGATGCAAGATTACCAGAAAACAAAACAAAAAAATTAAAATGATATAATATGATGTAACCAGGAAGCAAAAAGTATTTGGACACTTTATCAATTGATAAACTTTAATGACGTTCCTAAAGTTACCAAATCAAACTGATGTGGGCTCTAGACTCGAGACTGTGCTGAGGCTACTGTAGAGCACCGAGCTGGAAACCTAAGTCTGTAGATGGTGTCACTGACTTAAACTTAAAAACTTGAAAAAACAATTATTACGCTTTTTTTTTTAAAATGTGCCTGCTTATTATAATCAAAAACTTTTTTAAAAGTTTTTAAAAAAAAACTTTAACGACCCAGAAGGATAAGCGGTTTAGATGATGTATGTATGTATGTATGTATGCTTTTCTGAGCGAAACTGTCCAGTGAAGAAACATGTTACTCACAAGCTACAACATGATAAAAAGGAGAGAATTTAATTTCCTCATGTCATAATAAAGTGAGGAAACAGCTTATATTGTGGCAACACGATGTTCCAACCTGCACTGAAAATAAAAAAAAACCCTGAAGCTGCCTTTCCCAGTCAGGTAAACTGGACCGTTAGATTAGTCATTATTGTGACGCATCAGAATAAGCAAGCATTATGCAACAGTCAGAGCCCATACAAAAAAAGTGGAATATACTGAATTTATAATGTCTATAATGACAATTTTATGAACATATTATAGATGTTCTTTTGTCTTCAGTAGTTTCAGAAATTGGGTAAATACAGGACTTATACAAAACAACGGAAATGATATAAAATACAGCTGCTATAAATGTATGTAAAGTGGAGCTCAACTGATTTTCCAAAATTTCTCCATAATTCAATCATTCTTTAGATGTAAACAAAGTAATTCAGAGCAGTTTGGTGTAGAGGAACTTACTGATTCATATTCTTTGCAGTGAAAGTGAACCAGGGGTCAAAATATCGACAACGCATACCAAAAGTTTGTGCGCCCCTGGTTAAACATGTTTTATTGATTTTGTAAATGTAAATAAGTTAATATATCCTCTAAAGAGAACACACTTCTGCATGTTTTAATGCATAATAACTGTTTATATGCTGCATTTAACTTATTGGTAGAAATTTATATTTTGCACAATTTATGTCTTATGATTATTTTTTTCCAATATGTATGTCCAACTCTTTTTTAAAATTTTGCACTAAAGATTTTTAAAGAGGTTGTTCAAACTTTTGCATACAACTGTATAGCCATTTTCTTCACTATCTAAAACCATCAGTAAACCTACACGTCTCCTGATTTTTTATATGGAATGTTAATTATGGTAAAATAGTGGAAAATCTGAAAAAAAAAAATTTTACTTTAACTTTTTTGCCTCACAACACCCTGCATGTATCCTTCCACCATGCAAGCGTTTTAGAAATACATTTTAGGTCAAAATCTTCTCAAAACTATCATAAAACAATGTCTCAGACATCAGGTGGACATCTGGTTCCTATCACCACCACTGTGAACAATTCTGACTCTCTAAGTTTCCACAGAATAGAGCGTTTCACACCAAACCACTCTGAATGACTTTCATCACGTCTTAACCATTGAAGTCTGCAAAAAGCCTACTAATGCTGTAAAATTTTTCCACAAACTTATATTTATGTTCCTGAAGAAAGTAAACTGGACTGTTCGAAAACTCTTACCTGTGCTGGCCTGACACAACCAAACACAGAGAGTGAGCAGAATAATCCTCATCTTGTTCGGGTCGTTCTTCACCTCGGACCACAGGGCTAGACTTCTGCATAGAAAGAGATACAGGTCTTTTTTAAAAACAAGCTGCTTTGTAAATAAGCAGAGTTAATGATCTACCTCCTGACTCTCTTTACCAGAAACCATGAGAATAGCAAGATTTCACCACTGCAGATTTCGTAATTGCAAATGCTGACATGTCCTCAGTTGCGCAACATCAAGACCAGCGCAGGAAAGTCTAAAAAGTCCTTTTTGGTGTGTTTACAGAAAGTCTCTTCTGACAGCACTGTTTAAATTTTGGGAAATATTTGATAGAACTTTGCACCAAACTTTGTGTGAAATGTGTGTGGATAAAGTGGGTGATTGGTTCATAGTGCATATGTACAGTTGTATGCAAAGGTTTGGGCACCTTTGGCTAAATTACATAATGTATTCGTTTTTGAAAAGAAGTAAACAGAACCACTGTAGCTAACTATTAAAGAATCTGCAAAAGGTTACTGCCTGCTTATGTTATATTTGATGATATGTGATGAAAAAATAGAAATAAATTTGAAAAATGTAGAACAGTATCCGTTGCCTGTGCAAAAGTTTGGACACCCTACAAAAGTCAGTACTAAGTAACACCCCCTTTGGCAGACATCACAGCTTGTAGCCAACTAAGAGTCCTTCCCATCTTTATTTATGACTTTCACCCACTCTTCCTTGCTGAATGCTTCTAGTTCTGTAATAGTCTTGGGCCATCTTGTCTGCATGATGGCAACCGTGAGGGTCTTTCGAAAAGCCTCCGCTTCCAAACCTTATGGTCGCTCATGGTGGATTTCAAGGTATGTTGCGGATCATTGTCCTGTTGTACAACCCCCATTTCCAGAAACGTTGGGACAATTTGCAAAATGCAATAAAAACAGGAATCTGTGATTTGTTGACTTTCTTGAACCTTTATTTAACTGACCAAAGTGCAAAGAAATAACTTTTAATGTTTTGGCTGACCAGCCTGACAGTATTTTGTAAAAATAAACAAATTTTGAATGAACTAAAAAAAAGTTGAGATGAGGCAAAATAAGTGAGTGAAACATTCCACACTAAGAAGATGAATTATTAACAGGTGGGGTAATCATGATTGGGTGTAAAAGGATCATCCACCAAAGGCTCAGTCTTTGCAAGCAAAGATGAGTCGTGGCTCAATACTTTGTTCCAAAAAGGACCGTTTTTAAGCACAAAATTCCAAAGAATTTAGGTCTTTCCCCGTCTACCATACATAACATAGTGAAAAGATTTAGGGCATCCAGAAAAATCTCAGTCCGTGTACAGCAAGGCTGGAAAACACTGTCATGAAACTCTTTTATGCAAGAAGAAAGCATACATGAATTCTGTGCAGAAACGCTGCCGAGTTCTCTGGGCCCAAGCTCATCTGATATGGTCCAAAAGACAGTGGAAATGTCTTCTGTGGCCAGATATGTCCACATTTCAGATTGTTTTTGGGAAAAATAGACCTTAGTTCTCCATGCCAAAGATGAAAGGGACCATTCAGACTTTTATCAGTGAAAGATGCAAAAGCCAACGTCTGGTTTCTTACCCTTGCAGGCTTCTTAGCCCAGTTTATCCTATTATTTAGAATTGAATAACTTGTTACCAAAAAACTTGAAATAAAACAAATATTACTGATAATTTACTACTAATAAAATTATTTATAATAAGAAGAAATTATTGTTTAATAATAATAATAATAACAACACTCATGTACTGCATACATGACATGTTTATGCAAAACAGGAGAACAAAGAGAAACTGAGCAGAACAGACACTTCCATCATCTCCAGCTTGGAGCTCCTGCTCTAATGTGCGGCTGAGTCTCCCTGAGGAATTCTTACTGTCATATGGGCTGCACTGAGCACGCCCGCTTTTATGGCTGCCCACGGACAGAGGAAGCTGTGGGTCTGGCAGCAGTTCAACCTGAGAGCTCTGGAGGAACCTGCTGTGCTCTTTGGAGGAAAATGGTTGATGGAGAAAACGAGGTGCCCCCCCTGCCCCCCAGATTCAGGTTCAGGGATCTGCTGCAAGGAGAACAGACCTGGCCAAACGATGACAAGTAAGTGCTCTCCGCTTACGATCCTCAATTACCGAGAACGATTGGTTTGTAAACGAGATGAATAGGCTGCATTAGGAGAGAGGGAAAAGTAATGCATCACTATGAGCAACAGATTTTACAGCAAGCAAAATCAAAATAAATAAACACAGGAATTAATACATATTCCATTCATTGCTAAGTGACTTATATAGTTAAAAATAAACAACTCACAAGTGATTAACAATAAACTGAAATTCTTCATACTCAAAGTTAAATTCCAGTGGATTTGTAAACTCCTCGTATGTAAAGCTTAGAAAAAAAATCACATAAATGCACCAGGAATGGTCAATAGAGTTAATAATAATGATAACAACATAACAGTGTTTATAATATCAATAATTAGATATTGAATATTGTGCACTTGATCCAATCCTTTAACAAATCTATGCTGAAACAGCACACACTCATCCTGTATTATCCATCACCAGGGGCGTCACTAGGGATTTACAGATGGGGAGTTGGGCCTTTACTGAAGGGATGGAGGAGGGTGGGGGGATCTGGGGGGGGGGTTGGGGGTTGTGTATTTTTAATGACCCCTAAATGTATGATAGTTATGAACATTTACAGTTGCAATAGACATAAAATTAATTTGTCCGAGCAGTATTTGGCACACAGTACATGCTGATCCCTCTGATTGTGGCCAAAGAACTTCATTTACTTCCTTTGTCCACAACACTTGCGTCCAAAATGCCTCTGGCTGATCTTGATGTTGTTTTGCATATTTCGGACTTTGACTTTTGTGATGAGGTGATATCACAGTCTAATGGACTCTTATGGTTTAACGGGTAAGCTGATTCCAGAAGCATTTGATGGCTCTCTGTTGGGATCCACTAGGAAACTAGTGGTCTCTAATTGTAACCATTAAGCCAATTCCCATTTAAAAGCAAAACAGTCTTTAATAGTTCTTTCTAACGGTCTTTGTTCAGCAGGGATATCAATGAAATACTACTGAAGCAAAGCAATGCTGTCTCCTCCAGTTTATTAGATTAAGTGACCCTTATCTGTGACCCTTATCAGTCACCTCCGCGATCTAACCCATCCGCACAGTGAAACACCACATAGACACTAGTGAATACACACACTAGGGGCAGTGAGCACACTTGCCCGGAGCGGTGGGGGGCAGGTGCCTTGCTCAAGCGCACCTCAGTCATGTACTGTCGGCTCAGGGGATCCCTAACCTCCAGTCCACGACTGCCCCTAGATCCAGACTCTAGACTAGTACCTTATCAGATCTGCTTCTTCAGCTCTGACAGCCTCCTTCAGCTTCTTTCTCTCCCTCTCCTCGCCTGTGTTTAGTAACACACTTTTTTTCATTTAACTCAAATTTACAAGAGATCAAGGTTTAATGACAGATAACCTGGCTAAAATCATCTCACCTCTCCAGGGGGGACTTATGTCCATCTGTGGGTTGAGGAATTGAGGGATGTGAAATCACATCATGATGAACTAAATCTGTTTCCTTTCCACTGACATTGACTCACTGTAAACAACAGTCTGTATGGATGGGATTAGTTTTCCATGGAGAGGTGTGGTAAGGCCAATTGACCACAGGATATCTGTAATGTTCATGATCAATTCACACAGAATTAGAACTCTAAATGACAGAGATGGGAGAGGCTACTCGATTCACTCCACCAATTTTTTCCAAATATCTGCTTGATTAAATAGTCCAGATGTAAACAGAGTCATTACGATGGTTTGAAAATTGTGAAATACGATTATTCTTTAATACTTTAGGTTACATACTGCTGCAGTGCGGTCAACTTCACATTGACTGCTCAGGATAAAGCATGTCTCAGCATTGTAAAGCCTGTAAGAGGAGAAAAGCCTCTGAGTTAAAAGCTGCTGTGCTGTAGCAGCAACAAGATCATCTGCAGTGTGTAAACAGGACCAGCAAAAAGGTTGTGAGGTTGTGTTACTTCCACACACGCTGAAGTTGTGTTTCAGGCCAGGTCTGCTTTTTGAGTGAGGCACAATACAGGGCAGTCAATCAGAACAGAGATCATTTACATATACTAGTTTAGAAACAAGAAAAAAGAAGAATCTTTGGAATGTTTCTCTCACAACAGCCTAAACCAATTATCTGGTGTTGAAAACTGAATCTACAACTGTAGGTTAAACCAGTTCGTACCGTTTAACATCTGTTTGATCAGCTGCTGCAGTTTAATGCCCTGTTCACTGATGTTATTTTCTTTTTCTTTTCCATTCACACAGGGTGCAGGTTGAGTTCTACACCAATGAGAACACTTTAAAAGAAAGACTCAAGCTGTTCTTCATCAAAAATCAAAGATCAAGTATGTCATGCTTTAACTACAGTCTCAAAAATGGGGCAAAGATTGATACAGCACAGTATTGCAATATTTTGAGTGAAAAAAATGTATTGATAAACAGAAGCCCAAGTGATATAAACCCGGTGGTCCTAAACTTGCTTACTTAGCTTCCATAAGCTTCAACTTCACTGTTCATGAAGCTGATGAGGTTTGGCCCACCCACACAGAGGTGCCTTCACTGTGGCCCCTCTCTGTCTGAGCAACTTAGCGGGTACAAGCTAACAACCAAGCGAAAGCAAACCTAGCATGCTAGCTCATCTATCTGCCTGTTATCCATTGTCCAGCTGGCCATGCGTGTACATTGCCTGGATGCACATCCAAACAGCAAACTGAATAAGAATCTTAGCTTCTTTAAGATGTTGTCACAAGCTAGATGTCTTTAGCAAGCCATTGGACATGGGGTCTACACCACCACTTGCAAATATAGAGCCCTATATCTTATATCTCTTTGCGTTCAATGTTGTGTATGAGTGACTTAATAGGCTGTCAATCAAGTGTGCTCATTAGAAAAACTCCCAGATAAGTCTTGAACAGATCTCATTAGCAGCTTTTAAGTCATATTTCAGCTTTTTTTCCTTTTAGTTTTAGTCACTGGGAGGGTAAAGGCTAGCACATCCATGTGAAGCTTGACTTTTCGAACTGCCACTAATGCAGCGTCATTGGTCACTGGCATGATAAAAATGCAGCTTATCCAGAGTTGATGCCAACGGCATCAAACAATCCGTGCCCAACAACTGTCTGGCAAGGAACTTCATCCTGGCTTTTACTTTTATTTAGGCACTTTTATTGCCATGACTCCTCCACTTATACTATTATCAAAGAAACACCTAAAATAATTAGCAGTCCTAGGCATAATGATATAATCCACTATCTAAAACAAACAGAACAGACTCAGTTTTGCCTAAACGTAAAGAACGACTACAGCCTGAAATCAATACACCTACCCTATCTTACCTAGCTGCTCCTGCACTCTGTTGATATCCTGAAATCAGTAATGCAGAACCATCAGAAGTTTTTATAACCACATACAGTTTTAATAACATTAACATGTAACAAGAACAACAAGGGCCCCAAAACATAGCCTTGAGGAACACCACTAGTGACCCCATGCATTTCAGATTAAATAACACCATTCTCCACAATCATAGAGTGTCCAGTGACACCTACCTCCAACTGTTAAAATATTTGTTAAAAGAAACATTTCTTTTCTCTTTTTAGGTCTCCGAATACGTTTCTTCCACTTCTCTCTCAAGCTGCTGAGCTGCGTTTTGTACATATCTCGAGTGCTGTATGACTGTGGGCCTAGACAACTGTGGTAGGTAACCCATTCAGTGAGCTGAAAATATCAGGGGGTTGGTTGTGGGTTTGTGTATCTTCTGCTAGTGCTGATCTTCTAGGGCATATTGCAGGGGGTGATTTCCACATGTGACGTTTTTGTTCAAGAACCAGAGGGAATAGCGGTTTTGGAGGAAGATATGAGTAATTCTAATGGACCCACAGTTTTGATTGCCGGTGATGAGATGAGAAATGAGAAATCCTGCTGCACATAAAAACCAACAGTTTTAACTGGATCAACCACCATTAAAGCTCTTTGCTTGAGAGGTCCATGAAAATCACTGAGTGAATCAGCTCAGCTGCGTCACTGCTGGCCACTTTATCAGAAACTGATCTCTTGAAGTTCCATCTGGCTGGTGTACAGTTAGAGACTGTTGCTGATTTGTTTATGAACAATTTGTGTTAGCCATTCTTTAGCCTAGAGATCTGCATTTCTCCAAATATGAATTTCAACTACATAAAGTGGGCAAAAAAGTCCTATATTTTTCAGACTTATGAACTACATAACATTTACAATAATTTAATTACATCTTAGTCAGTGTTTATCAGCAAGTCTTCTATATATATATATATATATATATATATATATGTATATATATATAAGTATATATATATATATATATATATACTTATATATATATATATATATGTATGTATTACCATTAAATTTGACACAAAATATGGAATCCAAGTGCGTAGGTGTTTCTAATAAAGTGGCAAGTGAGTAATCTTTAGTAAAATGAGTCTTTTCTAAATGAAGCTATGATAAATGAAATGCTCAATTGTATAATGTGTTGGTTGAGAGGACACAGCTTTAAGTCACTTTAACGTATATTTTTGTTTTTGTTTTTTAATCTCCGCAGCCTGGATTGCCAAAATTACACCTTATTTGGGATAGACTGGTAAGTGTCAATAATATATATAGATATATCGATTGAAAATGGGATATTGTGATCATAAATATGTCCTGGCAGGATAATTAAAACTCCCTTTGTAATTTGGGTGGAACATGGTCTCCAAGTGCATAGCCATATAGCTAACATAGCTAATGCTAGCTTTGTATCTTTTTAAACTGAGAAATAAGAAAGTAAAAAGGCTGAAATTAATCACATTTTATTGCAAGGAATCTGTTTTGTGTTGTGGTCATTTTCTGCCAGTAAGAATGTGAAGCTCATAAAGTAGTCAGTGAGTGGAAGTACAAGGTGGGTGTTTCTAATAAATAAAGTAGGTGTTTCCAATAAAGTGGCCAGTGAGTGGAAGTGGGTAGAAGTTCAAGGTAGGTGTTTCTAATAAAGTGGCCAGTGAATAATCTTTAGTTAGTCTTTTCTGTATAAGGCTATGATGAAGGAAATGCTTGGTTGTTTAAAGTGTTAGTGGAGAGAACACAGCTTTAAATTACTTTAATGTCATTTTTTTTCTTCATCTCCACAGCCCGGTTTTCCAAAATTACACCATGTTTGGGATAGACTGGTAAGTACTGATAATACATAGAAATATAGATTGAAACTGGGATATTGTGATCATAAATATGTTCTTGCAACATAATTGAAACTCCCTTTGTGGCAGGGCTCCAGTAATTTGGGTGGACCGTGGTGTTGAACTGTGGGCTTTGCAGGTAAAATCAGATAAATGAAAGCCTTCTGAAGGTGTAACTGTTTCCAGCATTGGAGGTTTTGCCCTAAAATGAAAACATAGCACTTTAATCGATCCCTGCTGCATAACATTATCATAACCATGCCATAAACCTGTCACAGCAGATGTCACAATGTTTGATGGCAGTTTATGTCATGATAATGTATGCTCAGTATACTCTAGCTTGCCACCACGACATCAAACGTTATGACATCTGCAGTAACATGTTTATGGCATGGTTATGTCAGTGTTATGAAGCAGGGATCAAAAAAAGTGTTACCCAGAAAATCATATTTGTAAAAGGCCTTTAATAAAATGATTAGGAATAACAGTCGTGTCTCTGGCATCTTCAGGTGTCTGTGGCAGTCGTATGTCTGTCTCAGACGCTACTGCTAACCTACCTAAGTTACAAGGTAAGAGTTTTATCCCTTGCATGCCGTCTGATTGTCCAGACGCTCTGTTGTTACAGATATGCAGTTCTATGCAAAAGTTTGGGCACCCCTGATCAAATTTGATTTTCTAGTTTAAAATCAGTTTTTTACTTTTGAAATTAATGTGGCATTTGCAAAAGTTCTGACACATATTTTATTACATTAATTATGTTATATTTTACATTAGGTTCCTCAGGGAACCTAAATCTGTTTTCTTTCTAATGAGGTTAGTCTTGTTCCTGCAGGCAAACAGTAAACATACTAAGTTCACCCTTTGAATAATGTTCCAGTGACCATAAATGATGATATATTTCACCATATTTCTCTCCTCTCAATGTAAACTGGGCAGTCCTAATCTTGGGTAATGTTTCCTTAAGCATTCCCTTGACCAATCGCAAGGCTGTGTTTCTGGCCCCGCCCACACAGAACAGTTTCAGTGTCAGAGAAGCTTAGTGAGCTAAAGCTAACCCGGCATGATGAAAAGCTAGCGAGTTAAAGGTCCTGTCTGTAGCTGCCTGTCGTCTGTCCGTTCGTTTATCCATACACAAGCATTGTTCGTCGTCTGTTCCTTCATTCTTCATCAGTCCATTTGTCTGTCTGTACATTTGACCGTTTTTTGTCCAGTTAGCATCACATAAAAGCGATAATGATGTTAGTGTCCACAGTAGGGGGCAGTCATGGGCTGGAGGTTAGGGAACCAGCCCTGTGACCGGAAGGTTGCTGGTTTGATCCCCTGAGCCGACAGTACGTGACTGAAATACCCTTGGTGCCGTGGATAGGGCTGCCCACTGCTCAAGTGTACTCACTGCCCCCTAGTGTGTGTGTTCACTAGTGTGTCTGTGGTGTTTCGCTGCACGAATGGGTCAGAATGCGGAGGTGAAATTTCCCTGTTGTGGGACTAAGAAGGGTCAATTCATTTAATTTTTAGTTCTGTATGAGGGGCGGAGCTAGGAGTGTTGGACAGAGAGCTGTCAATCACACTGCTCATTAGCCACGCCCACACAGTTCTCAGATCTGATCAGCAGTTTTTATCATATTTATATCATAACTTTTTCATTCAAACTTTGCTGGATGTTTAATGTGACACTCAAGTTTAATATCAGGCACACATTTTTTAGATTTCGCTCTGTGTTTGCTGAGACTTTAAACAAATAAACAGAAATTTTGCACTAAACTTTTTTAGGACAAAAGTCATATTTAGGTGTGTTCTCTGTAGAGGATGTGTTCACTTATTTTCACCTGAAAAATAAACAAAACAGGCCCACTGACCAGCGGTGCTCAAATGTTTGGATACTACTGTATGCCTGTTACCTGGACTAGGGAACAGAAGGAGAATAAGTTCAGTGAACAGCATGTGAGAACATGGTTAGAACTGAGAAATGATGATGATCTGGATTGTGTGTCCTTCTGGATTAGGGGAACATATGGGAGCAGATACTTCGCATAACGTTCCTCCTGGAGATCATCAACACGGTGCCCTTTCTGATAACGGTACATTCATTTTCTGATCTAAATGTTTCTGGCTCTGTGCCGATATGGCTGGGATTCTAGCCTTTATATTCAATTTCTCTGAAATTCTAAGTGATGAAAAAATTTCCACAGCTTGTGAAAGCATCATTCAGTCAGTTCTCAACAGTGTGTTATCTTTGTCAAGATCTTTTTCACAGGTGAGAGACTTATTTTCTCAAAATAATAACTTACTATGTCAAAATAATGACTTTATAATGACTTTTTGCAATAATTATTTATGAACTCAAAATAATTACTCACTTTATTGAAAAGTAACAACTCATTATTTCATCATATTCTCAAAAAAATAAGTCATGATTTTAAGATACCAAGTCACCAAAATTTGTTTAGTAATTCATTATTTTGAGATACTAAATCAATACTAAAAAAGCAGTAATAAGCACTAATCATTATTTTGAGAAAATAAGTGATTATTTTCAGATACTGTCAATATTTTGAGAAAATAAATCAATGGTTTAAGACACTAAGTCAATATTATGAGAAAATACATGATTATTTTGAGATACCAAGTCAATATTGTAAGAAAATAAATCATTGTTGTGAGATACCATGTCAATATTTTGAGATACTCAGTATTTTGAGCAAATATATCATTGTTTTGTAGGAAATACATAATTATTTTGAGACATTAAGTCAATATTTTGAGCAAACAAGTCATTATTTTGAGATCCTAAGTGTAATTTAGCCTTATTAAGAAACATGCCTGTATTCCTCACCAGAAATGTTCATAAAATAATTTTTGAAACCTTCTGTTTTCTTTTCTCCTGCAGGTTTTCTACTTTCCTCTTCACAATCTATTCGTCCCTGTGTTCCTCAACTGCTGGCTGGCCAAACATACACTGGAAAACATGATCGTGAGTGCAGTGATTAACAGATCAAGTATTTGATGTGTAAATTCTGTTTTTGTTCTGAATAACAGTCTTGAGCATATTGGTGTCTATAATGCAGTTAGTTTTAATATATTTTTTTCAGTGTATGCAACAATGCATTGTATACTGTAATCAGGTATGGGCGGGTCATTGATCCAATGACACTTCGAAAGTGATAATTGTTCAAGGAAAGTTCTGAGCATATTCAGTACAGTTTAAATGTCCTGATGACTTGAAAGAAGTGTAAAATTCTGAAAATATAATGTTTCCATAGATACGAATAGCTGAATTCCAGAGCACCTCCTCCATAACATTGAAAAACTTGTGTTGTCTTTTATATGTAAAGCATGTGAACGTGGCTTTGGGCCTCAAGCAATTCACACTAGCATGTGTAGCAGTCTAAGGTTTCTCCACAAGCAAACCACTTTGTGTGCATCATTCACCCACACCATGAACCCACACCAGAAGGAGCTTGTGAATGCATGTGCTGGCAGCATTGACTGTACACAGTGTGTGATATACCCCCTGGTATTCGGGGGGTCCCGTGTTGGCTCACTAATACAGTATTAGCTAGCTGCTAACTTGCCACAGCGCCACTGAGGCTAGCTCCAATTCAGTCTTTTCACCAACCTCTTGGGAAAACTGGGCAAGTTTTCAGACTTACTAATATGGCATATTCTAAAGTTTTTCATATGTATACCAGGCATTGTTACACTTGCTAGGCTATTAAGGATCAACTGGATGAGCTAGTTTGCTATAGCGCCACCCTGAGGCAGACCAGTTCTGTGTCTCTAGTTCATCAAAATACCAAAGACAGAAGCTCACTGGTTGTGGAAGAAGAAGCTGAACAATGAGCTTTCACTTTGTTGCACAATGTTGAATAAGTATATTTTTAGGGACCCCCCCCCCCCAGAATTTTCCTTTTGAGATATTTAAGGGGTCCAAGAGGTTAATTGGAGGACCTGGACTCCCCAGGACCCCCTGTATTTCGAAACTTGACTGTACACATATATGTTATACACCATATTATACAACATCTGTAGACTGGTTTGCGGTCACAACTTTCAAAACAAGAGGTGAAATAGTTGATCAGTTAAAGATGTTGAGTTAGTGGTATGGTCCATTCAAGATTATAAAACAATTCTTTGTGCATTTCTATTATTATTCCCACCTCTGAAGTTGCCTCAATTCATCTGATTCTCTGTTTGTACTTCCAGAACGACTTTCATCGTGTTATACAGCGGACGCAGTCGGCCATGTTCAATCAGGTCCTGATCCTGATCTCCACGCTCCTGTGTCTCATATTCACCTGGTGAGTGGCCACCAGGTAGTCTGAATATCCTGGGTTGCCAGTTGCTTTGAAACACCTGCCTTTTAGAGGCAGGTCAGATAATTTGAAGCACAGGTCCTAAACTAAACTCAGCTGAGGGGCAATAGACATGGTGGTCTTCTCCAGTGGTGGTTGGGGGTGGGGGGAAAAAGAATTTTACCAGCATAAAGTTTCTTATCTGCCATTTTACTGTTACTATTAGTAGTACAAGTAGTTCTATTCATACATAGTTTTTAGTGAAATTGTGAATTTAGTGAATTGTAATAGTATTGGCATTCTTGTAGAATGTAAGTGAAGTTACTGCAAGTGCAGTGTGGGCAAAGCAGAGTGGTTAAATCTGCGTTCTCAGATTCAGATTCAGATATTTTTCTGAGTATTTCTTAATTCTGACACGCTGATACTGCTGTGTGCCAAATGAATCCAAAAAGGCAGATTAAACTAACTATCCACAAAGGAACTACATTTTTACAAAGCCATTGTTGTTGGCAATTGCTGCCGTCAAAAGTTTATGATAAGAAGTTATATATCGCTGCTGTCGGAAGAAAACCTTGTATCTCCAAAATGATAACTTCACAGGAGAAAGAAAAAACCTACTTTACTTTTAATGTAAGTCAATGGAACCAGACATTTTTCTGTGTCATTTTCGGTCATTTCTTTTGGTCCATTCATCATAAAATTTAAAGAGCAACAAGTATTTTCAAATTATGTCAAAAAACTGGAAAATGTCAAAAATGGAGATACAAGGTTTTCTTCTGACAACAGCGGTACATACATACATATATGGTTTATTTTTCAGTGAGATGAACCATCATGAAGACTTTATAAAATGCAGTGAGATGTGCAAATTTTTAGGCAAACAAATTAACTGTAATAAGAACTGAAATACAGTAAAAGATAAAATTTACACTCAAAAAAATGAACCAACGGCATTGGTCAACTTACAAACTGAAAATATGTTGACATTTAAATAAATGAATTGTGTTGATTTCATGTAACTGGTTTATGTAAAACAACAAGTGAACTATTTTGAGGTAGCAAAGTCTGCACTGACTATACTAACTCTACTCTGTTCAGTAGAATGAAAATATGCTGCGTCATTAAACTAAATGCACACTGTATTATTTTGAGTGTATTAAGTAACAGCTAAGAATTTTTTTTAACTAAATGAGCATAATGAAGAATCATATCTGTTTTGTGCCAGTTTCATGTATTCCTCCTACTGAACAGACGCTTTTGCGGAGGTGAAGTTGCAGTTTTGCTTATCATACTCGCACTTCCGAGATAGCCAGGGGTTGGGAAACTACTTCACCTGCCTGCAGGGTATTCAGAGAGTGAACTGTATAATGGTTTTCCTTATTTCTGCTATTTGAATTAATCAAGCTTTGGGTATTTACTATTTCAGTCACTGTGACTGTAGTCTGTTTTCTCATATTTAGTTATAGTTATATTTATAGGGTTTAAAAGTGAAAAAAAATTAAAGAAAACAAATGAAAAAAGAGTGAAGCAGGATCTCTGTTTGAGGAACTAAATGCTGTGACAAAGCACTATTTTAGTGCTTCAATAAGAATTGCTCAATAGTACTGTCTTGGCCCATGAGGTAGCTCTCAGTTCAGTGACAAAGACGCTCATGATACATATGGTACACTTTAGGGGCTAATCTTATATAACTGTTGCCATTTGAATCCTTTCATCATTTCATATATGCAGTGCCATTAACATACTTTAGGATACAGCAGATGCGACCAGGCCGGTGTCACTGTTAGCAATAATGGCAAATGAAACTCACCTTCCACTTTATTAGAACCCCCCATTCTTAAACTTACTGACTACTAGCTTCCACTAATTGGCTACTTCATCAGAAACACCTCCCTTGCGTTTCCACTTACTGGCCACTTCATTAGATATTTCTATGTATTATCAATACTTACCAGTCTACCCTAAACATGGTGTAATTTGGAAAATTATAATTAAGCATTTCAATTATCATATCTTCATTTAGAACATAATAAAAATTACTCACTGGCCACTTTATTGGAAACACCTACTTTATTTATTAGAAACACCTACCATGTACTTCCACTCACTGGCCACTTTATTAGAAACATGTACCTTGTGCTTCCGCTCACTGGCCACTTTATTAGAAACACCCACCTTGTGCTTCCACTAACTGGCCGCTTTATCAGAAACATCCACTTTGTGCTTCCACTAACTGGCCACTTTATCAGAAACACTTACAATGGGCTTCTACTCACTGGCCACTTTATTAGAAACACCTACCTTGTATGGCCACTTTATTGGAAACACCTAACTTGTGCTTCTACTAATTGGCCACTTTATTAGAAACACTCACCCTGTTCTTCCACAAACTGGCCACTTTATTAGAAACACCTACCCTGAGCTTTCACTAATTGGCCACTTTAGTAGAAACACCCACCTTCTAGCTCTGTTGTGTAGGTGTACAGTTAAAGACCAACTATTGCTTCACACTTTATCAGCCCCTCATTCTTCAATGGTCAGTTTCTGAGCACAGGTCCGCTATTTTCTCGGCATGCCTTGGGAGGTGGACTATTCTTAGCACAGCAGTGATGCCTCTGTAACTGTATGCCAGGAAAGTGGAGCTACAAGGGAGGGGTTTCTGATAAAGTGGTCAGTGTGTATGTATGAGATTTGTAATACTCGTCAGATTCCTAATAATATTCAGAGTGGGAAATTTTTAATGGGCCCAAATGGACTGCAGTTCATTTTATACACAAACATGGACACTGAGCAAAACATAGAAAATAGCATTAATTTAAGCAGAACACTAGGCATTGGGAATGTTTTTGCTGTCTTGTAGGGGCAAAATGTTGAATATAGGGGCATAACATGCTTATGTCTAATAGTGGCACCACATATGAACCTGCAGTTGTGTCTGTTAGATGAAGCAATAGAAAGTGTTTCCTGTTTGCTACTGCCAACCTCCATTTGGTGTCCATTACAGCTTTTCTGATGGGTTCATATCGGCCTTTATGTGTCTCTAATGGCCGTAATGATGTAGTTGCCTCTGATTTGAGTGTTGATTCTAACTAACGTATTTAAGCAGTGAAAACAACATCCCTCTGACTGCTTCTGTGTCCTTTTATTTAGTCTTACCAACAGCTACATAAAGCTACCAACTATTTACCAGCTATTCGCCAACAGATAGTGCTGAAAACAAGGAGACATGAGACTTATGTTCACGACTCATACATGGATATTTGCGTGTTCCGTCATTGCGGACAGGGTAAGGCCCCCCCCCGTTTCATTCCCTACTGACCCATTTAGAAGACTTCATCTCTTGTTAATCACTGCTAAGTGCTCACGATGTTGCCATTAGCTCAAGCTCTAATGTGAATCCTTTTGTTTTTAGCGCTTTTTTTGCTGTTTTGCCACTAAGAGAGCAGACACATGAGCAGGGCCGCCATGTGAAGACGCAATTATCTCCCTCATTTCCTCAATCCGCAGACCATTAACAGCCAGAGAGGCTCTCAGCACTCACACTCTGCAAGGAAGATGTTTAGCGATCATGTTGTTGTTGTCCGGTCATGTGCCTCACAAAGTTTTTGTTTGATTCTGCTGTTGAATTCTCGAATGCAAACGTGTTGTAAATCACTTGCATTGTTTTTTGTTCCTTCTAAAACCTCCATTTCAAAAAAGTTTGAACACTGTAAAATGTTAATAAAAACAGAAAGCAGGGTAAGTAAATTCTGCTAAATTGACCTTATGGCCTTTTTTTAGTAAATATGTGCTCATTCCAAATTTGATCCCTGCAACACATATAAAAAATAATGCTGGACATGATCATGACCGTGTTACGTCACCTTTTAACAGCACTTAATAAACATGTCTGCCCTGCAATGGACTGAAGGCCTGTCTAGGGTGTTTCCTGCCTTCTGTTTCTTTGGATCCATTATGAATGAATGGATCTGAACCACATTTGGAGGTTTGAAATGTCATTCCAGTCAGATTTTTACAGATGTGTCTCAGTCTGGATGCTCTGGCCACTCAAATCGGATTTCAAACTGTCTTTTGTGTCACAATGTGACAAACAAGGCAATGTCAAATCCAGAGGGATGCAAGTGCTGGGATTCATTTACACATCACCAGCGTAGCTACATAGTTACTGATACCTATGTCGTTAGAACAGCAACCCCTGCAGATAGGCTGGTGATGTCTGGACACACATATCCAATTTCATCACTTGCAAATAACATTGCAGGCGGTCATCTCAAAAGATCTGATCCGATTTACCTTCTGTCTGAACATATCCAAAGAAAGGTGCCTTTTTTGAATAATGAGGTTAAGGAAGGAACTGTTGATAGTCAACAAGCTCTTGCAGGAACCACTAACTACCTCACCTGCTTCAGCTGTATGTCCCTGGAGGAATCACCTTCATTTGAGTGAGACCTCAAGAACCTTTGGGGTCCCTAGAAGAACATATTGGCCTAAAAGGGGTTATTTTAAGAATTGTGGAATTTTTGGGGAGTTCCCCAAAGTCCTCTTGTATTCTGGCAGGTAATCAGAAGGTTTGGTGAGCACCTACATGATGACTGCCTGCTGGGGAAGAAATTATTCATCAGTCTGGAGAACTTGTTTGATGGATGACAGGGATCCCTCCTGATGCCACATGATTTTCTTTTATTCGGTTTGGTGTGGATGTCCTTAATGGCAGGGAAGCATGACCCAGTGATGGACTGGGCAGGCTTCACCACCTGCTGCAGCACTTTTCTGTCTGAGACGGAAAAGTTTCCATACCAGGCAGTGACACTGCAAGCCAGGATGCTTTTGTAGATGCAGAGGACAGGTGTGTTACGGATGCTTTCACAGATTACCCGCTAATACCCCCCCACCATGACAAATGGCGAATTTTGAACTGAATGCTGGTAACAGTCTGGATAGCCATTTTCTTCTTTGGCCTGCAGAACACAGCGTACCTTATTTCCATAAAAAATCTAAAAGGTTGACTCATCAGACCACAATACGTTTTCACAGAGCATCAGTTCATTTCAGATGAGCTTGAGCCCAGAGAAGTCGGCGGTGTTTCTGGCCATTGTTGATATATGTCTGTGCACTGTGCATAGTACAGTCTTAACCTGCATTTGTGGATGCAGCGACGAACAGTGATATAGTGTTAGCAGCAGTTTGAAAAGATGTGCTGGAGCGTCGTGAGTTCTGGAGGAAAGGTACTAGCCTTCATACTCCCAGCTGGTTAGCACCATGTAATTGGAGCAGAGCTAGAAATAAGGTAGAATTGGACATGACTAAACTGGGGTATCTACATCTGTAGTACTACTGTAGTAAAGATTTGTAGTACTTTTTATTAGGCAAAGTTACAATGACTAACAAAGTAAATGCAACATTATCATTAACACATTATTCACATCATAAAATCACAATTCACAGAAATTGAAAAGGCAAAATGACTATCGTGTTAGGATGGTCTATTTTAATCCAGTCTTGACGTCCTTAAAAAAATAGCCAGCCAACAGCTCAATTCTCTAGCTGTACACCAGCAAGATGTAGCTTCAAGACAGGGGTTTCTACTAAAGTGACTGGTGGGTGTAGGTAAAGTTATGCATCTTCTCCATTTCAGCATATGTGGGATCCAGCATCTGGAGCGTGCCGGGCGGAATCTGAGCCTTTTTGACTCCGTCTACTTCTGCATCGTGACCTTTTCAACTGTGGGGTATGGAGACGTCTACCCAAAGATCTGGCCCTCTAAGCTGCTGGTGGTCATCATGATATCTGTGGCTCTTGTGGTGCTTCCTGTCCAGGTGAGTGTCTACAAATCTTTTCCAAAAACATCTTGCTAAATTAGTCTAAGGCATCACATGCGTCAAAATACACATTTTTTACAGCTTAGGTAATAATAGTGATAAAATTTATTTATACAAAAGTTTGAACACCACCTGTCAAAGTCCATGTTTTGTTCATAAGTGGATAAAACACATCCTCACCTAAATATGGTATTTGTCTTCAAATTTTATGCACTTTTTATATATTTGCTGAGCTTAACATATTTGAAATAAATCAGAAAATATATGAAAGGTGCCATTCAATATGTTTTTGTTTTATTTTTACCCGAATATGTTAAACTCAGCAAATAAACAGGAATTATGTTTTAAAATGTGCAGAAGTGTGTTCTTTGTAGAGGTGGATCTTTATAGATGTGTTAACTTTTTTCCTTGGATCGACAAAACATGAACTTTGACTGGGAGTGTTCAAACTTGGTACACTTCTAAACTTATGAAAAGGTAAAAACTTGGATTTGAAACCAAAAATGACCACATAAAACTATAAATGTCATGTAAATCTTATGTAAATTAGACAAAATAGAATGGCATTAAAAATCAGCAATGGGCCGCAGTATTATAAAAGCAAGGCGTATTGATAAAAACAGGACAGTCTGTGAAAAGCTTATTTTTACTGCAGTTCGAGCAGTTGGCGTACCTGTGGATGGAACGTCAAAAGTCTGGGGGAAACTACAGCAGACACAGAGCCGAGACGGAGAGGCACGTGGTGCTGTGTGTCAGTTCACTCAAAATCGACCTGCTCATGGACTTCCTCAACGAGTTTTATGCCCACCCCAAGCTCCAGGTATGTGACCGAGATCTATAACTGCATAGCTGTATCTGATCTAATTCTGTAACGTTTATGTAACATAAAAACGTTTCAGAACAGCGCCGACCTGCCGAGGCATGGACTCCTTTAAGTCCTATAAGTTGAGAGGTGGAGCTGCCTCAGATTGGACTTCCAGCACATCCCACAGATGCTCGATCAGATTGAGATTTGGGAGATTTGGAGGCCAGGGCTTTGTCATGTTCCTCAAACCATTCCCGAACAATGTGTGCATTGTGGTAGGGCACATGATCCTGCTGAAAGAGGCCACTGCCATCAGGGAATAACATCACTGTAAAGGGGAATACCTGGTCCTGGTGTTTAGGTGTGTGGCCTGCATCAATTTGACATCCTCTTGAATGGACCTAGGGTATCCCAGCAGAACATTTCCCAGAGCATCATAATCCCTCCACCGGCCTGTCTTCTTCCTACAGTACATCCTGGTGCTATCGCTTGCCCAGGTAAACATGAACCCAGCCGACCACATGATGTAAAAGAAAAGGGACTCATCAGACCAGGCGACCTTCTTCCATTGCTCCAATGTTTTATGCTTCCAACGCGTCCTAAGCTTTTAGTTGCTTTTGCCATTGGACGGGTCAGCATGGGCACTCTGACCAGTCTGCAGCTACGCATCCCCATACATTGCAGATTGTGAAGCACTGTGTGTTGTGACACATTCCTCCTGTAACCATCATTAAAGATTTCTGTGTCTTGTGCCACAGTAGCCCTTCTTCATTTCGGACTAGATGGAATATCTTTTGTCGCCCTTGCACATCAGTGAGCCTTGGGCACCCAACACCCTGTCGCTGGTTTGTGGTTTGCCCTTTCTCTGTCCACTGCTGACCCCACCCCAGAAGCCTTGCTGTCTTGGAGATTCTCTGACCCAGTTGCCTGGCCATAACATTCCTTGTCAATGTCTCTCAGGTCTTCACGCCTTCTCATTTCTCCCACATCCAACACACTGACTAGGCAAGCCGTCTATTTACTTCCTGTACTAGACCTTGACATGCGCCGTTGTTAGGAGATAATCAATGTTATTTGCTTTATCTGTGACTGGTCATAATGTTTTGGCTCATCTGTGTAGATACACCTAACTATTATGAGAAGGTGTGGCTGTCAAGAAGCTGTTCCTGAGAAAAGGAAATAGACAAAGTAGGAAAAATTACAGTAGAAAACCAAAACTGGACATCTGAGTAAGATTTCACGGATTTCAAGATTTCAATAGTGTATACTTTGATTGTGGAGCCAAATTCTAAGACTGAAGGTTGGAGGTTTGGAAAAATATTCCTAAAAATGGAAAATAAGTCTTCTGAAAAAATATAAGCTGTAATAAAGGTAAAGGGTCGTCTCAAGGGTCGCAAGGTAAGATTGGCAAATTCCTGATGAAGTAATATCACAAACTGATGTAAAACATTAATAGTGTAGGGCTGTGGTCTCCAAACCTTGTCCTGGTGAGCTACTTTCCTGCACAGTTTAGTTCCAACCTGCATTTAACATGCTGTTCCTCCCTTACCTTACACTAATAAATCTGATCCAGCCAACCAGGAACTTCTAAAGAAGTCAATTAGCTGGAGCAGGTGTGGCAGACTGTGGTTGGAACTACCCCCTGCAAGAAGGTATCTCTCCAGGACCAGGGATGGAGACCACAGCCCTACACTATTAATGTTTTACATCAGTTTGTGATATTACTTCATAAACATTATAAACGTTATGTTTCGATGCCTCTGTCCTGCAGGACCACTACGTCGTCATCCTGTGTCCGACAGAGATGGATACTCGGGTGCGCCGGGTGCTGCAGATCCCCCTCTGGTCTCAGAGGGTCATTTACCTGCAGGGGTCCGCCCTCAAAGACAAAGACCTTTTCAGGGCCAAGTGAGTATTCACAGAGTTTGGCTTTTCCTGTTCATCTGAAAATCACCCTCAAATAGCATTTTTTACAGAGTGTAAAAATCAGAGACCACCCCTCATTTATTTAATTTCAGTCAAAATGTAAACATTATATACAGTTCATTCATTTTTAAGGAGATGTTTCTGAGGAGATTAGATATAAAATAATCCATGCATTTAAGGAAAGAGAGAGTCATAAGAGTCATAACTCCTAACAGCCCTTACTGAGCAAAGGAAATAGACAAAAAACAAGAAAATAAAGAAGCTGCATGTGTTCTCAATAGACTGACCACCCCAGAGTCCAGACCTCAATGTCACTGAAGTGGTTTTATGGGTATGTGCTGGCATTGAATAAGAGTAAATCTGTGCTACTCTGACAGGACTTGGCCAGGAAAGCAGTGATGACTTTCAGACAGTGAGTGTCTAAGAGAATGCAGCTTTACACTGATTTATTGCCCTCTACAGATTGAACCACGAAGTGCAACTTCAACAAACTGTTTTCAAGAAGCAGCATTAATATTATTATAGCAATACAGTCACGATTCACTTTATTAGAAACAATACCAGTACTTGCTGATGGACACTTAGAGACTGTAGCTCATCTGTCGATGTACAGTTTGTGTTGGTCGTCTTCTAGACCTTCATCAGTGGCCAGTTTCCGACCACAAAGCAGTATCTCTGTGATAGGCCACTCTCAACTTAGCAGTGTCACTGCTGTGCTGAAAATGGTCCACCACCCAAATAATATCTGATGGACTACAGTTTGTAATTGAAGGTGTTTCTAATAAACTTGCCAGTTAGTGGACATACAAGGTGAGTGTTTCTAATAAAGTGGCCAGTGAGTGGAAGTACAGGGTGGGTGTTTCTAATAAAGTGGCCAGTGAGTGGAAGCACAAGGTAGGTGTTTCTAATAAAGTGGCCAGTGAATGGAAGTACAAAGTAGATGTTTCTAATAAAGTGGCCAGTTAGTGGAAGCACAAGGCAGGTTTTTCTAATAAAGTGGCCAGTGAGTAGACATACAAGGTGGGTGTTTCTAATATAGTGGCCTGTCAGTGGAAGCACATGGTAGTGTTTCTAATAAAATGGCCAGAGAGTGGAAGTAACATAACCTCACAACTTTATTGCTGGTTCTATTTACATATTGCATACGATCCCATTGTTGCTACAACACAGAAACCTTTGACACAGACACTTTTCTCCTCTTACAGGCTGGACAATGCTGAGGCATGTTTTACCCTGAGCAGTCGATGTGAAGTTGACCGCATTGCAGCAGTATGTATTCCAACGTATTTATAGAATATTTCACAATTTTCTCTCTCTTTTACCCCAAATGTAGTCCTTCAGCCAAGACATGTTTGGTGTCTGGAGCCATGTCTGTTTAAGTGCATTGTACAAGTCTGTTAGAGATTTCTTAACAACTTGACACAGTCTGAGGCAAGCATATGATTATTGAAGGGGAATTCCACCAGTTTTGCAAAATTCTTACATAATTAAATCAGAGTGATTCAGAGTGGTTTGGTGCAGATGTCTTTACAGTGGTTGTGATAGGTACCAGGCGTCGCCATGACTACAACACAAATATAGACATTTTATTTACTATCCAGAACCACCAGTGAACCTACATGAGTCTTCTGAGTTTATATTGAGTGTTCATGATGGCAAAATAGTGGAAAATCTGAAAAAATACATTTTCTTTGGGGACTATTTTGCCTCAAAGCGCCCTGCATGTATCCCTCCACCATGAACGGATTAAGGAAAATTGAAGCCAAAACCCTCTAAAACTGTCTTAGTCACCCGGCAGTGTATTCAGAATCATTTTTTGTAATAACTTTCTGTGAAAAGGAGCTTTTAGAGGTGGACGTCTGGTTCCTATCACCACCACTGTGAACAATTCTGACTCTAGAACAGAGCATTTCACACCAAAGCACTCTGAATGACTTTGTTTATATATATATATAAAATTGGGGTGATTCTCCTTTGAGGCATACATATATTTACCCATGCTAATTAGAGAGGGTGGTACTCTAAATGAATGTTTTGTGTTCCAGGACCACCAGACCATTCTCCGTGCTTGGGCAGTGAAGGACTTTGCCCCAAACTGCCCCTTGTATGTCCAAATCCTAAAACCGGAGAACAAATTTCATGTGAAATTTGCGGGTACTTATCTTGGATCATTTGAAAACACAAACAAAAAGGCTAGAAATTCTCTGATATAACTCATACAGCTGTTGGCGAGGATGTTTGTAATGGTATAGTGGTGTGTAACAGTCCCTCTGCCCTCAGATCACGTGGTTTGTGAAGAGGAGTTTAAGTACGCTCTGCTGGCCCTCAACTGCATCTGCCCTGCCACCTCCACCCTCATCACCCTCCTAGTACACACCTCCCAGGGCCTGTGGGTACACAATCTCTGCACTGGGTCTTAAAGGGATACATATAGTAATGTAATGCAGCGTTAGAGTCTGTGTTTGAGCCAGACTGAAGACTCCATGCTTGTGATTTTCTCAGGGAAGGTCAGCAGTCTCCAGAGCAGTGGCACAGGATCTATGGCAGGTGTTCAGGCAACGAGGTTTACAACATCGTCCTGAAAGACAGCATCTTCTTCACCGAGTACAAGGGCAAGAGCTTCACCTACGCTTCATTCCACGCACAGAAGAAGTGAGTAACTGAGCAGCGATGCAGATGCAGAATATTCAAAAATACGTGCAGTATTATTTTACTGAAGTGGGCAGTGAGTGGAAACACAAGGTAGGTGTTTCTGATAAAGTGGCCACTTAGTGAAAGCACAAGCTAGGTGATTCTAATAAAGTGCTCAGTTGGTGGAAGCACAGAGTAGGTGTTTGTAATAAAGTGGCCAGTGAGTGGAAGCACAGGTAGCTGTTTCTAATAAAGTGGCCAGTGAGTGAAAGCACAGGTAGCTGTTTCTAATAAAGTGGCCAGTTAGTTTAATAAAGAGCACTTCTCACTGTAGAATCATGGCCTTGCGTGTCTTACTCTACGCCAACGCCACAGCATTTAATCAGTTTATTTTAATCCATTTATGGTGGACGGGTACATGAAGGGTGTTGTGAGGCAAAATAGTCCCCAAAGAAAACTTTATTATTTCAGCATTTCCACTATTTTCCATCATCAACATTCCATATAAACTCAGAAGACTCGTGTAGGTTCACTGGTGGTTTTGGATGTTAAATAAAATGTCTATATTTGTGTTGTAGTCATGGCGACCCCTGGTTCCTATCACCACCAGTGTAAAGACATCTGAACCATTTCACACCAAACCACTCTAAATCACTCTGTTTACATCTTAACCCTTGAATTATCCCTGGAAAATTAGTTGAATTCCCCGTTAAGTAATCTCTAATAGGCTTGCTTATGTGGTTTCTGATACTATATGATGTACTCTTATCTGAATCTATACTGGTTGAACACAGCGCTCGTCCATCACTCTTTCCCAGGTATGGGGTCTGTCTGATTGGAGTCTGCCGTGGAGACAGTAAAACCATCCTCCTCAACCCAGGCCGTCAGTACACCATGCATGCCTCGGACATGTGCTTCTACATTAGCATCACCAAGGAGGAGAACTCCAGGTTCAATTTCCAGGGGGACCGCTGCAAAAAAGGCTCCAAAACCCATCTTCCAGTGCACAGCATCATTGCTAGCATGGGTCAGTTCCACAAAGAAATCTGCAGGGATATTTTTCCATGCTTCCAAAGTTCGGTCTTAAGAGTTGGTTACATTTTCTGCTTCTCACATTATACATTATAACAATGTTATTGTAAATGTTATTATAAAAGAGGATGATTATCAGCAGAGTTACATTAAACCCACTGTTACATAGTAACCATGGTGATTTTCCTTCTTTGGTCATCAACCTCCACCTTCACTTTGTAATTGAATTAGCCTTTGTTTATTGTTAGCATCATATGCTAACATCTGTTCAGTGATATTCAGTTAGCGTAGCCTTGACTTTATATGCTATATTTAGCTGAAAGCCCACCTTTATTGAAGAAGCCAGTTTCCTCTCTTTCAATGATGCACACAAAACCTGTTGGAGTGCTAATAGCACCCCCTTGTGGAGAGCTTCAGGCATTTCAGTCATTTGTGACTCAAGATACTACCCGTTGGCTGACAGAATGATAACTCATACAATGTACTCTGTACAAATCTGCCAGCTTTATGTTTGAAATATTTCTTATTCCTCAGTTTTGCTAAGCATGATGTTGTGTTGTCAGCACTCTCTACGGTTCTACATCATACCTCCAGATCAAGATATGTGATTTTTTTTTTCTTTTTTGAACACTTGATTAATAAAATATTTCACAGCACAGACAATTATATGACATCTACAAAATATTGTTTTGTTTCATAACACAGTGAACCCATTTTAGGGTTTTCCACTTACACGTTATGCCAAAATATGCTTTTCTGCACATCATCTGCTCTTAGAGAAGACAGCCAGACCATGTTTAATTACAAAGAGAGTATTATTTGCCCTCTTTGAATGTGTTTAGTATAACACAGTATGTGAAACATTGAACAAAAATCACTGTCTCCATAGTGTGATGCATATTGTGCATCGAGAAAATGTTATATTTTTGCCATATCCTCCACCTCTAAACCTTGCGTTAAGTTAAACTTCACTGCATGTCTTTGGACTGTGGGAGGAAACCCACAGAGACATGGGGAGAACATGTAAACTCCACGCAGGAAGGACACTGGTCACCAGGGAATCAAACCCAGGCCCTTGTTGCTGTGAGGTGACAGTGCCGCCCACTGCTGCGCCACACTATGTGAAAACTGTATTAATTACTATTTTGATTTTTAAAAAGACACACAGTCCCAAAGTGATGGAAAGTAATCAGATTGTTATTTAATGTAGTAATCCTTTGGATTAGGTTACAGATTACATTTTTTGACGTGATCAGTAATCTATATTTGAATACATTACTCAGCCCTGGTTTCCTGCCTTTTACAATGCTAAACTGACACTTTAACTAAAGGCTTTTCTGTGTTTCCTGTAGGCACAGTGGCTATCAACCTGCAGGACACCAGCGACACGCCGAGCCGCAGCTCTACGCTCTCTGTTCCAGCCGAGCCCTTCAAATGCAGCAGCAAGAGACCCAGCATCGCCACCGTTCTGGAGGTGCCAGTGTCCCCCATCTTGCAGGCCGGTGAAAGTGACCAGTCCGAAGATGAGGCTGCACCGTTTTGGGATGACCAGTCCAGTGACGGGTATGAGTGAGTGTTTTTGTTGGAAGAACTTGTCCGTCTTGCACCTTTGATGAACGGCATGTGGAATGACGGTTGTTTTCTTTGTTTTTGGCAGGTACATCATGGGCTATCCTCCTAATTTACCCTACATCGGAAGCTCACAGACATTTTGCCATTTATTGAAAGAGAAAATGCCTCATTGTTGTCTGCGCCTGGAAAAGGTAGTACTGGGAGTTGAGGTAGGGGTGGGTGATAAAGCAAAAGCACAAGTAACTGATTTTATCATTGATTGTTCTGTTTTTTGATGAAGGGCTGTCAACACAACCACTGTGAAGACGCCAAAGCGTACAGCTTCTGGAACAAGCCGATCATCGTGTCTGCGGAGACGGCAGGGAACGGCCTGTACAACTTCATCCTGCCTTTACGAGCCTCGTACAGACCCAAGAAGGAGCTGAACCCCATCGTCCTGCTACTGGACAACCCGTAAACCTAAAATCCTTTAGCCTTTTTCCCTCGCCGCCACCTCTGTTATCTCTGTCCTCCGTCACTCCTCTCCATGCTCCTGTGATTAAAGGCTTGTGTTTAAATACACCCGTGACAGTCAGTGTGCTGCTTTGTTTTCATCTCCCTTGTTTTTTTGTACAGTTTGTGCATGCAAAGTTGAACTCTTAGGCCCAGTCCCATTTCTTATTCTTACCCCTACCCCTTCTTTTCGAGAGACACCCTAACCCTTGGAGCTGAGAAAGAAGAGGTAGTGGTTGAAATCTTCCCTCTGAAATGGGACCCTCAAATAAAAAGAGCATCACTTCATTAACAGCTACCAGCACTGCTCTGTAGGCGACCCTGCCAGTCTGCAGTGACAGCAGAGGAGGGTAAAGTTTAGCAACCTCACTGCTGTGTCCACAGTGTCCTCACCATTCTCAAAGCTGCTATGGTGCCCCCCACACTACTTTAGCAAAGCTGCGCTCCCATCAAGAGTCTCTCTGTGTTCAAGTGGGAGAAACCTACACAGAGAAAGCTAACCACCAATCAGAACTAACCGAACTGAGCCATCAACCCAGCTCATCTGGTTGCCCTGGGAACCAGAATTCCCTGGATGCATGTCTAGCAGTAAACTGACCACAAACCTTCTTTAAAGAGTCTCCATAAAAGAGTTGGATAATGTTGTTAGTGTGTGGACACAGCAGGGTCTGCAGCACCACCTGTATATGTGGAGCCCATTTCAGTCATTTCTCCATAATTCATTCACCCAGTTGGTTGGGGCTAAATTGCAAAACTAAACTGCTGTAGGTTTTATGGGCGATCATATGTAAAAATGCTCACATGACATCACAACCATGATGAATCAGTGAATCGGTCTCCATTTATGGACTTGGGAGTTTAACTCTGAAGCTTCATCAGTGTTAGATAGTTACATGAATTTCCAATTTCAAAAAAGCGAGGAAAGTTATGGGCCCATTAAAAGAACAATAAATCAACATTCAGGATTTTGCTGTGTGCGCTTGAGGACGGGTTTTGTGCACGTGTATTAAAAATTAAAATTTTACAAAATGTTCACAATTCTAGGCTTTGGCTTAATCTGGATCTTGAAAAGGCAGGCCTGAGCACTGATGTGACAGAAAAATAATAAGTTTACATTTGTTATGAGTGGTCTTAATTTGTGTAATTGCTGTCTTCTAGGCCTGATGCACAGTTTCTTGAGACCATCTGCTGGTTCCCAATGGTGTACTACATGGTGGGATCAATGGACAGGTATGAGACCTTTCCCTTCTACGTTTGAAGCATTTTTACTAATTGCGTTGAAGCAACGACACAAAGTCCAGCATTACAGTGAGATTAAGTATGAATGCATGGCCATACAAGTTTTCAGAATGCAAATGAACGAATGTTCTGAAGCTGAATGCATGTATGAATGTTTTTCTGTCAGTCTGGATGACCTGCTACGCTGTGGCGTCTCTTTTGCTGCTAACATGGTGGTGGTGGACAAGGAGAGCACCATGACCGCCAAAGAGGACTACATGGCCGACGCCAAAACCATCGTCAACGTTCAGACCCTCTTCAGGTCAGAATCTGGTTCCCTTGCCAAGCAATGATAAATACAGTACTGTGCAAAAGTCAGAGACTGCCCTTCATTTCCAGTCAAAATGGCCATTTTTCAGGAAATTAGATATGGCAACCCACTTGCATGAGGAAGGAAAAATAAAAGTGATAACTGAAAAAAAAAACATGAGTTTCCAAAACTGGAGTTCAAAAAAGGATTAAACTGTCTATTATTTCCACAAACAGTCTGAAAGGTTGACTCATCTGCACACAGTACAAGTTTCCAGTGTGCATCTATCCATTTCTGATGAACTCGAGCCCAGAGAAGTCGGCGGCATTTCTGGACGTTGTTGACATAGGACTTCTCCTGTGCATAGTATGAGTGGTTTGTTAAAGTACTCTCAAGCCCATATCGTAAGGGACCACAGGAACATGCCGGTTTTCCTGGTATCTTTTAATAATATTATGCACTGTAGAAGGTAAAATACCTAAAATCCTTGCAGACACTTGAGGAATGTTGTTCTTAAACTGCTGGATTGCCTTTTTAATGCATTTTTGGCAAAGTGGCGAGCCTCGAAGTTGATGAAGTAAAATATGAGCATCTTCTGTTTTTATTTGCATTTCACCTACTGTCACAAACGTTTTTAGAATTGGGTTCGTACAGTTATGTTTGTGCTTGTGATGTTATGTGTGTGAATTGCCAGCTCTGATGATCATAATGCTAGATAAGGCTTTGTGGCATCACTAGCAGAATCTCGTTCTGTTTCTGTTCTCTTTCTTTGAAAACCTTTGATTTCTCTTAGTACAACCTGCCCTCAATCACCAGGGCATTTCCAACACTGCATTGTTCTAAACCTTATTCTTCATACTTTCTCTAAACCTTATTCTCAGACTTGATCACTGCAATATCTCTATCACTGCTGCGAAATGGAGGAAACGATCATTTATAAATTTTGATCAGTGTATTGTCATTCATGCTTTCATTTTCCTTTAAGAGCTTGTTAACCTGTCTTCTGCCTGTCTGCTGCTTATAGACTTTAACTGCTGCTTATAGACTTTCTTTGCATTTATACATACTTTCTTGCTGAACTGAGTGAACAAATCGTAAATTGGCTAAATAAAGTTAGGCATTCTGGCCTAAAACTAGCACTACTAGGAGTATTCTGTAGCACATTTTCACGTTTTTGTTCATCTCACTACGATACCCTGCATACATTATACAACAACAACATACAACCATTGATAATAGCAATAAAGAAATCATAGCTGCTAGTGTAGCCATTGATATAGCCAGATAGCTAATGTTGTTGCTAGGAAGCTGAATATCACATCTGTGTTTATTAGCTTATACATCAGTGGCTATTCTAGCAGCTATGATTTCATTATTGCTATTTTCAATGGTTGTATGACACTGACATAGTGCATTCAGTATTCTGCAGCACAATTTTATATTTTTATTCATCAGTGTTCTTAATACCCAGCATATAGGTTCATCGGTGGCTTTGATAGTAAATAAAATGTCTATATTTCTGTTGTAGTCATGGCGACCCCTGGTTCCTATCACCACCACTGTAAAGACATCTGAACCATTTCACAGCAAACCACTCTAAATGACTTAATCACTGAATTATGCAGGATAAATTTTGAAAAATGGGTGGAGTTCCCCTTTTAAATACAGAATAAGCTCAGACTGAACTGAAAGGACAGCCATATGTCATGACACTAATCTGTCTGTGTGTCTGTAATGTGAACATAAGGGCTGTATACCCATACCTCTCATATTCTCTCTCTCTCTCTCTCTCTCTCACTCTCACTCTCTCTCTCACTGTTCAGGTTATTTCCCAGCCTCAGCATCATCACTGAGCTCACTCATCCAGCCAACATGAGGTTTATGCAGTTCAGGGCAAAAGACTCTTACTCTCAGGAGCTCTCTAAACTGGAGAAGGTGAGCAAAGCATTGGGACACCTACACATCACACCTACAGGAGCTTTTATGAATCCCATTCTAAATCCATAGGCATTAATATGGTTGTCCCACTGATGTTGGACGAGAGGGTCTGGCTCGCAATCTCCGTTCTAGTTCATTCCAAAGGTGTTCGATGGGGTTGAGGTCAGGGCTCTGTGAAGGCCAGTCAGGTTCTTCCACACCAAACTTACCCAGCCAGGCGTTTATGGAGCTGCTTTGTGCACTGGGGCTCAGTCATGCTGGAATAGAAAAGGTTCTTCCCCAAACTGTTCCACAAAGTTGGAAGTGTACAATTGTCCAAAATGTCTTGGTGCTGAAGCATTAAGATTCCCCTTCGCTGGAACTAAGGGTTCTAGACCAACCCCTGAAAAACAGCCCCATATCATCATCCCTCCTCCACCAAACTCTACAGCTGCACAGTGCAGTCAGGCAGGTAACGTTCTCCTGGCATTCACCAAACCCAGACTCGTCCATCAGACTGACAGATAGAGGAGCTGATTCGTCACTCCACAGAATACATTTCCACTGCTCCAGAGTCCAGTGGCCACTGCCCCGATATATATATTACATTTTTATATACAGTACTGTGTAAAAGTCAGACACCCTTCATTCATTTAATGAAAAGTTCTCCATTTTCCAGCCTCCAAAACAACAGCAGTGTTCAGTGTGTCCACTCTTAACCTTTATTCCAGCTTCCATTCTTTTCAGGAGACTCACTTTCAGTTCCTCAAAGAATCTGCAGACACACCTCCAAAGTTCAGTCTTAGAAGCTGGTTGATCATTTTCTGAAGTAATCAAACACATTCAGTGGTGTTGAGGTCTGGACTCTGGGGTGGTCAGTCCATCTTTCAGCTTCTTTGTTTGATGTGTCCGTCTCCTTTTCTCAGTGAGGTTCTTCTTGACAGCTACACATCCTTTCAGACCCACAGCGCTGAGTCGTCTTCTCACAGTGGAAGGATGGACAGAAACACCTGTGGATGTTTTCAGATCTGAAGCAGCTTGATTTTCTCCTCTCTCTCAGAGCTTTAAGTGCTGTTTATCTGATGGGGGCAGTTTTGGTGTCGACCAGGTCCTCCAGGTGGTTGTTAGGAGACACATTTTCTCTGTAGCTTTTAATTATTTTTTTAACTTAACTTTCTCCTTCTTTATGCAAGTCTGCCTATCTTGTATCCAATCCCCTGAGAAATATCTTCTGAACGAAGAACACTATAATTGAATATATGTAATAACATTGTAACACACATTGTAATACTATTATCCGCTCTTCTTTGGCCCTGCAGAAGGAGAAGAAGAAGGGCTCCAATCTGGCCTTCATGTTTCGTCTGCCGTTTGCAGCTGGAAGGGTGTTTAGCGTCGGCATGCTGGATACTCTCCTCTACCAGGTAGCCTAGCAACCGCTGTAGCTAATTTTACACCACGGTGGGATTATTATAACCTGTTGATTAATTTTATAAGTGACTGTCAGAAAACCACATAAGCAAGTCTATTAGAGATTACTGAACAACTCTTCATGGTTTGAGTTCAGTGTGTGATGATCTAGACATCCAGTTAGCACAATGCTAATTGTTGCACTTAGTTTTTCATTACTTCTTAGCTACATTAGCCTCATAGCTCCATTTCAAAGCTAAAGAAGCAAACTTTAATTTCTTGTGTGATTTACACAATTGTCTGTTCTGATCTGGTCCCTCTTGTGCTGGTTCCTCAGTGGTTCTACTAAAATGTTTCCTTAAAGAAGTAACTGAGGCTCAATGTCGTTTACAGTCTTTTGTGAAGGACTATGTGATAACCATCACCAGACTGCTGCTTGGCCTGGACACGACGCCGGGATCTGGCTTCCTGTGTTCTGTAAGTCTTTTCTTGTAAATGGACCTTAAATGGTTCCACATTTATGCTCCCCAAGCTGGATTTCTAAAGAGGCTTTGCTGATTTCGAAACCAGCACTATTTAAGGCTGTTGTTGCTCCATGTTTCAGACGCAGATCACAGAGGACGATCTGTGGATCCAGACGTACGGCAGACTGTACCAAAAACTCTGCTCCACCGTTGGAGATATCCCAATCGGCATCTACAGGACCGAGTCTCAGAGGCCCGAATCTCTCGAGGTGTCTCCATTTATTTCTTTTGGTTCTTAAACAGTTTATGCTGCACTCTCGGGCTCATAGGATGCACTTTGTTGGGCTTTAAAATTAAAATTTAAAGTATTAAACAGGCTTTACAAACACATTTAGTGCAGCAACTTTTATAAACAGAGCAGCAACGATCCATTCAATTCATATAAACAGAATAAGGACTTATATAAACCTTAACACAGGGTAAACAAGAAAATAAATAAAATTAATTGGAAAAGAAAAACAGACGCAATGCATTATTGTGGTAATTAATATGAATTTTAAAGACTTTAAAGCCAAATCTTTTTGTAATGCTTACCATTTTGGAGAGTTTCTAAAAATTCTGAATATTTGGCCAAAATGATAATATTGTTAACTAAAAATTGTCTTAGAATTATCAGTTAAGATACCACATTTTATGAATTTATATTCCAAGTTGAATAATTCGAGAAATATTGTTTTAGCCAAGCATAAAGATCTTTCCAAAACTTTTTAGATAGCTTGTGTGGAAGAAATTTCTGAATAATCAGAAATAAACAGTCACAATTAATGCCAGAGATCTCCAAAGTCAGCTTAAAGTTACAAAGCTTATATATTCCCCAAGTAGGGTGTTACTTTTCATTAGTTAACAGAGAACAAAGAAGTTACAATTCATTGGTTACACCTAATTGTGATGTAAATAAACGTAGAAGTGTTAGCATATATGCATAATTAATGACAAGGAAGGAAGTTCGTATACAGTCAAAAAGTCTTCTTACACCTGGTCTCTTCGAAAAGGAGCTGGCCTGCAACCTCAAGGCCACTGAACAGAGATTCACTGTAGCTCCTGTAGGCCAGCTAGACCTCAGGAAAAGAAAATGAGAGATAAGACGTCTGCAAAATGTGAGGAGTCGGTGATTTGTTATCTTCCTTCCACCCAAAGAACAGTTATGGTGTTTGTTAGCACTGTTAACCCGGCAGCTCCAGTTCTAAACCAAAGAAGCAACATTTTGACACCAAACATGACTTGACTGGTTGACTGAATTTGCAGCAAGTAGAAAATCATGTAAATTTGATGTTTTACCAAACTATTCCATTAAGGACTGAACCGGACACTCCTGGGGAGGGCCGTCACTGGTCCTTGTGCAATATTGTCCTAATGATGTCCTGTTTAGTCTCTGAGGCTACGTTCATATTACAGGCCTCATTGCTCAAATCCGATCTCTCTGACAGGATAGTTCACACTCGTTTAGGTAAGAGACTCAAATCTGTCATTAATGTGACGAACCGCCGTCCTGAAATGACCCTCATGAGGTCATCCTACTCAGTAACGTCACGCGAATGAATCACGTTCATCATCAGCACAAACTAACGAGCAGAACGAGCTTCGCTGAGAAGATCATTAACTCTGATCAGCTCTCAGCTTCATTATTAGAGCGAGACGAAGGAGAAAAAGGTGAGATGAGCTGCTTTTCCACCGTTTACAGGCTTTAACTTCTGTTCGGCGCTGCTGCCATGGTAACGCTGAATGATGGCGCAGTGGAAAAAAAACGCATGAATTCTGATCTGAGCGTCACATTAAGGTCGCATGGCCACGAATCGGATACGTATCCGATCTAGGACCACATATGAAAGTGGCTCAGGTCAGATTTGAAAAGATCAGATTTGTGTCCACACAGCCCTGAAAACATCAGATCTGAGTCACATTAGGGCAAAAAATCGGATTAGTGCCACTTCAGCCTGGTAATGTGAACGTAGTCTAAGTTTACCTGAAACTGAGGTGCTGGCTTCAACTCTTTGATCTTCTCAGCCCTCTCAGTCCCAGTTGTCGGTGAATGTGGATGAGTTTGAAGACGTGAGGGAGCAGCCGCGGAGGAAGAGCATGCAGTGGGCTCGGCGCCTCAGCCGCATGGGCCCCCGGCTCACAGGCCGTGGGGCTGAGAGATGCGGGCAGCAGCGGGCCAGCCTGCTCCCTCGCTCCGAACGCCAGGAGCTGGCCGAGCTCGTCAAGAAGCGCATGCAGAACCTGGGCCTCTACACGGCGGGCCACGGTGAGCTGCTGGAGAGACGGCTCAAATAAGAAGATGAGAAATAACCAGGTGTTAGGAATTTCCAACACTTCGTATTCCAGGTGTAAGGAATTTCCAACACTTCGTATTCCAGGTGTTAGGAATTTCCAACACTTCGTATTCCAGGTGTTACAAATTTCCAACACTGCACATTTCAGGTGATAGGAATTTCCAACACTGCACATTCCAGGTGATAGGAATTCCAACACTTTGCATTCCAGGTGTTAGGAATTTCCAACACTGCACATTCCAGGTGATAGGAATTTCCAACACTTCGTATTCCAGGTGTTAGGAATTTCCAACACTGCACATTCCAGGTGATAGGAATTTCCAAAACTTCGCATTCCAGGTGTTAGGAATTTCCAACACTGCACATTCCAGGTGATAGGAATTTCCAACACTTCGTATTCCAGGTGTTAGGAATTTCTAACACTGCATATTCCAGGTGTAAGGAATTTCTAACACTGCATATTCCAGGTGTTAGGAATTTCTAACACTGCATATTCCAGGTGTTAGGAATTTCCAACACTGTACATTCCAGGTGATAGGAATTTCCAACACTTCGTATTCCAGGTGTTAGGAATTTCCAACACTGCTTATCTCAGATGTTACGAATTTCCAACACTGTGTATCTCACATGTTAGGAATTTCCAACACTGTGTACAGCTACAGAAATTAGCTATGTTTACAGCCACATAATTGCTGAGGGACTGAACCAAGACATTTACATGGGTTGTATAAAATAACTGGTCCATTTACAGTTTACAGGCACACCAGCACAGTCTGACTTTAAGGGCAATTCCACCAAAAGTTCTGCATATCTCAGTGGTTGAGATGTAAACAGAGTGATTCAGAGCGGTTTGGTGTGAAATGGTTCAGGTGTCTTTACAGTGGTGGTGATAGGAACCAGGGGTCGCCATGACTACAACACAAATATAGACACTTTATTTACTATCCAGAACCACCAGTGAACCTACACGAGTCTTATATTTTTATATATTTATTAGTTTATTAGCCTGTCGAGGGTGTTTCCGGCCTTCTGCCCAATGAGTGCTGGGATAGGCTCTAGCTCCCCCTGCAGCCCAAGAGGATAAGTGGTTTAGATAATGTGTGTGTGTGTATGTGTGTGTGTGTGTGTGTGTATGTGTGCATTAGTTTATTAGTTTTTTGTATGGAATGTTGATGATACTAAAATAGGGGTAAATCTGAAATAATACGTTTTCTTTGGGGACTATTTTGCTTCACAACACCCTTCATGCATCCCTCCACCATGAATGGATCCAAAGCATGGATGGATTAAATGGATTTTAGGCCAAAATCTTCTCAAAACTATTGTAAACAGACATCAGACAGCAAATAATAACTTTCTGTGGCTTTCAAGGCTCTGAACTCTTCAAACATCTGGTTTCCATCACCACCACTATGAAGAGTTCTGGCTCCGTAAGACGGCTGCTACTGCATGAACGAGCAGCTGTCGTATTTGGTTAACGCACTCACTTGTCAAAACCTTCCACATCTAATTCACACTTTCCTCTCAATTTAGATGACATAAACGGCAGCCAAAGTAGTCACTCATATGTCTTAATCAACCCACCACCCGACACGAGACTAGAGCTTCACGACATTGTGTAAGTATGCAGAAGATTAACCTTTATTTTCCTTCATTATCACACATGCAGCCATGCTATTGGTCTAATGTTTTATTTTGATGGTCCTCTGAAGTTTTGTAGTTTGCCTTAGACTAACCCTAACCCTAAGCATGACGCATGACCTAGAACCACACTCTTAACCCTTGTGTGGTGTTCAGGTCTGTGGGACCTGTTTTCAGTGTTTACCAAAAGAAAAAATTGTGCAGTTTAATATTTCAGCCTCAGATTCTTGGTCTTTGCTCATTTTCTGTGAAGAACATATAAAATAACCCATTTTCAGTGTCTTCACTCTGTTCACCCCCCACACATTTATATTACACATGTGGTGTTGGGTGAACCTGCGGGGAGTAAAAGTGTGGAGGTGCTGTGTCCTTCACTCTGTTCTCCTCCTACATGGCCTGCTGTTAGTGTGTGTGTGTGTGTATGTGTTTGTATATATGTGTGTGTGAGGGTGGACAACATGGACAGGCTGCTGACTGGCTACAGCTGCTAAAGGAGAACCCTACGCTGGACACTTGTGATATTTTAAACATATTCTTACATAAATTGTTATGGCTGTATTGATTTAATAAAACAATGTGGTGGGTCCAGCAGACCACTGAGTAACAAACACATCAAAACCACACAAGGGTTAAAACAGATGGTCCTTCAAGGGTTCTTTAGTGAAGAAAAAGGTTCTATAAAGAACCATGGACTCTCAAAGAACCCTTTGCATGATTAAGGGGTTCTTTGCATCATGAAAGGGCTCTTCAGAATGTGCTATATATGGTTCTATATAGAATCTTTTTGAAAAGTGTTCTGTATAGCACCAAAAAGGGTTACTCTATTATTACAAGCTTGCCATCATAACAATAGAAGAACCCAGCTACACCACATTCTGAAAAGCCCTTTCTGAAAGTGAGGAGAATACAAACAGGCTAAAATATGGTGAGTGTTGCTGCTGTGAGTCGCCCTGAAAAGCCTAAAATAATCATTTAAAAGTCGTCGAGGCGTCGAGTCGGGAGTTTTACACACAACGTCATGCGTCTTTACGTATTAACATCACACACAGGCTCAAAAAGAAGGTCCGGCTTGACGTTTAGGTCTCAAATGATCCCAAAATCAACTTTATACTGATGAAGATATGATGACAGTAGTAGATAATTCACTCACATCCTCAGAAGATGCTCCTTCATCAAGTTTAGACTGAGTTCTCTTTAAATTCTCTTTCAATCTGCAGATCCATTCTCTCAGGGCCGAAGCACAACTCACAAAATGACAAATGTCCCTTGTTGCATCGATAAAGTACACAACATAAATGGTTTTCCATGATATGGTGTCTTTAAGAAGTTCTTGTCTGTTTCAGATACATAATCCGCGAGGATCCGCTCTCCTTCATTCCGAGGGATGTGGACAGCAGGAAGAGCAGTCTGGGGAACACGTCGTGGACAGGAGATTAAATCTGATCAGCTCCCATCGACACCACGAAATGCCGACAGTGTGACATAAAGCAAGGCTGTTGCTTCGCTTCTACCTATCGCTGTGTTCAGATGCCCATCAGGACGATGTACCAGATGCTTAATCAGTGATTTCACCTCTTCACAGAGCCTCTAAGCTGACATGGTGATTATTTTTAATGAGGCATGGCCACAAATTACTATATTGAGGCCACCAATTAAAATACTGAGGCCACATGGAACTGAGAAACCTAACTTGCCGCCTCGTTATATTAATGGGGGCCTAAATATAGCACATTGTGGCCACGCCTTATTAAAAATGATCATGTCGCCTTAGGGGCTCTGAAATCTGAAGATACAGCCACAGCACAGAACAAGAAAACACACTCCTAATTAAGCATGTTTAAATAAAAAGCTCATCAGGATGTTTGTACTTTATGCAAAATTGGGTGAAATCAGAACTGGAAAGCATCAGGTGAGTTTCTCCACATTCATCTCCAAGTTTCAGTTATGATGAAAAGCCGTATTTGTCACATCTGGTAAACTCCTGCGTGGTTTTCAGTATCACCACCTGACATCCTGTAATGGTTTCCCTCCATAAAACAAACATGTATGAAAGTATGGAAGCTCATTTTACCACTTAAAGAAAATAAACGACCACATAGCATCTTATAGTTCTGACTAAGATCTCATGATAATGACTTAATTACATGACCTCTCGTAATTATGGAATGCTGTCATTATTATGAGATACTAAGCCATAATTATGAGATAGTTAAGTCATAATTATGAGATAGTAAGTCATTATTGAGATGCTAAGTCTAAATTATGAGATAATAAGTCATAGTTCAGATAGTAAGTCATTGTTAAGATGCTAAGTCATACTTATAAGATAATGATAATTATAATAATTATTATTATCTTATTATAATAATTATGAAATACTAAGTCATAATAATGAGATAGGATCTCTTTTTATGACAGTATGACGGTATCTCATTATTATAAGAAGTTGCAATTGTAAAATGCTGTCATTATTATGAGATGCTAAGTAATAATTGAGATGCTAAGTCATAATTATGAGACACAAACACGTTCTGAAATAGTAAGTCATTATTATGAAATGCTAAGTCATAACTATGAGATACTAAGTCGGACGTATGAGATGTGAAGTCATAATTTTGAGATCCTATCTCAATTATGATCATCTCATAATTGAGATCCTATCCATAACTGAGATAGGATCTCATCTTCATGACAGAATAATGACTGACAGTATCTCATTGTGAGAAGAAGTCATGATTATGAGATGGCAAGTCAATTATGAGATGCTATGTCATTATTATGAGATGCTAAGTCATAAATACAAGATACTAAGTCAGAATTCTGGGAAACTTTCTCATTATTATGACTTAATAAATGGCTCTCTGTTTTTCCCAGTGCTGGAAACAGGCCTCCATATATTGGTCTAACTCAATTTAAATTAGTTTAAAGTTCAGATCATTTAAAATTATTTCTAGCAGTTGTAGTTAATCAATTCTGAAACCTGGGGGGGCTGCCGTACCCTCTGCACCCCCATTTGCCGAGTCCCTGGGGGTCAGTGTAAATGCCCCTCAGTGCTGAACCCAGCCTTTAAGCTCTAGTGCCTTTTTGCTCTTTCTTCACTTCAGCTTTGTGTGGATGACCGAACACACGACTCGTCTTGACCAGAAACAGCGAGTGATTTGTGTTCGGACTGTTCGCTGCTTAACGCGCCTCTCCTCACATTTTATATCCCTGTCATTGTCCACTGTAGAAACATGCATGTCTTCCTGTAACTTTATATGAATATGCACCACTGGGTTGTTGGTTTGCGTCTCAGTTCTGTCTAAACCATCTCAGGATTTTGAGCACTAGATCGGTGCGACTCTGCAAACACGTGAACCACTCTGTGATGAACAGATCTGCTGCACAATACTAGCCTTATAGTAATGACTCAATGATAATACTAGACTTAAAATGGAATGGAAATTCTGCATGTGCACTGTCTTCACATCTGCACTGTTTTTGTGCTGGTGTCCGCCCCCCAGTGGCCTGGAGCACTTCCTTTTAATTCAAGCCTTAACTTTGAATGCAGGGTTCTTGATTAATGCTGCTGTGTTGGGCCTTAACACTAATGTGTGGAATGTTTGTGTTGTATGTTTTTGACTGTTTTCACAAATGCTGCATTTTTTTTTAAATGGATTCAGGTGGTGTTGTCATTTTGTCATCTTTTGTTTGTGTAAAAATGAAAATGGTGATACAATTTGGCCAAAATAAATAAATAAATAAATGAAAATTTTCAAAAGTGGACAGCTGGATTTTGGTGTAAAAAACATTTTAACAGCTATAAAAGCTGTAATGATGATAAAAATGATGCAAATATGTAAGTAACATTGCAGATGACTTTATAATAAGAATGGTATGTTGCGTGGCACTCACAACTAGTTGCATGAAAGTTACACCAACCTAAGGAACCTCAGTAACATAAATTGAAGCAATATGATATTTGGGATGGTACACTATATGGCCAAAATTGCCTGGACACCTGAACATCACACCTACATGAGCTTGTTGAATATTTCAAAATAACAAGCATTAATACAGAGTTGGCTACAACAGCTTCCACTCTTCCGGGAAGCTTTTCACAAGATTTTGCAGTGTGTCTGTGGGAATCTGTGTCCATTCAGTCTAAAGAGCATTTGTGAGGTCAGACACTGAAATTCTGGCTCACAATCTCCGTTCCAGTTCATCCCAAAGGTGTTCAGTGGGGTTGAGGTCAGGGCTCTGTGCAGGCCACTGGAGTTCCTCCACAACAGCCTGGTCAAACCATATCTGTGCAGAGTTCGCTTTGTGCACTGGGGCTCAGTCATGCTGGAACAGGAAAGGCTCTTCCCCAAAACTGCTGACACAAAGCTGGAAGCAGATAACTGTGTAAAATGTCTTTGTGCTGTAGCATCAACATCACCCTTCACTGGAACCCTGAAAAACAGCCCCAGCCCATCATCCCTCCTCCACCAAACTTTTCTGTTGCCACTATGTGTTCTGGGAGGGAGTGCATTCACGGCAAACCCAGATTCATCCATTAGACTGTTAGAGAGGTGTGATTCATCACTCCACGTTTCCACTGCTCCAGAGTCCAGTGACAGTGCTTTACACCACTCCAGCCGACACTTGGCATTGTGTATAGTGATGTTAGGCTTGTGTGCAGCTGCTCGGCAGATCCCGACGCTCAGTTCTTGTGCTGATGTTGCTTCCAGAGGCAGTTTGAAACTCTGTAGTGATGCAACAGTGGATAATTGATTCTATGTGCTAATCGGTGGCCCCATTCTCTGAGCTGGCGTGGTCTACCACCTTGTGGCTGAGCTGTTTTTGCACTTGCATGCTTCTATTTCACAGTAATAGCAGTTGGCCGGGCAAAACCTAGCAGAGTGGAAATTTCACAAACTGACTAGGCGTCGCCCTGACTGTGTCACAGTTAAAGTCACTCAGCTCTTCAGTCCGACCCATTTTACTGTCAATGTTTGTCTATGGAGGTTGCAGGGCTATGTGCTTGATTTTACACACCTGTAAGCGATGAGTGAGGCTGAAACACCTGAACTCAATAATTAGGAGGGGCTTCCACATACCTTTGACCATAAACCCCTAAAACACAGACTCTAGTTACAACCTAGGAGTCTAAGATTTTACCATATGCTTTTACTCGTGTCTTAAATGTGTCTCTGGTCTAGTCTGTAAACAGGCCCACATTGATTTCACGTTTTTTAAGGAAATTTGTTGCCTATCTTGGCTTGATCTCTTGATAGATGGTGGTCTGGGCTGCCAATTCCATCTTAAGCTGCATCCCTGCCTCTTTTCTGCACTGTCTTTGTCCCCCTATCATCGCCTCTCCAGCTGCCCGACGACTCACTTCAATAGTGATAAGTGGACTCCGCTTCCTCTTAATGTCCTGACATCTGTTTCCTCTGGAAACACACTTGAGAGTCTTATTTGATCACAGCCAAACACAACCTCCTGTTTTGATAAAAACATTTCTTCTTCGAAAGCTCCCTCGCCGCTGTTTGGAAACGACCTTGTGCAGTGTTTCATTCTCTTACCGAAAGCCTTTAAAAGCTGGTGATAAATTTAGGGCTGAGGTCGCGTTTGAGGTTCAAATCTAGAACATTCAGCTTCATCTCTGCTGTTGTGTCTGCTAATGATAGTCTTGTTTGGCTTGGATTGCACTCCATCACTCTGCATTTGGCACCGTGGGATCACCATCATTATCCAAAACATTTCAAAATACAGGTAAAAATGTCCAGTTAAATCAAAGTATTTTTGACCACAAAAACTGTCTGGGGAAACGGTCAAAATTAGCGGTTGTTAACCTGTGAGTGGGGGGCTGTTGGCTGTCGCTGCCTTTTTTTAAACTGCAAAAATTCATTATGATAGACATTTACTCAAATGTATTTTTACGTGATAAATATTCTTGTGCTATTTACATAAACGAAGCATATTTAAACCCAGCTTGAAAGATGCTTTTATACTGCACTTGGTAGCTGCCAAAGAACATCAGCTATATTATAAGGTGATTCAGAAAAAAATGAAACTACTGGACCGATCAAATCTTCATGTGGGCCCTGTAAGTGTTTGTGCTCAGTTACATTGTGTCTCCACTGAAATGTGAGACTGAAATCTGCTGTATGGATCGTAATACGCAAATCAGCTCATACACAACAACCAAACTACCCGCACTGTTCAAAAGACGACTGCTGCCTTTAAAATCCCTGTCTTGCACCAGCTTAGTGCCGATGTTGATGTTTCTGTACGCAGAACAGCAGAGGGAGATGTGGTCACTAAGTTATGAGGGGTTTTGTTTGCTAAGATACGAGTGCATTTGAGTCACTCTCACAGAACTGCCTCACAATATTTCAGAAGCATCACACAGATAAAAGAATACATGACTTCGTAGATCAACTTCAGCTCTATATGGCTCAGCAGAAGGTTTGTGGAGTTTATTTCTCAGTTTTAAAGTTTTCTGGCTTTTTTTTTAAACCCTAATTTCACATTTCTTATTACGAATATTTATCATTTTTGCTTTTTTAATGAGAACAAATAAGTTTGTTTTATAAGGATGAGGAAACATTAAGGTGAGAATAGTTCATTTAACACTTCTGCCTAAAATCTGTTTTAGACTTCCTGAAGTGGTTTAAGCGAGTGATTCTCAAACCAGTCCAGAATTATGCTCCATAACAGTGTTGCAGTTTAGGTTGAGGCAAAAATCTGGACCATATAGGGGTCCCTGAGTACCTTTTTGAGAACCACTGGATTTAAATCTGTTTTACTGAGTCTTGGGTGAGTTCATACCTGCATTTTTTACATGGATAATCACTATCTGGATATAATTTTGATACATGAAACAACCAGGTGTAAACAGGGTCTTACAGCTTCTTCCAAACTGACCGTCAAGACCTGCTGAAAGAGGAGCCCTGAGAGGTGATCGGTCATTGTTTACTATAACCCACGTCACACCATGCATGTTAAAAAACAAGTGACAGTTTTCATAAGTCTATTTATTTATACAAAAATCAACCCTCGAGGCAGAGAGCTGATGATCAGAGCCGATGCCAACACGCAGCTGGAGAGGGTTATTGCTTTACAGTCTCCATCCAGTCAAAGATCGCGAACAGCCGAAAACAGCATCATTCAGGATTCACAAAAGCCGAAAGCCTCTCGACATTCTCTACTCATTTTACAACATCGGGAAAGCCATATTTCGCCCATCCCACACGACAGAACTTTACACAGTTTACAATGACACCGCCACTGTCTTCTCTTATTAGGTAACAGTAAAACATTTTTTATACTATATAAAAAAGAAAACTATTTCCCTCAAAATTCAAAACAGGGAAGAAGCTGAAGCTATGTTGAGAGCTGTTACAAACGGCAGTCGTGAAGCGGGGGGCGAAGTGAACAGTGAACAGTCCACCGCTGGCCGAGTTGAGGCGAATTCACAGGCTGAGAGAGAGCTGTCCATGGTAGAGTCAAACAGCGACGATAGCAACAAGGCTCAGAAACGAAGGTGGGACTTGTGCTTCACCATGTATCTGCGGAAAAAAAAGCAAAGAGACCAAATGAGAGTTCTGACTGGATGGAAAACAAAAGCATTTTCTACTTCAAAACAACACTATGTAAGATCTGGGAATTTGGAGACCTCTCTGGTGGAAATGTGTATTTGCACACGACATGCAGAAGAACATTTTGTAATGTGGGTTGAGCTCTGCTAAAGCCTGAGTAGACTGATAAATCAATGTGATGATCAGTTATTAATCTCAGCGTTACTGAGCTCTGCTAAAGCCTGAGTAGACTGATAAATCAATGTGATCAGTTATTAATCTCTGTGTTACTGAGCTCTGCTAAAGCCTGAGTAGACTGATAAATCAATGTGATCAGTTATTAATCTCAGTGTTACTGAGCTCTGCTAAAGCCTGAGTAGACTGATAAATCAATGTGATCAGTTATTAATCTCTGTGTTACTGAGCTCTGCTAAAGCCTGAGTAGACTGATAAATCAATGTGATCGGTTATTAATCTCAGCGTTACTGAGCTCTGCTAAAGCCTGAGTAGACTGATAAATCAATGTGATGATCAGTTATTAATCTCAGTGTTACTGAGCTCTGCTAAAGCCTGAGTAGACTGATAAATCAATGTGATCAGTTATTAATCTCAGTGTTACTGAGCTCTGCTAAAGCCTGAGTAGACTGATAAATCAATGTGATCGGTTATTAATCTCAGTGTTACTGAGCTCTGCTAAAGCCTGAGTAGACTGATAAATCAATGTGATCGGTTATTAATCTCAGTGTTACTGAGCTCTGCTAAAGCCTGAGTAGACTGATAAATCAATGTGATGATCAGTTATTAATCTCAGTGTTACCGAGCTCTGCTAAAGCCTGAGTAGACTGATAAATCAATGTGATCTGAGCTTTTGGTTGATGTTAGTTTTGGCTCTAACCTGTCCAGTGTCTCCCAGAAGCGCAGGAAGACGGGTCGGTCCAGGTGCCGCTTGTGGTGGCTTAATTCCAGCACAGTGACGTCCCACTTCTGCACGTTGGGGTCCATGCGCACCTCGTCGTACTTCAGATGGAAGGCTCGGACTGAAAAAAAGCGTTTGAGCAGTGTGAAGCATGACCTGCCAGTAGTGACCTTCGACAAAATTAAACTTGGTGAAAAGCTGCCCACAATACTGGCCGTACACAGAGCCTAATATATTGCTTAAACATGTTTTAATAAAAATTTGTACTGTCTGATACTTTTATTAAGCTCTAACACTTTCAAGTTTTACTTTGTGACCTTTTATTTTTAAGTCATCTTATCTTTCCCAATGCATCATCAGTGCTACAGAGACTTTGGCTTTAGAAAATGGAAGTTCATTTTGAGTAGATTTTCATATTCATTTCATATTAAAAAAAAGCAAAAAAAACAAAAAAAACAACACGAGGCTGCTTAGTCAGAAATGAATAGTGAACAGTCTCATGTGTGAAATTTGTGATTTCTCTATAATCCTACAGCTAAACATGGTTTCTTTGTCATATGGCGAATTAGGCTTTTGTTTAAAAGATTAAATTGAACCTGACAACGACGAGCTTTTCAAACTAAGATATAGCTGCTGAACTGAGAAAACAAAAAAACAGTCTGAAGTTCGTGGCAGCCTGTCCTGAAATATCAATCAAGAGTTTTGTTTCAGGTGCTCATGGTATTTCCCATTGGCCAAGAATCATTGTTCTCCACACTGTTTCATGCGGGTGTATTTTGTTGTAGCACTATTTTCAGAACTGGCTGCCCCTGCAAGCCATACGAAACAACAGTTTGTGATTGGCTATTTTGCTTGTCAGTCAAAAGGTTTCCTTCTGAGTCAGTAAAGCATGTGCCATTACAAAAATAATAACTTACTCTTTGCAAAAATGTCCACAGGAGATCCGTCAGGCAGTAACCACGGCCATCCCTTGAACTGCCAGGCAGGACCCTGGACAAAGACGGCTACGACACGGTCCCTGGATCGAAAGGATGAAAAAAAAAAAAAGGTTACTTGGGTGACAAAAGTCGGTAACTTAAAGGGGTCACTGAGTCATTCAGGGCACTCAAGAGTGTTTTGATGCACAACACTCCATTCAAGACTTCCAGACTATTTACAGACTTTATTTACAGTGGTGATGATTGGAACCAGAGGTTGCCATGACTACAACACAAATATAGACATTTTATTTACTATCAAAACCACCAGTGAACCTACACGAGTCTTCTGAGTGTATATGGAATGTTGATGATGGGAAAATGGGTGAAAATCTTTGGGACTATTTTGCTTTGTAACACTCAGCATGTACCTCTCTGCCATTAATGTATTTGAAGAAATTATGAAATCTTCTCAAAACTATCATAAAACAGTGTCTCAGTCATCAGGCAGTGAATTCATAACCATTTCATGTAGTAACTTTCTGTGAGGGAGCTTTTAGAGGTGGACGTCTGGTTCCTATCACCACCACTGTGAACGAAAGTGGAACACTTTACATCAAAGCACTCTAAATGACTTTATTTGTCGTATTTATTAGTTTATCTATTTTATCAATATAATTAAGGTTTAAATAATAATTAATGTATTATTAATAAGTGTTAGAAAATGTTTTGGCTGGACAAAATGCTCACAAGGTTTTACGTAACATGACGCATCATCACCAGATTTTACCAACAATGACTAGTTCTTGATGTACTAAGGATGTTTGCAGGACGCTGACGAGGACTGGTGCCAGAGCGGGACGTACCAGTCTTGGGGTGCCAGTTTCAGAGGCTGGTCGATCACCCTGTAGGGAACGGTGACGCTGATGGCGGATCCTCCGGGCTGCACCACGTCTTTACGCCTCTGCAGCAGCACCTCGTTGTCCCTCTGAATGCCTTGTTTCTTCTTCTCCTCGGACGTCACAAACCTACAGAATGAAACACAGAACCGAAATCAGAGGTTCTCTCCATCTCCTTTAGTCTGGGCGACAGTGAGAAAGCCTATCAGACTTACTTCAGGTCCTGCAAGAGGTCCTTGGCGTTGAGCATGGTGATGAGGGAAGTGGTGGCAGCTGGTATGATAATGATGGGGGTTCTTGAACCTAGAAAGTGAAACAAGCTGCTAAGTAACTGAGGCAAAGTGATTTAAGGACTGAATCGTTTGACTAAAGGGCCAGTTAGAAAACACATGCCCAGAGCTTTATAAGAAACTATATTTATCTCAAAGCTTTAAACTATACATTTATTCATCTTTTTATTCTTTATTTAAATTGTTGACTGTTCTTCAGCATTTCAGAGCAAAAAGTTTGCTTGCAGCTCTGATGCAAGCAGCTATTTTTGCACCACTTTTGCAGTTTCGTATTCATTATTTTCTTAGGAGAGGTTAGTTTCACTTCTGTCTACAAGGAAAACAAAACAACTTACCACTCATCATTAGTCATTGTGATATCTATTTTGTGCAGCCCTAGTTGGTGTCACTGAATGACAGGGGTGGGACGACAGCCTCAACTCTTATTTCAACAACTTGCTTTGTAGTAAGGTAGAAAAAAAAATGCTTATTTTAGATGCTTATTTTAGAAGAGCTGTGGCCTGCCTGTACTGGAATAGAGGTGTAACTGCTGTCCCATAGACTGTTATTGGGGTAGGAGAGTCAGAGCGTCGCATTACGTTGCAGTGCATGCTGGGGACTGTAGTGCAGCACATTGTGTGGGTTTTTCTGTTTATTGAGAATAAGAAGAACTGGCTTATTTTAGCTGATGCCTGGATAAGTCCTCCCTGATCATGGATCAAAACTTCCTTAACTGCCCCAAACCAAATGGGCAACACCATCTCAACAAAATCTGCTTCAATATCTTAAACGTTCACAGTCGCAATTGAGAGTCTAGACACTACTTTACAGTACTGATCAGACTGTAACTCTGATTAAGCCTGCTGTGTAACTTTGGGCCAAATTTGGAACATTTTCCCCCACATAAAGCTATAATATACAGAATAAATGAGTAATCAATAAATCATAAAACCATACCTTTCTTTTGGTTTGGTGGAGGTCTTGCTTGAGAGACTACGAAGACAAAACAAAAGGACAGTTACAAAACATAGATGTGTTTACCATTATACATTATTTCCAAAACTGTCATAAATGGATGTAGACGGATGTTTCACAATTAAAAGCTTCACATACAAACAAACAAATGGTCCAAAATTATTTGGAAAAAAAACATTTCTCCGTTTACTTCCATTGAAAGTTTTTCCTTTTCCAGTAAAGATGCCTTTATGGTGATGCAAGGTTTTGTTCAGACAGCTGCAATATATACTTCCATTACATTAATGTGAAGAGTTTCCATTACATAATGCTAACAAAAGTATAGAAGGCACAGGTGTGATTACAATTCATAAATATCATAAATATAAATAACTCAAAAACTATGGAAATGTGCCACATAAACTTCAAAAACTTCAAAAGTTTCTCCTCCGATTTTATTTCACTGCTTGCTTGTCTGGGTGATCTTGAACATGCGAGTTCATGCACACACACCCTCACATTAATCTACATCAGCGCGGCTGAGGGGAGCTGTCACTCGCCTCAGTTCAGCCCATCACTCACAGTCGCGCCGCAGCACAGCACAGCACACCACACAGCCAGCCTCTACACAACCGAGGCGGCTCTGCTGCTGCCGCCTGGACTCTGTCCTCAAGTTTTCTGAGTTTTTTTTTTTTTTAAAAGGTTTGTTCTGGGTTTTTCCCCTCCTGGTCTTATTTTTAGGAACTGACACCATACAAGATAATCCAGAGAGGAAACCCTGACTGGTTGAGTCTAGACAAGCGACAGACTTTACTGTACATGGACATAAACTGGGTGCAAAAATATATTAATGCACCAAAGATGTGTGCATGCATTTTTGGCCAAAACAATTTTTTTTTAAATATTAAAAGAATATTTATATATATAAGAATATGTATAGAGATAAAAAAGGTGCAGTGTTTTATTGTCTACATTCCACTACTGTGTAAATCGTTACGGTCAAAGATGAGATTTGATATTGGAACACAATTTCCCAGGGAATCATAACCTAATCAAATGGTCAGCAGCACAGGTTTAAAAGACTAGGCAAGCCATCAGGATACTGGATAGGGCATATTTTGATGCCAATTGCTTATTAATAATAAAGAAGAAGAAGAAGCAGCTTAGTAAGAGAGTTTAAGAAAATCCATTTAACTTCTTTGAAAACCACACAAACTTACACAGCACTTTTATTATGGCAGCAGCGGAGTTTGAGGCACTATGCTATACTATGCAATAGTCTTCCAGTCAGTTAGTCAAAGGACCACTAAAAATGATCTGATCCAGTGCTGGAAAAGAAGGAGCAGTGGATAAATCTGTGTTCTCGATAGATACAATGGATATTTTTTTTCGATTGATAATTCGGACTTTCCGAAATTTTTCCAACGTAACATTTTCTCTTGAGAGTGTAAACATAAGAGCAAAAACAACTTGCCCTCTAATCTCAGGTATGTATGCTAATTGAGCTAGCACTATAGCTTCCGAGCCAGCTAACCAACTTTTTCCAGGTTACATTCTGTTGTACTAGCACTTTACTGTACCCTCACCTGGGACAGTTAAAAAGAGCCACCTAAGGCTCCTTATACAGCAAGATAAAGAAAAACTTCAAACGGAGGTCAGCTCTGAGCTCTAAGAAAACTACTCACTGCAGTGTTATTTCCCCCCGTTAAGAGTTTTTCATTAACGTAAGATCAATTCAGTGAAAGCATTTGTGCTTTCTTCCATTATTTGTTACGGCTGCTTGACTATGGCAACATTTGTGCAAGCATGTTTCAACGATCGGTATCAGTCAGTCAGTCAGTCAGAGAGAATCATAAAAACCATTTGTTTGAAAACTGTAGATGTTTGAAGGGGAAAAACAGTTAAGTAACCCATCTTTAGTGTACCAAAATAACTGAATCGTCCACCCCTACTGGGCAGCGGTGAAGCATTAGGAGAAAAGTCACGGATGTGCACTGAGATAGGTGTAAAACGGCCTCAGTCCCACCTGGTCTGGGAACAGGCTGCATAGCAGGAGTCTGAGCCTTCCGCGCTGATGCTCCTTCCTGAGAGAGAGAGAGAGAGAGAGAGAGAGAGAGAGAGAGAGAGAGAGGTGACAAAGATGAATATTTGCTCTCAGCCTGGAATCAATGAGCAGGTCCAAGTTCATCCATCTGTGCTCCAGGATGTCAGGCCACCACAGAAACATAAGAACATGAAAAATGACTCAACAGGGCTCAAACTATCAACACTTTATTTTGATGATGCACTGTAGATGCTCAGGGAAGATGTTCACCATGGCTTTAACTGACAAATACCTATTAATATCAGCTTCTGCCTAAGCCCCCAAAAAATAGCTTTTATTTATTTTTTTTTAATATAATAATATACTGCCCCAAAGCAGTTTCCCATAAATCAGCATCAATAAGGACGATCAATAAACTGGCACTAAGACTCTGTTCACATTAGCAGGCTGAAGTGGCACAAATCTGATTTTTTGCCCTAATGTGACTCAGATCTGATGTTTTCAGAGCTGTGTGGACACAAATCTGTTCAAATCCAACCTGAGCCACTTTCATATGTGGTCCTAGATCGGATACATATCCGATTTGTGGCCATGCGACCTTAACGTGATGCTCAGATCGGAATTCATGTGCTTTTATTCCACTGCGCTGCGCCATCGTTCAGTGTTACCATGGCAGCAGCGCCGAACAGAAGTTAAAGCCTGTAAACGGTGGAAAAGCAGCTCATCTCACCTTTTTCTCCTTCGTCTCGCTCTAATAATGAAGCTGAGAGCTGATCAGAGTTAATGATCTTCTCAGCGAAGCTCGTTCTGCTCGTTAGTTTGTGCTGATGATGAACGTGATTCATTCACGTGACGTTACTGAGTAGGATGTGTTTATGAGGGTCATTTCAGGACGCCGGTTCGTTCACATTAATGACAGATTTGAGTCACTTAACTAAACGAATGTCAGAGAGCGAAGAGGTGATTAACTTAATCCAACACTCACTCAAACCCTAACCTTAATGAACTCATGCTTCCTGAGTATTGCTACTCTACTGTCACTATAGCTATCTTGACTGTAAATAAAATAACTGAAGGGTGGTCTCTGACTTTTGCACAGTACTTTATGTGGTGAAACTGGGTTGATTATGGGCAGTATTAAGGTTTGGATTAGATTTAGGTCTTGAGTTTCTCAGTACTACAACACTGTAAACAATTAAATACTCTAAGCTGCAAAAAGTGGCTAAGCTGCAAAAACTGGTTTTGATTTCAGATTCCTGGTGTCAAAAAAAACAACACAGCATTTACAGAAATCCACCTACAGCGGTTTAGCCCCGCCCATTTATCTAGAAGTTATAAGGAATGTTTCAATCCTGACTGTTTTCTTAATGAGGCAAAAAACAAGGCTAGTCAAACAAACAGGGCTTGTTTACATATATCAGTATTAAATGTATAGTAACAAAAACAGCCTGTAACTATAGGAGATAAAGAGAGGCTGGAAAATGGCAATGTAGAAATGAATGACACGTTGACACATTGACACATTATGACACGTGATAAGCAGAAGAACATAAATACATAAGCAGAACTACATAAATTTGGAATCCTTTTAGGCTGTATGACTTAGAAACTGGGGAGGGCAACATGGTGAAAATACAACATGACACTTCAGGAAAGTGACCCTATACATGTCATATTGTTTACCATTTTCCTGACATCTGAAGTTGGAACAGATAAAAAGGGACCGAAGGTGCTACATTTAACATCTGCTCTCAAAAACTGTGAGAACAAGTGATTTTTATTAACAGTTCACTTTCTGATCTAAACTAAATCCAATTAAACAGTCAAATTCAAACAAATCCAATTATGCCACAATATTTATTTTTTCCTGAGGTCGGACAAGTTGAAACGGTTGAAAAAAAAACAAAAAAACAAACAATACAAGAATGAAAAAAAAAAAAAAAAAAAAAAAAGACAGTGGTGCCTTGAAAAATATCTTCAAAAACTATGAATACAAGGACTTTAACGTTTCACATACTGTACAGCACTAAAAACAATTAAACAGCACCAATTATGCTCTCTTCATAATGAGACATGTTTACATTCACTCAATAATCAGATCACATTTGGATTTCTGCAGTTATCTGATTATTCAAATGGTTGCGTAAACAGCACCCTCAGATTTCTTAGATTAATTCGATCCAGAAATCTGATAAAGAGGCTGTATTTGAGCTCAGTAATCTGATTTCTCAGTGCATGTGAACTCTTACTCTGATTTCTTTCGGATTTCTCAGTCTGAGCATGTGCGAAAACAGACTGCCGTACTGGAAATAAGCGAGCAGCGTTGCTGCGAGACGCAGCAAAACACTTTTGGAGCGATGCTGAATCCAAATACATGCTTGACGAAATCTTCTAGATGACGTATGTTCATATTTTCAGGTAAAGTGGTGCAATGTTTAAAAAAAAAAAAAAAATTACCTTACATTACGTTAAAGTCACGTCTTATTCTGTGAGTTTATTGGCTGATTGTAAAGCAGAAATCTGATTACTGCCTGACTCACGTAGACCTGGAGTTTCACATTATCTAATTACTCAAGCGCATGTAAACGCGTTGATCGGATTACTGACAAAATCTGATTTTCTGCAGTTATCAGATTAAGTACATGTGAGAACACTCACTATTCCTTAAAATGCTGATAATATCCATGACATGCCCACATAAGCTTATAGAGACAATTTATCACAATAATGGTATCATCATGTTGTCCAGCCCCACCTACTGTGCTTTCTTTGCAATGGAACACGCAGCTGGTCAGTGTTCTTTAAGTACTGACTACATTCACGATACACTCAGAAAAGCGTGTTGCAATTTTTCACAATAATGACATACTGTGTCATATTTCCCATCCATACTTTGGTGTAAGCTGTGAGAACTTTGGTTTCAACCCAATACACATGTTTATCAGGGTTTTTGTTTTTTGTCAGTGTCATTTAGGTGTCAATAACTGCGATACTACACCATTTCTTGTTTCGCAATAAGCAAACACTACACCAAACTGCCTCTGGTAAAAATATTCCACAGAGTTTGTGTAATAAAGGATATGGTAGCAACCACACACAAAAACCTGCGGTCAACGAGAAACTGCAACCTGGTTTCCTGCCCATCCCCAACCACCCCCACAAAACACGGCTGGCTGAGCAAGACCCTTCCTGATAGAGGGGTGGGCACGAATACAAATGGGTCACATGGACGACGTACTACCAGCTCCCTCCCCCCAGTTTATGACCATTAGGACCGAGACGACAGAGCAGCGCAGCATAAAGAGAATCCAGAAAACGATAGAGGGAGAAATAAAGAGAAAAGGGGGAGGGAGACGAGCGTGACTGAACAGTGCGAGCGAGACAGAAGAAAAGCGAGAGGGAAGGAAAGGAGCATCCTGCCTAGCAACACGCCGCAACGAGCACAGACGCCGCTTGAAGCCTCGCGGATGAGGTTGATGAAGAAGAAGCTGCATTAATCTCCATGCTGCTGCCTCCACCAGCACCGAAACAGACAGAAAGAGGGCAGGAGAACGAGGGAGGAAGAGAAAAATGCGTCCTGGACTATTGTGGGGACAGACAAGCGGTAAAAAAGTGATGAACGGTGCAACGTAGAATCTCTGACTGTAAATTTGTTGTGGAAATGATGGACCCTCAGCACGCCCAAAGCTGCCCACATGTGGCAGTAACGGTCAGGGACCCCAGCGCCGAACATGGCATTTGCGCCAACCTCCAGTGTTCTGGGTGAAAAAAGGTAGGTTTCATAGCTTAAAGATGGTCCACCGGAGCAGAAGGCAAAAATCACAGGGCTATTATCTCTGCAACACCCTAAGAAAAATCAAAAGCTCTTTGTATATTCAGCACTTTCGTCACAAACAGCTCTTTTGTTCAGCAGGTGCTGGAGTAGGTTGTTACGTTATTCAGTTACACAGGACGAGAGCCCTCCGCCACTCGGAGAAAACGAAGGTAGCTTTCACGAAGGGAAACGGAAGAGCAAAACCAGAGCATGGCGGCAGCAGCAGGCCATGACTGAAGTCAGCAGAGGGATATTTTTAGTGCTGTAAGCAATCAATCAGCCACGTTTAACGATGTTAAGTAGAGATGTGTCTGTAGCGTGGAGCACAGCTTCGCCCAAGAGGAAGAGGAAGAGAAAGCTTTCGTCGTTAAACAGAGAGAACGACAGCAAGGTACTGGCTTTGAGACGTTTCGGCCTCTTTTGACGTTCAGTTTGAGGGAGTAATCCTCTTAGGAGGACTCCAGACGTGAGTCATCCTACCCCAGCAAGGCAAAACACACTGAGAACACAGTTAAGGGAAACTACTGCAGAAGCCATGGCATGATGCCCCACCGCAGGCGGTTTTTAATCACTTGATAGGAAAAGCTTGTAGCTTCTAGGGACTTTAACCACCTTGCAACCCACAAATTTGTAGTTTATCACGTTCCAAAGCATCAGGAATGGATCCCAGTGGGCAGAATGTTTGTGTGTGTTACATTCAGTTTGACTGTTGTGGAATACTGTACGCATCCGCCTGAACGCGAACCTTGCTGAAGTGTGCAGTGATCAGGGCCCCTACAAACATAACCGAGAATCACTGGGGTTTTTATTTTTTTTTTTTTAAAGAGGGATTTTTGTTTCTGTTCCAAGACTAGAAACAAAGTGCCACCCTTCATTTCTCGGAAACTAGTCTTGTTTAGCTGAACTGCCAAACTCTTCAGAGAAATGAGAAATTCTTCTGACTGAGAATCCGTCACATGTGACCTTTCCGAAAGAGCCCTAGTTATTCAAACTGTAATGCTACTCCATCACGTAGGCAGAAGTCAACTCAAATCCAGGCCTGACTGAAAAGTTTGCCTCAGTTTTTGTCTGGAAAGTACTATATAAAAGTATCTGATAAAGGGATCACAGGGGTCCAGCCCATGACTGCCCATTGATGACACCTTAAATGACACCTTGTATGACACCTGATAAATAAATTCGAACCAGCCAGGGCGGTGTACTTAACCCCTTAAATGGCCAGGGTGTGTGTGGTTAAAACCAAAGATGCTGTATTACAGTTTCTCGTCAAAGTAACTGCGTAAGAACAGGAAGATGACAACCAGACATGCCAACAGCTTTTTCCCCAGAGCTGTACTGGTCATCCACCAGTGTGGACACTGCACTTAAACTGAACCAATAAACCTTCCTTACAGTATTACAGTGTAACTCCTCTCATAGCTTAATGGTTTTTTGCACTACTGTAGAAGAAAATTTTTACAAATGTTCATCTTTGTAATATTTTGTTTATAATAGGCTTTACAGTATACTTTATAGTCTACTTGACTTGCATATGTACAGACATTAATATCTGCATATGATCAGACATCCACACATCTTATATGTACATCTCCTTAGCTCTTTTCACAGAGGCTGTTTTTTATTATTATGGTCACACTTTATTTGGACGGTCCCCTATAGATCTACATATCGCTGCTGCCGGAGGAAAACCTTGTATCTCCAAAATGAAAACTTTACAGGAGAAGGAAAAAACCTACTTTACTTTTAATGTAAGTCAATGGAACCAGACTTTTTTCCAAGTCGTTTAGGGTCGTTTCTTTCAGTCTATTCATCATTAAATTTACACGCAATGTAAAGGGCAACAGGCATTTTCAAATTCTGTCAACAACTTAATGTCAGAAATGGAGATACGAGGTTGAGTTCTGACAACAGCGATGTATTTATATTATTAAACTTTCTGGTGATGCTCAATTGATTATGAACAATATTAAGGTTAGGGTTAGGTTAGGAGTAGGTGTAGGTTTTGCCTTGAGGTCAGGATTAGGTTTAGGGTCAATATAGATATTTAGTTGAATGTTAGTTAAAGACTGCCTGTGCATCCACAGTGGACCACCCAAATAAAGTGTTACCATTCTTATTTTTTATTCTATTTTATTTTACATTTCCCATAGTTTAATACTTGTTAACAGTCTGTTTGCTTGTCTTGTCTGTTCCGTGTGTTACATGCCAAACGTGTGACTCACCATGATAAATTCCTTGTATATGCAACACATTTGGCAAAATAAAGTGATTCTGGGAAACAGGTAGAGCTGACAAGTCTTGTTTATGCAACTCATTTAGAGGCTACAAAATATGAAGGTCAGTTTTTTATTACTGACATTGGTGCTTTACAGCCACCAAACACATTGCATAAACAAGACTTGCCATGCCATAATACATGGGTAGCATTAAGAAACACTGACCAGCTAGTGGGTTCAGCAGAAATCTTATTATGGATAAGAAACTAGAAAATAAATAAATAAAAAAAATGAATGTGTTACTCTGTAAATTAAACCGCTTTTCCTTGCCAACAGATCTCGACGCAACGGCTGATTCATCCTTCACCCAGACGCATCTGAGCATCAGGACCCGAGCAACAGGATCATGCAGTGGAGGCGGAGGCACTGCTGTACGAACATAGCTGGATTTCTATTTTTGCTCTTGTGTGTGGGAGTGTTCCTCATTGTCAGTCACACAGGAAAGAAGAGCCACCAGGAGAACGGTGTAACTCACACAGCGCAGAAACTGCCCCGGATGGAGTTGAACCACAGCATGACCAAGCAGAACATGTGGAGAGAGAAGGCAATGTCCCCTTTTCCACCAAGGTCTGAGGGAAACCTCACCTCCTTCCTGGAAGACACCTCCCAGCAGGGGCTGAAGAACTCTCTGGCCTCTAATGCCAGTTTAAGCGAGGAGGTAAGAGCAGGGAGTATCCTTAAGGTAGAACCCTACAACTACATCATCAATGAAGAAGACAAGTGTCAGGAAAAGGATCCTTTCTTAGTGTTATTGATTGCCGTTGAGCCCCAGCATGTTCAAGCCAGGGATGCCATTAGGCAGACGTGGGGGAACGAGAGCGTGGCTGAGGGCTTGGGGTTTGTACGGCTCTTCCTTTTGGGAATAAGAGAAGGACTTCCCAACCAACTGCAGCGCTCCATAGAGGCAGAGTCTCTACAGTATCATGACATTATCCAGCAAAAGTACATAGACTCTTATTATAACCTTACCATCAAGACACTGATGGGAATGCACTGGATAGCAAAATACTGCCCTGGGGCCAGTTACGTCATGAAGACTGACAGCGACATGTTCGTCAATATGGAATACCTCATCCAAAAACTTCTCAATCCCAGCCTTCCGCAAAAACGAAAGTATTTCACTGGGTACCTTATGCGGGGCTACTCTCCAAACAGAAACAAACACAGTAAGTGGTACATGCCACCAGAGCTGTACCCCAGCAAGCGGTACCCTACTTTTTGCTCGGGAACTGGGTACATTTTCTCAGGCGACCTGGCACATCTGATATACAGGGCTTCTCTGAGCATACGAAGGCTGCATCTTGAGGATGTTTACATAGGACTCTGCTTGGCAAAACTGAGGATAGAACCAGTTCCACCACCCAACGAATTCCTGTTCAATCACTGGAGGGTATCGTACTCGAGCTGCAAATACAGTCATCTGATAACCTCTCACGGGTTCCATCCCACCGAGTTAATAAAGTACTGGCATCACCTACAGAGCAACAAGCACAGTGCCTGCATCAACGCGCCGAAGGAAAAGGACAAAGTTCGCAGGCTTCGCCAAAGAAAACTGCTCTGGAAGCGTTTCATCGGGTAACCGGTTGAAAGTAGGATTGAAAGAGGTTTCGCCAAACAAGTCTGCAAAGCACAGGAACGTTCTTCGGAATTAGAGGGAAGTAATCATTGTCCAACAGTTTTCTTTTTGACTGGCAAAAATAAACATAAAGGTAAAGATTACCCTGATATCCAGGTCTGAATTACTGCAGGTTTGCAGCATAAGCATAGCCTGACCGATATACAGGGTGATTCAAAAAGATCCATCTGATTTCAAAATGATTTATTTCACTTGTAAATCATCACAGAACAAGAAATTGTAAATGGTTTAACTGAGCATAAAGTTTATTATGTAATTGTACAAGGTCTCAGTATGAACCTCCTCCAGCTGTACAGACAACATCAACGCCATAGTCAAATTCATCCCATACTCGATTGAGCATGTTGGGTGTCGCTGCACTCACGGCTCTTTCAGTGCGATTTCGGAGATCATCCAGTGTTGTGGAACCAACGACGAACGCTCTGAGCTGTTGGAGCTTCACTGCCCAAAATCGTCAAAATCTTTTTGAATCACCCTGTATATCAGGTGGCTGATAATAAGGGCTGATATTGACAACCCATTGGAGTTTTACTGGTATCAATGAAAGTATTGCTGAAAATTACCAACTTTTTTTTTTGGTCCAGAATTCAGACTTGTCTGAATAATAAAAACAAGTAAAATACAAAGTTAATCTATAGCATTAAAATAACATAAATAAATAAAAAAAAAGGTAAAATGATATCAGCCTATATTATCGATTGTACACATTTAGTATTGATATCAGTGTCCCTCAAATACATTATATGCATATTATGCATATATTTTCTTGCTGACCAATCTCCATCTTTGCACTTTATCCAAAAACTGAAAGTGTTCTGAATAAGTCCCACACATGGAAATGGAACTATTTACAACTATTCTCTTTGAGAGTTGCTTGCATTTCATCACAATTCAATCGATCACGTGATTTTATCATACGTAAGCAATTAGAGCCGGGTGTACACTACAAGATTCATGCAATCTCCCATATGATTTTAAAAAACTGATCATACTTTCATTTTCAAAGCAATTCACACTTAAAGATGCACTCCAGCTGCAAATACTTCAATGCATGACATTCAATTTGTCAGCACACATGGGGGGTGTACAGTGCAGCGTGATGTGACGAGAAACATTCAGCATTCAAAACCCAGTGGATAGTGTCCTTAAACCTGCAGAAACGGCCTTGTCATGTAAAGATGAGTAAAGAAAGAGAGCAGGATATTTTTTACCACTTGGTTCTCCTGCTTTAGAACATGAGGAGAGAACTTATATCAGCATGCAGGAACCTGTACTGTATAAGTTCGAGCCTTCAGGAGACAAAATGCAACTAATGTGTGGGATATTCCTTTCATCAACTCCTTAGTTTTGTTTATGATGTGAAAAACATACAGTGGTAAAATCGCAAAGATTGGCCGATTGTAGTTCATCATACAGCAACATTTAATGCAAAAACTTGTAATATGTTTTACAAGCGTACAAGTCATTCTCAATGCTCGGTTGGCTGCTAGAGAAATGCTCATTTAAGCGAATAACCCTATGGGAATTAAGAAATCTAGGTAATCACATTTTCTGCCAATTCTAGCTTTAACAGGCACACAAGCAGCAAATTCTTCATTCTGTATGCAGTTTCACTGTGGAAAATTTAGAATTTGAAGTCTGACGTTTCTCAATATTATTGAAGCAGGCTGTTAGCCTGTTAGTCACCCACTGACCTTGTCTAGTGAGGGTGGGATAGTTAAGGTACGGAGAATAGAACGTGTAAACCTGTTAATGAGAGCCTGCGACAGAAACGTTCAACTGACGGTTCTTTATTCAGGGGCACTTTGTAGACAGAGCTTCCAGCAATAACACGCTGCTTCACGCTGTGGCACTGGAGGAATATTTTGGGCTGCACCCACTAAACTGTGGGCTAAACAGGTGTGCAGCGGGACGTAAGGTCAGGAAAAAAAAAACTTCATCTAAACAGACTGATTACCTAATAGATGAAATTCAACACTGGAGTTCATCTTTAATGTCAGTTTTTTTGTAGAATTTCATGTTTCACTATAACTCTACACACTACAATCACTAAAGTTAAAAGCGTAACCCTAGATGAGTGTGCAGTAGGGAGAACGCCCGTTTTGTACAGCTGATTCAGATTTCTTTACAGCCAAACTGTCCAACTGCTGATTTTTATTAGCTTTTACTTTTATCCTGAAACTCACACTGTGCGGCCTAAATGAACACAAAATACACTGGCATATTTCCAGCACTTGCTGTTAGCCAAAGTCGCAATATAAGTAACATTATTTGCTCTTTTATGAGCAAAACTACCATTTTAAAATCCTCCAATGAAAAACTAAGCTGCTTATTAAAATGAGTCAAAAAAGTATTCATATAAAGTGTTGAAAAATAAGTGAAAAGTCTACAGAAAACGTCTGTAAATTTTATTGCACAGTTACTGTTTATTTGCTGAATTTAATATATTAGGTGAAAAATTAAACAATAATGTGGCCTGTGCGAAAGTTATGGCACATTTTGTATTACATTTTTCCCCCCAATTGTGCACTAAAATGCGCAGAGAAATGTCATATTCAAGTTCTCTGCAAATGTTTTAGCTTATTTTTACTTAGAAAATCAACAAAACATGTACAGTTTGAACACCCCCAGTCCAACTGCCTCATCCTCTACAACGAACCTAAAAATTGAGCAAAAAATTGTACAAAAATATAAAATGTGCCATAACTTTGGCACAGACCACATTTTATGTTAGAATTATGTGTTAATAATAAGATAAATTCAGCAAATAAACAGTCATTTTAAGTAAGTAAATTTCACGTTTGGAGCGAAAGTCTGCCGATTCCGAGACTTAAGCATTTCCTTTTAAACTGACTTAAAATCGTGAGTGCCTTGAAGTGCCAGCTCTTTCACCGGCTATACCTTTTATTACTTACAGTACATCGCTCATCCAGCAGCAGTGGTCACCACCCTGGTCCTTGAGATCTACCTTCCTACACAGTTCAGTTCCAATCACAGCCAGCCACACCTGCTCCAGCTAATGAACTTAAGAGGTTCTTGCAGATGCAGGTTGGAACTAAACTCTGCAGGACATCTGATGTCCAGGAGTGGGGGGTGGTGACCACTGCTCCACAGGACTTACATGTTTTCAACAGTAAAAATCAAACATGTTTAAAAAAAATGGGAGGCATCATGTCACACCTGAGCTGTAGTGATGAGGGGAACAAAGACTGTTTACCTTCACCTGAGCTGGAAATTTGCTTCAGATTTCGAAATCTTGTCTGAGGAAGGTAAAACCGTGTAGTGTACGCCTGGCTTAAGGCAACCTTAATCTGCCCGCATGGTCCCAGATCACCTGAAGCTTTTTATACAGCACTATACCAATACTTTATTTACCAAGCTGAACTGTGACTTTTCTCAAAGTTTCCTTCTTATGCTGTGTTCTAACAAGCTTTTCTTGTCGCAGTTGCCTTTGGCTTTCTCACTGGCCCAAACCTTCACAAAGCTGCTGTAACAGTCGAGTGTAAAATGTGTCATATAAATAAAACTGAACTGTGAACTACACAAGAAACGAGCATGATGCCTTGATTTGCTACAAGTGTACAGCTGTCTATACTCTGAATCTGAAAAATTCTGATTAAAATGTCACCGCTGTCCAATAAAACAAGTATCTCAAAAATGGCAACTTTGCTTTTAATGCAAGTTAGTGTTCAGTTTTGATTGTATTCCAATTTTGCAGCATTTCTATTGGTCCATTCACCATGAAATTTTCACTGAGATTTTCTCAAGTTATGTCAAAAAATGAAAAAGTACAAAAAGGAGATGCTTGTTTTTTTTTTTTATATACAGCGATATGATATGATTTACCTGTTTATTTGAGAGAAATGGTTGGTTCTGAGCGTAGCTATCCTAGAAATAATTTAAAACTGATTTCCTGTATCAACTTAACACATTTTTGGTTCCACACCATATTCTAAAGCCCAGCCCACTGTCCTAGAATGCTTACAATAGTGTGATGCAACATGCAAGCAAACGAGCCCCTGAACCTTACCGTCACAGACTTCAGAGTCATGCCGTGGTAGGTTCCCATTGTGTCGATTTTGAATCCCTCCGTCTCTGTGGATTCAGAAGTGGAACTAAATCAGCAGCAATTCTTTTAAAATGAGAAAACAGCTACAGAAAGCAGTGAACAACATGAATTAATATTCATTCAGCTTGAGTGATGCTTTATATCTTTCGGTCATAATGCAAGCGAAGGTGCAACAGATCGTAATGAAGACAACAGCACCTGCACACAAGTACTTACATAATTACTACCTTGCCCATTACATTCTGAATTAACTAAAACATTTGCTGCATTTTGTTTTAATCTATTACACATCCCTTTTGTTTATATACATTTATTTAAACAGGTAAAATTTGAATAAAGTCGTTCGGGGACGTTTGATGTGAAACGCTCTGTTCTAGAGAAACTTACAGAGTCAGAATTGTTCACAGTGGTGGTGACAGGAACCAGACGTCCCCTAAAAGCTCCCTCCGTAGACATTATTACATGAAATTGTTATGAATGTGCTGCCTGATGTCTGATACATTGGTGACGCCTGGCTCCTATCACCACCACCACTATAAAGAAACCTGAGTTTCTACAATGGACCATTTCACAGCATTCTGAACGTCTTTGTTTACATCCTAGCAGCTGGACTTTCCAGTTGGCAAGATACTAATATTCAAATTAGAATAAATCTGCACAGTACATATTGCTATATACCACAAACATGCTACCAAAAATAATGAATGCTTTTCTCTCTATTCTTGAAGTTCTCCAAATTAAAGGAAATGCTGCATTACTAGGTTTAACTGCATAATGTAAAAAAAAAACAAATAAATAAAAAAAAAAAACAGAAGCAAAAGGCATAAGCTCGTGACCAATATTTTAGAGGACATGTGACACGTCACTGGCGGACAGAACAGGTTGCATTTAAAAAAAAAGTGCTGCAACCTCAGTTAAAAGTGATAAAAATCTATAATTTAATGTCTGTTTTTATTGTTATAGCCCGACAACTAATACAACCAGCTGGTGTTCTCCATGCAGCGTAAGCAGTAATAAGGATTAAAACTTACCCTCTTTCCCTTTGAATCGCTCCTGATCGTATCTGTTGTAGGCAGCTGGGACCGGCTGTTTATTCCTAATTGATGGGTCCTTGGGAGAAACAAAGCAGTTTGAGTTAGTGTGGTTCATAAGCAGCCTGAGACATTTATAGTAGGTGAGCAAAAGTGCACATGGGGATGAAAACACACACAAAACTACGCTGATCGTCCATTCAACTCGAGCCAGGCAGTATATCAGTGCAGACCACGCTGAGTCATTTAACATCAGATTCATCTTGAAGGTCAGAACATGTGGCATAACATTCTGAACATGTGTTCTCGACCTTCGGCGCAGCAATGCTTCAGTGGATTAACCTTAATGTTGGTGGTTATGGGCTGAATGAGTGAAGACAACTACAGCCTCATACAGCGTCCAAGAACCTTGGACAGTCTGTCAGCATCTAAAGCTTTGGGTTCACTACACGACTTTAAAAGTCTTAACGGATCATAAAAGAGTGGGCATCTCACACTAAGTGATTTTTTTGGGTGACTGAAATATTGGAGAGCCACACTAAACAATTAGGGATCACACACTACTCAACTTTTCAGCTGTTGCTGAACTGAACGGAGCTCACTGAACACTCGCGTTCTCCCGTTACTAGGACACGCAGATAAACAAACGTGTAGCGGCTGCTGCTGTTTTCTCTGCTGTTTGCGCTCATGCAGTTAAGAAGCAGCAGGTAAACATGTTTAAATGAGGATCATGGATTTAAAAATGATCAGTTTGGGATTTTTTAGAGTTTTAAATGGACATAAACTCGATTGTGTCTTAAACTCAGCTCATTAAAAAGCTTCGGTCCACATGAGAGACTGCACCATTTTTCTTTGTGTACTTGCTGTTTTGTCTTCTTTTGCACTCTCAGTTTTCATTGGCTGTTGCAGGAATCCATTCAAATCGAGTCGTAGACCAGTTTACACTAGATTTCGCAGGTTAGTTGGGTCCAAAAAAATCCAACGTTTGATAAACTCGAACTGCTCTGAAACGCGATCGAGAGGCCAAAAATCTGAGTCTGTGCTCCTCACACGACTCGACTCCCTGTCCAACTGTCAACTCTGACTGACCCAAGAATCTGCAGACTCGAGCCGACCAGCTCAGACTGAGAATGAGGGCTAAGATCGGGGGGAAAAGTCGTGCAGTGTAACTCTGGTTTAAAGGACTCATTTTGTCTTGTAAACAAATATCTAACCAACTACTCCTTTAAGCAAATGGCAAAAAGACACAATTATGCTACTTGTTATTAGGGCCGCACAATAAATCGCATTTTGATCACGATACGAGTTTCTATGATAAACACAGCATTAAAAGCTGCAATGACAAAACAGATGAGCTTATTCACGCAGCCCCAGAGAGACGCCATATCATTGCCGGCACAAACTGTCATGCGCTTTGCTGTGCTGGTTTCCCATATAGAGGACGAGTAACTTAACCATTTGGCTAAACAGCCAATTACAAAACGCACACATGCAGTTCAAACTCTCCTTCATCCTGAATTACAAGGCAGTAAAACACATCAAACATTAGGATTGATCTCTCAATCAGTTTCATGCTTTTGATGTGCGAGCCAGTAATAGCTACTGTCACAACAAACTAATAATAACTGAATAATAATTACATTATTTGTTCATTTTTGTGTGCATATGAAAAAATAAGCATAGTTTTTGTGGCCTTTATTAAAAAGCTGTTGAGGTAATGCTGACTGTTCTCAGCCTCAAAAAAAAAAATGTTCTTGCAACTCTAACATAAGTAGTAGTATTTCTTTTCTTTCTACCTTTCACCAAAATAATGTTGAACGATGTTTTTGTAATTCAATATTTTGCTATTTGCTTAAAGGAGAAGTGTTAGATTTTAAAGTTTACACATCAAAAAAAATGACTAGGTGCATCACATCCAATCAGAGGTGGACTGTTTTAATTACAATTTGTCGCTTCTTATACAGTCACTGTGATAGACAGCTTTATGGAACAGCGTATTTTATTTGAATATCGCACAGCCCTACTTGCTAATGTGCACAATGAATACGAAGGAATACTAATACTGACTTACATCAAAACTATGCACATTTTTGTGCACTACAAGAAAAACAGTTCGCATTCCCTGAACAGCTTTCTTATGAACTGAATAAATTTGTTTAAATCCTTATAAAGCTTGATATGGTGATGCAGGTTTGTTGTGACTGTAGCCGTTACTGCTTTATAGATTTTACACCAAACACTGATTGCCACATTTAAATTATATAAACAGACTAGAAGTTCAGGATACATTAGCTTTTGTACAATGTTGTTCTCACCCACCCAATTCTGTCACTCTGACGCCATGCAGGTTTGGCAATTTGATCTATTTGGCCATGACAGCCCTCATAAAAATCATATTGTGATAAAAATATGATTTATCGTGCAGCCCTTGGCTGGTCCACCTTTGCTGTGTCCAGGTAAATGCTTTCTGGCCTTTGTGCATTACGCTTTAAACCACACCATTCTCTATTTTACTCAAATCAATTGAACATAAGAACTCAGCAGCACGCTCAACAGCTAAAACCTCAGGCTGTCCAACTTTCTCTCACAATGGTGGAGCTCATTTCAAGCTTCATTTACTTGACAAATGGCGCTAATATTCTGAGAAATTGATAGCGTTCCATATTAGTCCATCCAAAATCACAACAGGCCGGAGGGGTATGCCTTCTTCCTTTTAACTTCTTTTACAGCGTAAGCTTTGGAAAGTTTTATGTCAAAAAAAGTGTCAAAAAGGGAACTTCATAGCGATGCTGAAGAAACTACTATTTTTGGATCTCTAAAGAACCTTTCCTTAGAGCTGAATGACTGTTTTTGAATCTAAATCTCAATTTGAAAGAGTCCAATTATCAAATGGCAATTTTAATTGTATCCTACACTCCTGAATGCTGAACTTTGAACCTAATAACAGAGTTCGTGAGCTGCCAGTCTGCTACTTTACAATCAGCAATCAAGCCTCAAGCACAAATGGATGTGCTGGTGTTCTTGAAAAATAAAAAAATGGCTTTGAGATTAACCGACGGAATAAGCACAATATTTTCCTCAAATTGCTCAGCCCTATTTTCGATGGAAGGTTCCTTACAGAACTATTCCTGTAAATGTGATGTGTGAGTGCGAAGAACATTTGCAAACCTTGCTTTATGAAAGACTCTAAACCAATTAAAAATTTTACCTATAGTCTTATAAATGCAGGTGACAATAAGAATTATTTGGGGAACGGCACAAATCGCAATCTACACCTCCACCAGCTGATTAACTTCTTCAGAAGTCATTGGCTGAATCAGATGTTTTAGTGTTAGGTAACTAGGAGGGCAGCATGTTAGATTGGATTCAGGTTGGAACTAGGGCTGAACGATTTGGGGATTTGTCTGAATAACATCATGACTATGATTGAATTGTGATTATTTTCTATAAATTAAGGTTCAGGCCTGTTTTTTTGGCCAAGAAGACCAGAATGTCCACCTTTTCTGGCTTGAGCCTTGACCGCTGAATGTAGTGCGCTAGACTTCCAGTAAGCTGTAGTTGTGATATCAAATCACATGAAGGTCTGGTTGCCTCTGATTGGTCTAACTCATCAACAGGCAGCTAATAAGCTGAGTTATAAAGTTAAATTTTCTCTCTTAAAACACAAAGACCACGTTAGTGATAATGTACGCTATGGTCTTAAAAAATTCCGGCTCTTGCCATTTAAAAATTGCAATTTTGATACAAAACCCTTTAATCCTTTAGCCATTGCTGGAACCAAACTCAGCAGAAGATAAGCAGATCTCCAGGAGGACGGCTGGTGACCACTGCCATAGATAGAACCACTTTCGGTACTCTAGAAAGATCCTTAATTGATGGCTCTTCAAACATTTTTTCAATGAGCTGTAAGAGTGCAATAAACCCTTTTAAAGTTTCAAGAATCTCCATGTAAAATGTAAAAGCTTCATTAAATAATTTAGGAACTGCGCATCGAAATCTAGGGCCACCTTTATTTTTAGGGGGGAGGAACTATAAGCCAATAACCATCTAGGAACCTTTATTATTTTAAGTGAGCAGAGTGAGATAAATCCATGAGTACTGAGGGTGGTGTGGTTGCTGTGCAGTGTGTACACTCTCACCGTCTGAGTTGGATTCTGTGCTGGTCTCTGTTCTGGAGCACGGCCCTCTTCTCTGGCCTTTACTGACTGCAGGATGGCAAAGATGCTTTTGGAGAAGTTCTGCAAGATCAAAACATAATACTTTAAGGACTGCTGCACAACTTTCAACATAAGTCTAAATGCTTTTTAGGACCTTAATTTTGCAAAAATAATACAATTTCCACCATACAACAGAACACACATTCCCAAACGCCATGTATTAATAATTATTTAATACATAACGTTTACTTACACTGTTAGTAATAAAAGGTAAATTTTTCGTTCATCAAGGTACAAACAGTGTAAATGTTTCCTCGAGGCTACAACAGTGGTTTTAAGGTCTGATTGTGAACCTTAAATAAGTTTTTCCAGGTGAAAAGTTCGTATTTGTACCTTTTCATAACCGAATGTTTTAAACAGAACAGTAAAATAAAAGCCTGGAGACGAGACGGGGTGTGTGGAGTCAGTACAGCTTAGAACATATCATTTCAGTGGATTATGGTTCAGTTATGTTCCCTGACTAAAGGTACCGAGATGAGCCCTTGAGGGTCCCACCCCAGTGACCAGATTGGAACTGCCCCAGTGACAGCTTAGTACCTCTGTTTGAGAGTGCAGGGATTCAGTTTGAAGGTGTGGCGGGTTTTGAACGCATGGTTGCTGCAAATGATGATTTAAAACCAGAAGCGATGCAGCTGGTAACACAGAACATTTTCATGATAGTTTCGTTTTCAATCAGTTGTCACTCACAGGGAGTGGGAGTGTATTTCCTACATGGTTTTGGTGGCATGCCGCTCGCGACAAGCAGCAGAAAACAGACTAGTTAGAAAAGCCACAAGCTCACATTTTACGTGCTGGTGTTCAGACAAAAGGCAGCTAGTTTAAGCACAGCAGAAACACGGGCACTGCAGATATTACCATTTTTATTTTTTCCATCTTAAAGCAGCTTTAAACTGTAGACATATAAACTACTTTGTTATCTTCTGAAAACATCCTGGAAATGCAGCAGGTTGTAGATAATGCCCATTTGCAAAAATGAAACAGGACTGGCTCATTTTACCCGACTCATTACAATGTGTTTGGACGTTTCTAGATTTACTACTTTTAATATCACAAAAATAAGACATTTTCAGACATTTTATGACCTTATATTTTTCATTATTTTAAGTAAGCTTGGGCAATGAGACAATATTTTTTGCTGTCAGGATAAATACGTCCCAATGTGTCACAATATTCTTTTCTGAGCATATTGTGGATATCGTCAGTAGAGCTGGGCAATATGGCCAAAAATGTTCTCACGATAAACAAAATTCACATTGTTCAATATTGATACATATCACGATAAATGTCAAATCATTATTTCTTTCAAGTTTGAAGCCTGAGACTGTAGTCAGCAGCACAGGAGCACCACAAGAGACTGTACTTCCCCCTTTCTCTTCACACTGTACACCTCAGACCTTCAGTACAACTCTGAGACGTGCCACATGCAGAAGTTTTCGGATGACACTGCCATTGCGGCTTGTGTAACGGGAGGGCAGGAGGAGGAGTACAAGACCCTGGTGAAGGACTTTGGGACATGGTGCCGTAAGAACAACCTGCTACTGAACACTTCCAAGACCAAGGAGATGGTGGTGGACTTGTGCAGGGCTAGGCCACTCTCACAGCCAATCTCACACAATCTCTATTGAGGGGGTTGAAGTGGAGAGGGTTATGACCTACAGGTATCTCGGACTGCAACTAGATGATAGGTTGGACTGGTCAGCCAACACAGACATGGACATACCAATGCCTCACAGTGTCCTCGGTTTCCTTTGTTTAAATCAGGGCTGTAACTCACATGAACCCACTTCTTTCTTTCACTTTTATTGCCTGGGAATCCACTAATACTAAAATATGACTGAGCGCTGTAACAGTGCTGTAAGTCGTGAGGAGCAGACGTGATTTAACTCTGCTAAAGCTTGTTAGGATGTACAGAAAGAGGTGAGTTCACTGTAGGACAGTACAGTTACGCCACTGATCTCATCACTCAGACTTGGTCACAGCAGAACAGATTGCTGGTTGCTCCACTCAAACAGGGAATACGTAACTCCACGTTTCAGACGCTGCTAAAGTATATTTGGCGACTCAAAGTTTATTTGGTTACTCATGGCCCCCTCCCTCTCATATCGTGTAAAAAAAACTCTGAAGTGCGCCCTCTCCTGGCGACAGCAGAGTAGTGTCGCTTTCCTTGCAGTAGAAAATGCCACCAGGGCTGTCACTAGAACCCAGAAGTGTGAGAGTGGTGTATTATATTGAAAATTTACGGAACAGTTCTTATAGTTCTATCAAGGAAAGTTATATCACAATAATTATCATTATCGTTTTATCGCCCAGTCCTAATCGTCAGTATTTAAAAAAACAGATTAACTGCTTGTTTAATTACAAAGATAGCATTATTAGTCCCGTTTAATGGGACTTAGAACAGTACATAAAATTTCAAATACTCGGATTCGTAGTTTTTGATGGCATTTTTTAAATGTTCCACCACTTTCTTTGTTCCATACTGTTAAAAAAAAGTATCATGATATTACATTCTTGCATTATCACCCAATTTCAAGAATTTCTAAGAACTCCTCTGGGACAAAACCAGTTCTTTTGTGAAGAAGTATGTAACTCTGGGCTGTAATCCATCCATAGACTGTCAGTTCAATGAGCTCCTCTGCTTCAAAATCTTCGAGAAAGGCCAGCTATGACAAATGCAGGACTTGAATCTAATACCATTAAAAGTTATGCAATCTGAGCAGCCTTTGGGTTAAAAGTATTCTTACATTGAAATAGTGATAATATTTTGTTTTAACAGTCCCTTAAATTTTAAGTATTAACCAGGTCAGCGTGAGAAACGAACTAAAGCACAAGATGATTATTTTTACGTTTAACGTAAAACGTATTTGTTAACAGAACAGTAAGTTTCAAGGTGGACTGACTACATTACACTGAAATGGTCAACAGGTTCTAGATATTAACTGGACAGGTATGTAGTACAAACCAGGTAGCAATATGACGAATAAAGTACAAAAAGTCTTATGTAAGTGTTTATTATCTATGAATAAACTGAATCTGGCCTATAAAGGAAAGCAGTGACTGTTGATGCAGTTCTATTGCATATTTAGTATTTACTTAACTTTTTCTAGATCAGTGAACCAGTACAGCCACACTTCCGCTGCAGTGTTCACTTGTTCACACTGTTTTTTAAACACTGCTTTTACGCATCAAAATGTCCAGCAATGCGGCGATACAACACATCGTTAGAAAGCTTGAAATCTCAGGATTCGATTCCTGGAATCCAGTTCATGACCCGTTATCCACAGCAGTGATGATCGTCTCATTTGTAACGTAAGCACTGAATGAGCCAACGCTAGCAAATCTGTCCTCACCTTCAAAGCCTCGCTGCTTCTCACGGAGACACCACAACCCAAAACATGTGGTCTGATAACATGGCACCAGTCAGAGATCAGATCAGAGATCTATGAGTCACTCTGTGTCAGTAATTCATATCTGACAGCTGGGAAAAAAAAATTGATGAGACTGAGATCACTTGTAGCCCCCAAGTATGTGGGAACAGCACTCCTTTGACTCTGGGCATGCAGTTTCAGGCAAAAATGTGGCTGAATCAATGAGGGCGTTCACATGCACTCAATAATCCGATCATAATCGGATTTCTGCAGTTATCCGATTATTCAAATGGTCATGTAAACACCATACTCTGATATAGCAATCCAATAAGGAGGCTGGATTTCAGCTCAGAAATCAGATTTCTCAGTGCATGTAAACTCTTACTCTGATTTCTATCGTATTTCTCCGTCGGCGCGAGATCAGACGGTGGATGTCACGAGACGCAGCAAAACACTGTTGGAGCGGTAATGAAACCAAACGTGAAATAAAGGATTTGAATATTCTTCATCTTCTAGATGATGTTTGTTCACATTTTCAGTTCATTTAAAAAAAAAAGCCGCAGCATGAAGTTTGAGTTTTACTTTACGCTTAAGTCTCGTCTTCTTCTGTGAGTTTATTGGCTGGTTGTGAAGCAGAAATCCGATTACTGTCTGACTCATGTAGACCTGGAGTTTCCCCATTATCTGAGTACTCAAGTGCATGTAAACGTGTTGATTGGATTACTGACAAAATCTGATTTTCTGCAGTTATCTGACTATTAAGTGCATGTAAACACACTCATTGTCATTTGGGTGTCATTACACGCCATATAACTTACTGGAGGAGGTATTTGGAGGAGCTTCTGATTGACTTTCCAGCTTAAACGCGTGACGTTACAGCGACATTTACTGTATATTTTTATTTCCTACCTAGTTATTCTAAATAATTATGAGGTATTTTACTATCCTTTGTCAGTTTAATAGCTACAACCTGTTAGTCATACCCGTATAATTTAGTTCGACTGGAAGACTTATTAATAATAATTTAGTTACACTTGGTAATGTGCCCAAAATAATTACACAGCACTTTGTGGGTTGTACCCCACACTTACTTAATATCTAGAACTTATTTGGCATTTTTATTATATCATGAGTTAAACTGTCTTGGAATTTACCATCATGTTAAATAATTATCTAGGACTCTGAAGATCCTTTTCCTGGTTTATACATAGAACTTACAGAACTATAAAAGAGTGGGTAAGTTACTCTAGCACTGTTTATACCATTACAGCCTGGTTTACTGTAATTTAGAATTTTTTTCCCATCTAAAAACCATGGTAAGCTGTGAGAGTCCTAGTCAATGATCTGCTTTTCTTATGTCAGTGAAAATGAATGTAAGTGAAGCAGAAATGAGTCAGTGAACAAAAGCAGAACAAAGTGGCCTTTAAAAGAATTTGGAAACTCCTTTCTTCTTGTTTTTACTTGTTGCGAAGTGCAGACCGCCACATTTCTAGCAATACTTGGGGGTAGAAAATGGTGAACATTTGAAGGAAGGACCTAAAATGAGAGAACTTGGTTTGTACTGATTCAATACAGTGCTGCCACCCAGAGGACAGATACTGGAATTGCAGAGTAACTTGTGCCACGCATTTAACGAATTTCCTGCATTTCGTGTTTACTCTTTTCAGCACGTACACTGAGCAGCAGCTCTCTACTCACTGATACAGGATCAGCCATAATAGGAATGAAAACTATCATCAATCCTATCGTTCTGCTGCCTCTTAGCCCTTCATCATCTTTTTAAAAAAATATAACATTTTCAGTTTTATCACCTTTAAAGCCTTTTAAAAGACCTTATGAGACAAGAACCCAAGAACCCTCTCACATTACCTCACCTCCATGTGTAAAACTGTCCGAATCGTGTCGTGTTTCTCTCACCTTCCCGCTGCTCTGTAGAATAGTGGTCCTCGTCCTCCACACCCGCTCTCTGCTGACGATATCTCTCGTCACGTCCACTTCGGCGTCCACAAAGCTCCTCTGCTTCAGGGTGATGTCATCATCCAGGTCTGTCTTGATGGTGGAACGCTTTTTGGCCATAATTTTGGCTTTGATGGCAGCGATCTTCTCCACAGACATGGCCTCTGAGAGCGACCTGGGGACGATAAGAGAGATTGTGAGAAATTAGAAAGCAACTGAAACATCAATAACGGATAATAGCAAATATGTCAAACCGGTCATTAATGACAGCCTCAGTAAAGACTAGAGACAGTTAGGCTGGCCCCAACAAACGGACTGTATATGTACTAAATATACAAAACAGGACACAGGTTTGGAAGAAACACAATCTTTGAAAAATGACTGCAATATATCGTCGTTTTCCAAAGAAAAACATCTCCATTTTTGTCGATTATTAGTTTTCAGCATTATTTGAACACAGTGGCCGTCTTTTACATCGTGAGAAAATTTCATGATGAATGGACCAATAGCAACATCCTAAAGTTACTTGGAATAAAATATCTTCTCATTGACTTACATTAAAAATAAAGACTGTTTTTGCTCTCTACTGTAAAGTTACCATTTTGGAGATACTTTTTTTTTCCCTTTGGACAGCAACAATTTATTACCTTTGACTGAAGAAAACTTAACTGTTATCCAATGAAGTTTACGCTGTCACTGTAAAATCAACATTTGAGAGAGGATTTTTCATTGCATATTTGTAAAAACCTATTTTATTCAGAGATATAAGGTAACATTAAGGGTCTTGCCCAGTGTATAATAATACTGGTATATTACAGTGAATTCTCTGGTTCCTGACTGTCTGAGTTGACCGCACCCTGTTCCTCTGTGTGCAACGCAAGCATTTTACTGCACTACAAAAAAAAATGGCATCATCTTGTGGATTAAGACAGAAATGTATCTTGGTAATCAATCAGTCAAACACATTAAAAACAGAGATGCATTTAAAGCAAAAATCATTCGCTAAAACCGAAATTCTGGACACAAGTTGGCTTAAAACTGAAAAACTGAAAAAGCTGAGTAAATGAAAACAGCTGAGATCAAATAAACTTGCTAGAATTATTACAGTCTGTAGATTAAAGTATCTAAAAACTGTAATAATTTTAATAAGATGATTTGATGTAAACTATTTTCATTTATTACCAGCTTTTCTCAGTCTTTGAGAAGTTGGTCATCCAAGGCAAAGAATTCTATCATTTTTTAGTTATATTTTGCACTTTGGTTGTGTTGATGTGTTCACAGAGACTCTCCTTTCAGCTCCTGTTTTGCTGTATTCTGTTTTCAGGTGCAGTCAAACCTGCAGTGAAGTGGTGTTTTATCTGCTCTTGATACTTAGATTGTCCATATTCAACATTTGTGTTGTATTTTACCTTTTTTTATTATAAAATTCCTCATAGAAACTACGAAACAGTCCCACACAGCTGATAGTTTCATTGTTTATCTGCTGATGCTCAGACTGTTTACATGCTCAGGGGAGTGAAGGGAACAAAGAGCATTTTTAAACACTATTTCTCATTTTTATTTCCTTTAATATTACATTTTGGCACTAGATTTTAATATTTTAAGCCATTTTCTATTTTTAACCATTTGCGGCTGAAAACTTTGTGCCCAAAATTTCACTACATCTCTAGTTAAACACATTTAATCGCTTCATTATTAATATCAATACTCTGGTGTAACAATAATGTTTCAAAAAACAAAATACTGCCACATCATACTGTATCAGCTTGTTTTTATTCTTTCATTTAACAACAGTCAGTAATAGCATCTTTATTTGGTCAGCATACTATCATCAATCAGTCTAATCATACCGGATCTGGTCCGTCTGCACGATGCCTTCCTTATGGCCTTCCAGACGGGCAGCCAGACGCTCCTTATCCAGACGCACTCGTTCTTCATCCTAACACACACAATTTAAATTCTTAATTTGGGTTCACATTTTAAAATACAGAATGAAAAAGGGCTGAATTCTGTCAAATGCATCAGTCATACACACACAAGTGACTGTGTTGGAAATAGAGTGCAGTACAGAGAATTTAATTGATAGAAGTATTTTTAAATCCATACGGCAACAATCATGCACACTGGACAAGAAGAGGAAAAGCCGTCTAGAGGCCCTTTCCATTTACCTCAACCCGTGGCTTTTTCGCTTCTGAAGAGACTTCATCAGCAGCCCTTTTGACTGTTCAAAGACAAAATAAAGGAAATCTCAATAATGTCAGTTTCATATTCTTACTTTGTCCTTTACGACAGTTACACAGTTATCTTACTTTTTAATGATTATTTCACTGCATATAATATAATAACTGTTCATGTTTTGTGTCCTAAAATGAGGACTGTGTGCAAAAAAAATGCTATAATTTAAAATGAACAGTGCAACTATCATTTCAGAGGTAGCAGAGGTTCACCAGCATGCCTGTGTAAAAACATTCTTAATGACTTATAATCAACACATACCTTGTGTCGGCCTCTGAAGACCAATCTCAATGGGCGCACTTCTGTCAATGCTTGTTGATGACGCTGTAAGAAAAAACAAAACATTACATACAATTAACTCACAGACATAAGCCCTACTGGAGCGGGGGAGGTGCTGTAATGTGAGTGATTATCGATGAATTCTGTGATTTTAATCCAGTACAAATCTGTAATGTCTGCTAACTAATAATTCAGGAGTGAATTTCCATCTATAGTTCGCCAAATTTAGAGCTGCTTCAGTAACAGCAGTCCTGTTGAAATCAACCTCACAGTAATGTAATAATATATCATTACAATAAACATCAGCACCTCTGTTTTTTGGCAAGTGGGAGACGAGACTAAGAGCTAAAATGAAACTCTCAGCACGGCTCCTTTATCCTCTACAACATTTTTGGAGATGGACTAAACAGAAGGAGAATGAGAATTATATAGACGGATGTACTTCTGGCATGGCAGAGTGACTGAAGTCCTGTTGGGCAACATTTGAAAAGTTAACTACCTTATCCCAAACGAATCGGCAAGTCTAACCCGGACTTTGCTATAATCCATTACCGGACCCTCGTCTGGTCAAACAGGGCTTCAAATTAATGCAGTGTTTATTTAAAATAATAATACTTACAGTTTTCTCCATTGAGATATGACAGCAAGTCCTTTCTGTCAGGTCTTCTGACCACAGGTATGTTCTCTGTCTGCGAAGTGAGAAATTTAAGGCTTAATAAATAAATAAAAATGTTAATTTAGTTACTCCGCTTTAAGGTTATTCTGTAATGACGTTCACTGTGTACATTAAACTGTAAATACAGCTGTTACTTCTAGTTGTGTTTATACTCACTGTGTTGTAACTACCTCGGTACCACTTGTACAACACCTGCTCTCATGTAAATACAACAAATCTTGTTGTCTTATATGCTGTACAAATATATGCAAAAAGATATACTTTAAATTTCTACTCTCTCATACTTTAACTTGGGTCTATTTTTTATTTCTGCCTAATTTATTTCTGCCTAATTACTGTAATTAATGTAATGCAATTTCCCTTCAGGATCAATCACGTTCTTTCAGTCTAATGTTATTAAAAGGAACAATTCTAGAACCAGGGCTGAAAAATGTATGTTAATCGTTATCGCAGTGGGCTATCCAACCAATCACAGAGCTTTATACTGCCGACCAATCGTCAGAGGAGTTTCTGCAGCTGTTTTGATGAATCTACGTTCACGCAAGTCAACAAAAGGACATTATCTGGGTCAAATTAATGCAGGCTAATCTTTGTCACGTTGTTAAATCAACAAGTGTATTTAATACATCGCAAAGGACTGATGGGAATTCCACATATTTTTAAAAAAATTCTTAATTTAATCACTACAATGTAAACAAAGTCATTCTGAAGCATTTAATGCCTCTAAAAAAAAGTTATTACATAAAGTGGTTGCAAATACGCTGCTCAATGTCTGTTTTCATTTTTGGCCTAAAATAATATTTTTCAAATCAATTCACAGCGGACCTGTAAACCAAAATAGTCCGCAAAAAGTATTTTCATCGACAATACACGACAATACATAATCGACAATACACGACCTACACAACGTGTAGGTTCACTGGTGGTTCTGGAGAGTGAATAAAATGGCTTACTTTTATCTCAATAATTGAATTATACAGAAATTCTGATGCAATCGCCCTTTAAAAGACTGAACAAAACGTGAATAAACAACTGCGAGACTCAGTCTAAGCTCAATCTAAGCTCAAGCCGCAAACGGTCACTTACCGCAGCTCTGCGCACGTAGGACGGGTGAGGAAGATGCACATTGTTGAGGAGGAAGAGAATGGAGTCGAGGGTGTAGTACTCCTTAGGCTGGCCTTCTTTTCCTGTTCTGTAATATAAACACAAATAAATAATGTTACTTCACCAACAGAAACAAACTGAAAATTACATTGGTTGCACTTTATTCTGATGACAAGATCTGCCTCAAGTCTCAGCAACTAAGTTGTGAAGTGAAATTGGATGGATGGATGGATAGATAAATAAGACAGACAGACAGACCACTTTATTAAAGTCAGTGGAAAAAGTATCGCCATCTGTATTATACAGATGCTTAAACAGAAGAAATAAAGATATATAATAAAAAATAAAATATTCTGAAACAGTCATAAAATATAATGTGCAGTACAAGGATAAGTCAGTAAAATCACATAAATATTATGCAGGTGACAATGCAGTGATGCAAGTCACGTCCAGTGAAATGTATAAACAATGAATGTATAAACAAAGTGGCAGAGCATAGTAAAGAGTAGAGATATATAATGTCTAGTTAGTGTTAAATGAGCCTGTCCTGTCAGTAGCTCAGTATACAATAACGTCCATTATACAACAGTTGGTTCCGGCCATGCAAGCTCATTGGCTGAGAAGCGCTCTAACTCTGATGTAGCAACAAGCTGCTTGTTAAGGAACTATAATTTGGTGAAGGAACTGCAAACATTAAAACATATTAAACGCCGCGTTCACGGCCCAGTTTATTAATTTATTACTTTATTTATTTAACTGTTGTATAAAAGCAATACAACTCCAGGTTGTGTTATTTCGCGATAACACACTCCCTCTCGTGTTCTATTGCTTAAGCAAGACAAATTTGACAAAAATATCCTCCATCTTTAAGGGTGCATTCACATCCATTTGGCTCTCGGTCCAGAACAAACCAGGAAATTATAGTCCTCAATGAGTCTCAACTAACGAACCACACATAAGGAACAACCACAGAGTTCGTTTTAATCTAATCAAACCTGCCAGGTGTGAACACAGTCAGTCAACTCTGACTCAACACAGTGCTCAAAATATCAAACAAGAAATTAGAGACGCCTCAGCAACCGAATATATCCTTAGTGTTCAGTGGGTCCACCTTTTTCCTTTATTCCAGCTTCCATTCCTTTCAGGAGACTCACTTTCAGTTCCTCAAAGAATCTGCAGACACACCTCCAAAGTTCAGTCTTAGAAGCTGGTTGATCATTTTCTGAAGTAATCAAACACATTCAGTGGTGTTGAGGTCTGGACTTTGGGGTGGTCAGTCCATCGTTCAGCTTCTTTGTTTGATGTGTCCGTCTCCTTTTCTCAGTGAGGTTCTTCTTGATCAGCTACACATCCTTTCAGACCCACAGCGCTGAGTCGTCTTCTCACAGTGGAAGGATGGACAGAAACACCTGTGGATGTTTTCAGATCTGAAGCAGCTTGATTTTCTCCTCTCTCTCAGAGATGAAAGCTTTAAGTGCTGTTTATCTGATGGGGGCAGTTTTGGTGTCTACCAGGTCTTCCAGGTGGTTGTTAGGAGGCACATTTTCTCTACATAACTTCGCGAATAACTGTTTGGGAGAAGTCCTGTTTCGTTCACTTATATTACTTTGACATTCTTCCTTACGCGAGTGGATTATCCTAAATCCAGTCTTCTCAGAAATATCTTCTCCAATATCTCACCATTTTAATGACATTTTTGATGGTGCGACAGGTGGGCGTGAGCCGTTGCTTGCGTGAATGTTAGGGTCTCTTTGAAGGGGAACAGCTTTAACTTAGCTGGGAGGACTCAGCTGTAACTGGCTGGATGGAAGAGTTGAAGTGGCAGAAAATGCACAAAAGTTAAGAGTGGGCAATTTAAATACTGATATACATTTGATATACTTAGGGCTGAAGACTTACGCTTTATGAAGAAAAGTATTGGGACACACCTCTTAATCACTGAATTCAGGTGTTTCATTCAGTCTCATTGCCACAGGTGTATAAAATCAAGCACCTAGCCATGCAGTCTGCCTTTACAAGATAGTCCACGATCTACTGTGAGTGGTAGTAATAAAAAGTGAAGGCATTTAGGAATCACAGCAACTCAGCCACGAAGTGTCAGACCATGTTAAGTTACAGAGAGAGTTCCAAACCTCCTCTGGCATCAACATCAGCACAAAAACTGAGCGCCGGGAACTTCGTGGCAGGGTTTCCATGGCTGAGCAGCTGCATGCAAGACTTACATCACCAAGCACAATGCCAAGCGTCGGATGGAGCGGGGTGAAGCGCCGCCACTGGACTCTGGAGCAGTGGAAACGTATTCTGTGGAGTGACGAATCAGCTTCTCTATCTGTCAGTCTGATGGACGAGTCTGGGTTTGGCGAATGCCAGGAGAACGTTACCTGCCTGACTGCACTGTGCCAGCTGTAGAGTTTGGTGGAGGAGGGATGATGATATGGGGCTGTTTTTCAGGGACTGGTCTAGAACCCTTAGTTCCAGTGAAGGGAATCTTAATGCTTCAGCACCAAGACATTTAGGACAGTTGTACACTTCCAACTTTGTGGGAACAGTTTGGTGAAGAACCTTTCCTGTTCCAGCATGACTGAGCCCCAGTGCACAAAGCAGCTCCATAAAGGCCTGACTGGGTGAGTTTGGTGTGGAAGAACCTGACTGGCCCTCACAGAGCCCTGACCTCAACCTCATCACACACCTTTGGGATGAACTATTGTGAACCAGGCCCTCTCGTCCAACATCAGTGTCTGACCTCACAAATGCTCTTCTGGATGAATGCGCACAAATTCCCACAGACTCTCTCCAACATCTTCAGTTCAGTTCAGTTCAGCTCGGCTCTCATTGGTTGCTGGTCTTTCAGGCATGACATCAACATCACGCTTCACGCCGCACTACACCACACTCCGCCCCACACTACAGGACATGTTTAACATTTACGATGCACAACCAGGGCGGCCCTGACTGGACTGGGAGCAGGTAAGAGGAGTAAACACTGGATTAAAGACGCCCCAAACTACCACGGGATAATCTGAGAAGATCAGTGTTTAAGATCACCCTAATACCTGGAGACATTTTGTGGTTGTCAGGAGGAGCAGGATTATGCTGTAGTGGGCCAGGCATGAGTTACTGCTGTGACAAATTTTCAACACTACAACATTTGGGTGGCCTACCACTGTGATCTGCGATACCTGATAACTGTTTAATGCTGCAACATTACACACGAATACACCTCTGCAACACTGTTAAAAAATTATGGTTCTTCAAATGACAATGGGTCTATCTAGAACCAAGAACACTGAAAGAACCATCTGCTTAAAGGGTTTTTTGCATGGTGAAATGTTCTTCAGATTGATGGAGAATGTGTTGTATATGGATTTATAGAGCACCAAAAAGGGTTCTACTATCATGACAATTTCAAACTTGTACTACTTTTCTTGTGCTACACAGAACAATTTTTAAAATTACATTGGTTCTAAGAAGCACCTATTGGTTGTACTGGTTCTAAGAAGCAGCTATTGGTTGTACCGGTTCTCTATAGCACCAAGAAGCGTTCTTCTATTGTTACAAGCTTGAGGTACACTCTTAAAAAAGGTGGTTATTTGAGGGTTCTTTTGTAAAGAAAATGGTTCTATATAGAACCATGAACACTCACAGAACCCTTTGAATGACTGAAGGGTTTGTTGCGTGGTGAAATGGTTCTTCAGATTGATGGAGAATGTGTAGTACACGGATTTATAGAGCACCAAAAAGGGTTCTGCTATCATGACAAAATCAAGCTTGTACTCCTTTTTGGTGCTACAATTTTTTAAATTATATTGGTTTTAAGAAGCACCTATTGGTTGTACTGGTTCTAAGAAGCAGCTATTGGTTGTACCGGTTCTCTATAGCACCAAGAAGGGTTCTTCTACTGTTACAAGCTTAAGGTACACTCTTAAAAAGAGTGAACAGAGACTGAGATCTGACTACAATAAATTAAAAAAATGAAAGATAAAAAAATAAACACTGTTAAAAAAATGATGGTTCTTCAAATGTTCTTTGGTAAAGACGATGGCTCTACTTAGAACCAAGAACACACAAAGAACCACGTGCACGCTTAAGAGATTTTTGCATGGTGAAATAGTTTGTCATGTGTTGTATATGGATCTACACAGCACCAAAAAGGGTTCTGCTATTATGAAGAAGTCAAGCTTGTAATCCTTTTCGGTGCTACATAGAACCAACAGAATTTTAAATGTGGTTCTAAGAAGCAAATATTGGTTGTACTGGTTCTATATAGCACCAACAAGGGTTCTTCTATTGTTACAAGCTTGACGTACACTCTTCAGCAAAGAAAATGGTTCTATCAAGAACCACGAACACTCAAAGAATCGCCTGCATGATTTAAAAGGTTCCTTGCGAAAGAAGAACCTTCCTTTTGTGAAAGAGCTCTTCAGAATGTGCTGAATATAGAACCTATTTGAAAAGGGTTCTATGTAGTACCCAAACGGGTTCTTCTACTGTTTCGATGTCAAGCTTGTAACGATAGAAGAACCCTTTTTGGTGCTACAGATACATTCTCCATCAATCTGATGAACGATTTCACCACGCAAAGAACCACTTAAGCATTCAAATAGTTCTTTGTGTGTTCACGGTTCTAAACAGAACCACTATCTTTACTAAAGAACCTGAAATACCTTTTTAAGGGGGTAAGCTTACGACTTATTTAAATTCTTCAACAAATGCGGTTTTTAACTATTTATACATCTCGAAAACAACAAACAACAGCTACACGTCAACACTGGCATCGTCCTGGGCATTTTGAAGCCAGTTAACCTCTTCAACTCCTTGAGGCCACCGGTGGTTCCAAAACACACCTCGTCATATTCTTCATAACTTTCATATTTCATAAGCCTCATTCTAAAGGTGGGGGTCGTATGAGAGCTGAAACTGTCTTCTTTCCAGTCAAATAGATGGTGATGTAATTTTAAATCCTTATAATAAAAGAAGCTGAACTAAATTTTTTTCTACTGAAAGTCGACCCATTTTTCCACAAATCTGAGCTATAAACCATAAACAGATGGCGTCTCTTCAGTGATCTGCTCTGTAAACATTATTTTTATAAAATAATACAAAGAGCGTCTCAGATTTTTGGCTTTCAGCAGTAAATTGTAAGTATATAGCAATATGTGTGATCATAAAACACATGTTCTGTTAATTTGAGGGGAGCTTCTACAAAAATTAAATAAAATAAAATAATTTACATTTATTTCATGCAGTTACTGAATAATCTGTCTTACGATTTGGGCATGTAAATTCAGATGGACAAACCAAAATATACCCTGGTCAATAAGAGGTTAAATGTTAATATTAGCTCACTATCGCTGGAGCTACTGAAGGAGGACGGAGGCCGAGTCGAGCGCTTTCTCCTCAACACGCCGTAAAACTTCTCACCTCCTCACAACACAGCTTCACAACTAACGTCAACCCCAACATTCACTTCATCTCCTTTAGAAAAGCGTCTCCTTCTTCTTCTGTCGGGTCATCAGAAATTATGCTACGCTAAACAAGTTAGTGTCATAAACCACCAACAGGATTTAACCAAACTTCCTGCAAAACATTCACAAAACTCATTCAGAGCTGATTTTAAGCACAATTAACGCAGAAAATACACAATCCAAAAAAATAACACTGCTGCGGAGCACTTAAAAGGGAACTCCACCAACTTTTCAAAATTCGGTATAATTCAGGGGTTAGTTGATGTCTTTACAGTGGTGGTGATAGGAACCAGGGGTCGCCATGACTACAACACAAATATAGACATTTTATTTACTATCCAGAACCACCAGTGAACCTACACGAGTCTTCTGAGTTTATATGGAATGTTGATGATGGAAAACAGTGGAAAATCTGAAATTATAAGTTTTCTTTGGGGACTATTTTGCCTCACAGCACCCTGCATGTATCCCTCCACCATAAACGGCTTTAAACAATATGTTTTAGGCCAACTCCTTCCCTCAAAACAATCATAAAACAGTGTCTCAGTCATCAGGCAGTGAATTCATAACCATTTCATGTAGGAACTTTCTGTGAGGGAGCTTTTAGAGGTGGACGTCTGGTTCCTATCACCACCACTGTGAACAGTTCTGACTCGGTAAGTTTCTCTAGAACAGAGCGTTTCACACCAAACCACTCTGAATGACTCTGTTTACATTCTGTCCGTTTAATTAGCTGGAACTTTTGGAAAACGGGTGGAGTTCCCCTTCGACGTCGCAAGAACATTCACCACAAGTGACCGAACAATTCGGAAGATGTTTTTAAGCTCTAACGTATCCCAGAAACAACCTAAATTAACTTACATAATAGAAAATAAAACAGGATTAAAGACATTTTATCTAGTTGTCACAGCCAGTTAGCTCGCTTAGCTAACCTAAACCTAGCTGGCTGACGTTATAACGTCATCTTATAATTTTAACTTAGTTTAACCTCCCAAAAGTGTTCGCTGCGAGCCGTATAACACATCACAAGCGACTTATAAGCTCTTATGTACCTTGGATAAACAAATAAGAGACAGATAACACCAGTTAGACAGAGGTTAAGGTCGTGTTTCTGACGAGGCTGAAGTTTGGCTGCCTGTTCGCCAGCTTGTTCGAATTTTCCCGTTCCACCTTAAATGGTGCAGCAGATACATTCTGGCGCCTCATTTAAGGTGGGACGGGTTCGAATTTTCCCGTTCCACCTTAAATGGTGCAGCAGTTTAAGGTGGAACGGGGAAATTCGAACAAGAAGCTTAGTTCAGCTCCGTAGGTTATGTTTCTGTGTTTTCCAACGCCAGTTAGCTACAGCTGGCTAACCCAACAACAGCAGGCGACCGCAGGATAAAGCAGACAAATCTGAGCTGTTCTCACCCCCAGATTACATAGTTGGTTTTGACGTTTTTAGGCCATGAAAACTCCCCGAAAATCACTTCGTCTCCTTTGGCGACGATCTCCTTTTTCTGGATGTTGTACTGTCGCAGCACGCTCAACACGTCCGCCATCTTCACTCTCTACACCACACGGGCTTCTTCACTCCGAAGACCCGAAGTGGATAAACGCAGCCAGACCAAAGAAATCACAGAGAAGAGACTGTTCACTCCGCGGCCATCTTCGCAACAAGACCACACTCCTATCTCTTTGAACGGGGAGGGACCAAAATACCCGAAACTAAAGGTCAAATTACCGTTTCAAAATCAGATTTGAAATCAATGATACGTTTTAATAAGATCCAGAATAATCGTTTGTAGTGTTTAGCTCAGTAAAGTACAAAAAACGCGATTTTTCGGCGTGTTCTGGCTACTGCGCTTGCGCAGATCTCCTCAACGCGTGGGCCGGGCGTTCCCGCCGGCGGCGCAACCAGCGAGCTCATTGGCTGTTTTTCTTGAAAGGCGGGACTTTCTTCGTAAACAGACGCCATGTTGAGAGTTACGAGCTTTCCCATTTATCTTCCAACCAGTGAACCGTCTCTTCTTTTATAACATCTCTGGTTTCACTCCAAAGAGCCAAACTAGATGATCGCAACTTTTTATTTAAAAAAAAAACAAATATTTATTTATTTATTATTCTTATTATATTATTTATCATTTTTCGAAACAATGCATAACAATGTATAGCTTATGCTTATTACACATACAAAAAATCTCAGAAAAACAAATAATAAGACTGCTAGGTGTTCAAATAAATCACAATCAAGGAAAAACTTACAAAAGAAAACAATTTAGTGTTGGTCGAAGCAGAAATACGAGGTAGATATTATTTAATTTTTTGTTTGAAAATTAAAAAAAGGTAATTTGTTGTTAAATTTACTTTTGTGAATGTGAAATTCTGCAAAAAGTATAAGAAGATTGATCATAAAATACTATTTGTCTTCTTTTACAGATATTGGGATGTATATCAATGCATACTGTTCATATATAATTTTAATGTGCTTTACTTTTTTAAAGCTGTGATACTTTGCACAAGTGTTTATTTTTACTCAAGCGCTGTGTGTTGTAGAGGTTGCTACAACTATATTGTTATTCAATTAATATGATATGATAAAATGATTTCCTAAATATGATTTCTTTTATATTTATTACTAAATTATTGCATTTTTAAAACTTTATGTTGAGCACTTTTTTGGGCTCCTACGAACTCCTGTGAGTGTCTGTGGGAAATAGCCGTAATATATCTAATTAATTATCCTTTTAATAATTACATTTCAGAGATATAAGGATTTTAAAATGCATATTTAAAATGCATAGAGCGGAATTTCTTTTTCTAAAACACTAAAGCATATTTTAAAAATACATTTTAGCTTCTCTTCACGGGGAGGACTTTTATTATATCTTTAACGTTACCATACAGAAAGTGGTGACTCCACTAAATGCCTGTTCGAAATTGTTACTACGCCCAAAAACGCTATTAATGCAAATAAATGAATGCAGTTGGATTCATTGTATTTTAGCAACATTACATTAATATATATATATATATTAAATAGCGTAAATATATATAAAAAAACGATCCTATTTAACTTCTCACAATGGACAGGACTTTTATTTTAGTTTCAAGCAAACTAAGAGTGACTTCAGTAAATGCCTGTTGAGACAGAGAGGGTTTGATTTTAATTCATGTTGTTATTATATAACGTATAATAACAGACATTGAAAATACAAAGCAACAAGCATCGCTGTTATTTATTTATCCATCTATTTTTACGTTATTTGTTTATTGGCAGATGTAATAAGTCGGACACGAGATTACAGTAAAAGTCAAAGCGTTCATCCAGTAACAATAACATATAACATGAAAAATGAATAAATAATACACAATAAATAACTAAAATACTATATATATATATATATATATATATATATATATATATATATATGGAGATCTAAAATTAGATTTGAGCAGGTTGAGAGAAGTTTGTATTCAGAAAAGGTTGGTCTTGTACAGAGTAGGATTTCTGCACACAAAAAAGATCTGTATGTTTATAATGACACGTCCTGTTAGCTACGTTAGCCTCGTGACAGAAAAAGGCTAAATTTTGATTGTCTAGTTTGGATTTTTCACCAAAACATTTCTTCAAAAAGTGCTTTAGATCAGCTTGAATTAGAACAACAGCGCCATCTGGTGGACTTCAATATATATATATATTCAAGCAGCATAAAAAGGCTTACAAATATGTCTTACAGCTGTTTTGATCTCGAGCAGCAACGATAAGTTCAGTTCTTTTCAGAATCAGAAAGCACATAAATCTAACAAAGGAATAATAATAATTCATTTTTTAAAATACACCTTTAAAGCACAGTTTAAGGGCATTTTTGCCACACAGGAAGATTAATATTTATAATCCAAAGCCAATTGAACTGGGACAATTTCTAAAGATTCTGTATTTAAGTGTGTAATATTTAGCCAAAATTGTAACATTACTAACTAAAAATTCTGTCTTAGAATTTTCAATAAAAATGCCATATCTTATGAGTTTATATTCAAGTCAATTATTTCGTATTTTGTCTTTAGTCACACATAAAGATCTTTCCCTCGCATGAGAAAAACAGATGTTCTAATGATTCTGTATCGTCTTCACAGAGAGGACGAGCATTAAACTCCATATTAAAATTAGATCTGTGTCTTAAAAATTCACTGCATGGATAAACACTGTTAAGAAATATGAAATGCACTTCCTCAGCTTTGGGTAAGACACAGAGAGAAAGATGTCTTGTTCAAATTTTTGCCTTTTCCACTTTTGTACAGTCTCCAAACTCTGCTGGTGATATTCCGTATAAATAACAATAATGAGTGGCCACGACTTAGTAAGGCGTGAGAACGAGATAAAGAAGTCGCGGCCATGACTTGACTACGTTCACGTTGCCAGGCTGAAGTGGCACAAATCCGATTTTTTGCCCAAATGTGACTCAGATCTGATGTTTTCAGGGCTGTGTGGACGCAAATCTGATCTTTTCAAATCCGACCTGAGCCACTTTCATATGTGGTCCTAGATCAGATACGTATCCGATTCGTGGCCATGCGACCTTAATGTGAAACTCAGATCATAATTCATGTGCTTTTTTTCCCACTGCGCCATCATTCAGCGTTACCATGGCAGCAGCGCCGAACAGAAGTTAAAGCCTGTAAACGGTGGAAAAGCAGCTCATCTCACCTTTTTCTCCTTCGTCTCGCTCTAATAATGAAGCTGAGAGCTGATCAGAGTTAATTATCTTCTCAGTGAAGCTCGTTCTGCTCGTTAGTTTGTTTGATGATCATATCAGATAACATGGAGAGGGTCCACATCCTCTCCATGCAGGCTCTCCACTGGTGTCCCAGAAGGCTCGGCGCTGGGTCCTCTTCTCTTTTCTCTTTACACTAGCTCTCTTGGCAATGTAATATCATCTCATGGCTTCTCTTATCACTGTTATGCTGATGACACTCAACTAATGCTTTCTTTCTCGCCCTCTGACACCCAGGTTTCCAGTCGGATCTCGGCATGTCTGACTGACATCTCTTCATGGATGGCAGCTCACCACCTAAAGCTCAAAAATGGACCAGCCCCTCCCTACTTGATGGCAACGGTGAGTACAGCTCGGATTGACCTGCCATCCTTCAAGGCGCGCGGAAGACAAGCATCAACATTCTGTCCTGCACCCAGGAGGTGGGACGAACTCCCACTGGCTGTCCGTACAGCAGAGTCTCTGAAGACACATCTGTTTATACAGCACTTAAATGAGCACTGAGTTAAGTATTGATTGTAATGTATTGTACAGCACTTATGTATTGTATTGTATTGCACTGCTCTGTGTTTAACTCTGTTCCTTTTTCTCTAGGTGTCAATAATGACTTTGTTTCTAGCAGTATCTGAGCTCAGGACTGACTTTCTCTCTAACCTACTGGTAACTAGCAAAGATACTTTCTCTGGATAGACAAAGCACTTTTTTGTAAGTCGCTCTGGATAAGAGCGCCTGCTAAATGCTGTAAACGTAAATGTAAATGATGATGTGATTCATTCATGTGACATTACTGAGTAGGATGAGCTCATGCGAGTCTTTTCAGGACGCCAGTTCGTCACATTAATGACAGATTTGAATCACTTACCTAAACGAGTGTGAACCATGGTGTCAGAGAGATCAGATTTGAGCAAACAATCGGATTTGAGCGACGAGGCTTGTTATGTGAACGTAGCTTTAGTGAGGCGTGAGAATGAGATGATTAATTTGTGGCCATGACTTAGTAAGGCATGGAAACAAGATTATTAAGCTGTGGTCAAGGATTCAATTTGTCATTATCTCATTCATTATTTCGTTCCCACATTTTACTAAGTTGTGGCCACGCATAATTTTTATTTATACGGGATGTCACCAGCGGGGTTCTGTACTGTCCTCCTGGGTGAGGATGAAAATAATTCTGTGGATAACATAGATCTTATAACTGTGTTATTACATCGTTGTTTTCAGTAAAACTGCATCTTTACACAGACAAGCTGAACAACCTCAGCACTACAGAAGAGTACAGTCTTAAAAAAGATGGTTCTTCAAGGGTTCTTTAGTGAAGACAATAGTTCTATGTAGAACCATGAACACTCAATGAATGCTTTGCATGATTAAATGGTTCAGAATCAGAATTAGAATCACTTTATTTCACCGAGTATGTTGCAAATACACGTTTGTCTTGGTGAGTCACATGTTTGACACGTAACACACTGAACAGACCAGACAAGCAGACCCACTGTAAACAAGTATTAAACTAAGAGAAAAGTAAAATAATATACAGTAAATAGAATAAATAATAATAATAAAAACAGCCATGAGAAGGGAGCGCACATATGCAGATTTGAATGTCTGTTCATATGCAAGTCAAGTAGGCATGCACAATAAAATACACTATAAAAATTATTATATATGTAAAATATACCTATAGTGTAAAGATTTTTATTTTCTATTTATAATGTTTAGTCTTAATTTATCACAATTATGTGCAATATAATCAATATTTCATGTAAAATATCTTCACAGTGTAAACAGTGTTTGCTTTTTTTTGTTTATAATTGTTTATATTGTTAATTTTTG